GGTCACCGCGGCGCTGCGGTTGGGGTGCGCGCGGGTGTCGTCGCTGGCGTAGAGCAGCACCGCGGCGCGCCAGGCGTCGGCGGGGGCCCCGCGGGCGGTGCGCGCTGCCAGGACGCCCACCGTGTGGTTGCTGTCCAGCACCTCCCCGGCCCGCGACACCTCGGCCCAGAGCTGCTCGCCGTCTGCGGGCGGAGGGAGGTGGCCAGGCGGGGCGGCGCCCCTCGGCCTCCCAGGCCTGGACCCGCGCGCCCCCCCGCGCGCAGGGGGCCGGCCCCCCCGCCAGAGGGGCAGGGCGGGGGGGCCGGGCCGGCTCACCCAGCAGCGCCAGCAGCGCCATGGCGGCGAGCACCGGCTTGCGCAGCAGCTGCACGTGCGGCGGGGCCGTGTTGTTGACCTGGAAGCGCGCGGTGAGCGTGCGCTGCGTGAAGGGTGCGGGTGGTAGCTGAGGAAGGCGTTGTCGTTGCTCAGCAGCGCGAGGCGCGCGGGCGGCGCTGGCGTTGGCCCCCGGCTGGTTCTGGTGCTGCGCGATGACCTGCGGGCGGGAGGCTGGCACCGTGCGCGCGCGCCCGCCCGCCCGCCCGCCCGGCCCGAGGCCCGGGCCGCACCTTCACCACCATGGCCGCGTAGGTCACGTCGGCTCTCCACGGCCGCGGCAGGGCCCAGCCCACCAGCGGGTCCGCCTCGTCGTTGTAGACCGGGGTGTCGGCCAGCTCGGGGAAGAGCCGCCGGATCAGCTGCACGGCCTCCCGCTCCTGCTCCAGGATGCAGATGGAGCTGCCCGCGCCCTGCGGACCCGAGCCTGAGCGGGTGGCCGTGCGCCCGCCGCGGCGCGTGGGCTGGCGGCGCCGGCCCTTCCTACCTTCTTGTGGAGGGCGATGTAGTCCAGCCGCACGCCCACCTCCCCGGTGAAGAAGTTGGTGCCGCGGAGACAGTGCTCCAGGAGCCCCCAGCTCAGCGGGGAGCGCGGCGGCGGGTGGAAGGAGTCCCCGGGGCCGCCCAGCCGCAGCGCGGGGCTGGCGGCGCGCAGACCCTCGGAGCAGGCGTCGTAGTAGTTCAGGAAGCCTGGACAGGGGCCGCGGTGGGCACTTTGGTGATGGCCAGGGGTGCCCCTCTGCTGCCCCATCGCTGCGGGGAAGACACCCACCTTGCAAGGACATGGTGACGTTGTCAAAGTCATGGTGGTCCGGCTCGTTCCAGGTCTCAAAGTTCCATTTGGACACATGCGCGAGCCCGTACCTCCCTGCAGAGCGACCCTCAGGTGGCGCACGCGTCCGGCCTCCGCCAGCACACGCCAGGCCCTCCAGACCCTCAGGATGGGCACCCGCGGGTAGGACCACAGACGTGGGGGGTGTTGATCCTACAGGAGCCCGCCCCACCTGCCTGGGCTCCCTCCCTGATCAGCAGGCCTTGGCTCCCCGGCTTGTCAGGGCCCAGGGCAGTTCACCCTGAGGCGCCCCCCACCCCCAGGGCGAGCGCCACGCCCACCAATGTATCTCCGGGCCAGGACGGAGACCAGGTCCTTCCACTCAAACACCTGCTGCTTGTCCTCAAAGTCGGTGAAGTGGCCGGACGGGCTGCCCATCAGCTCAAAGCCTGCAGTACCAGAAGGTGGTTCTAGCGGCTCTGCCTGCGCCTCCCGCTGGCCACCTCCAAAACACCTGGCCCTGCCCACCTGCCCCAAGGCCCCGCCCCACCCCTGCCCACCTGCCCCAAGGCCCCACCCTGTCCCTGCCCACCTGCCCCCAAGGCCCCGCCCCACCCCTACCCACCCACACCCCAAGGCCATGCCACACCTATGCCCCAATACTACCTGTACCCCACAGCCCAGGGCCAGTCCTGAGAAACCAATGAGAACTGGAAAGGCCCGGATTGGGAATGGGGGCAGGGCAGCCGCCTACCTGGGAGGAGCTGATTCTCCTGGAGAAGGTCCAGGTACCGGTCCAGGTGGGTAAAGTTGTAGCTCAGGCCCTGCCCCACTGATCCCCTGCAGAAGGACATGCGGTAGGAAGGGGTGGGGAAGAGGCTGGAGCTGGGCAGCACAGCCCTCCCTCGGGAACGCCCGGGAAGTCCAGCAGTCACTCACAGCCTAGTAGACACTAGCGTGTGGCCCCTGGGACCCAGCCCCTGCTCCAGGCGCTCAGAAGAGCGTGGGGCTCAGGGACGAGAGTGCGGGGTAGGCAGGCCTTTGGGAAACTGCGGGGTGGAGTGAGGGGCAGTGGAGCGCTGCAGCTGGCAGGACATGGGGCACCACACCCTGCTTCTCTGTGCTTCTTCTGCGCCCCATCTTGACCCAACAGTGCCTCTGCCCTCCCCCCACCGCCAGGCCACAGGAACGGGCAGAGCGGGGCCTCCGCAGGCCGCACCTCCACGGGCTCATTCCAAGGAGGAGCTGGAGTGGAACAGCAGGGTGCTGTAGTGGCCGGGGCCGCGGGCCAGGCAGGCCTGGAGGCCTGGGCCGCGCGTGCAAAGGCCTGAGGCAGGTGTGAGCTCGCACAATCACGCAGAAAGGTGGCTGGCAGGCTTGGGATGCGTGAGCTGTGAGATGACACCCCCAGGCCCGAGGCAGGGGGTCCCGACTCAGGCAGAGTGGGGCGCAGCCAACCAGTGCCACCGCTGTCTCAGTTACACGGTGACAGCGATGGTAGAGGAAGCTGGAGGCCCCTGCGCCGGGCACAGCCCCTCCCCGACCGCAGACGCTGCCCGTCACGGCCCCCCCACAGCCAAGAGGCCCCTCCGGGCCTTTGTGCCCTCGGGGCCTGGGTGCATGACCAGTGATGTGTGTCCCCACCAAGAGGAGTCCCGCTGCCCCAAAGCCCCGTGCCTGCCTGGCCACCCTGCTCCGGCCCTGGCCCTCACGGTCCAGTTTGGCCGTGATGTTTTGAAGGACCCTCCGGGGTGTCCATGGAACAGGGTGGGGCAGTAAAAGCAAGGAGGTGGGCCTCCCTCCCACAGGCCGGGCAGCTTCCCCCGGTGGACGTGGACATGGAGGGGCCTGGCCTTGGTGGCTGGTGAGGACGCTGACCCTCAGGGGGAGGCGAGGAGGGGGCGTGGGCACGTCAGCCAGCACCGAGCCGACTGCAGGGCACAGGAACAGGGTGAACCCCGCTGGGTGCTGCCACAGGGAATACAGCAGGGCCCAGCGCTCTGAGGGTGCCCTGAGCCAGCTGCGGGGTGGCGGGGGTGGGGGGACAGGGTGTGCAGGATGCCCCTGGTGGCTGCTGAGGGACCAGTCTGGGCCCACTGGTTGGCCAGGCCAGGCCACCCAGGGTGCCCTCCCGACTCCAGGAGGACCCGTCCTCCACCCTCTGTAGTGGTCCCACTCCTGTCTCCACGCGCAGGGCCCTTCACGGCGGACAGGGCTGCGCTCAGCTCCAGCCCCGCTGGGGACACCCCTTTCCTCCCTGCGCACCACATAGGGCTGCGTCCCACCCAGGGCCGAGGGGGCACCCCTTGCCACCCTCCCCAGATCTCCCGTCCAAAGGTCACAACCAGTAGCAAAGAAACAAACTTAGCAAGCACTTGGGTAAAGATTAAATGGGCACAGCAGACCAGATCCAAAGTTCAAGGGGGGCATCAGCAGGGCGCTGGCTGACCTGGCGGAAAGTGAAGACCCAGCTTTCTCTGCGGACTCTGAGGCCACCAGTCTCCACTGCGGGCGGGCGCACGAGCCCCCGCTCAGCATCTGCAGCCAGGTGTCCACACCCCGGCCTGCTGGCCTGGCCTCCGCGCAGCAGGGGTGTCTGGGGAGCCAGTACTCGAGCCCCAGACTCGGAGCCGAGCGCGGGGGCCCTGGGCCCAGGAAACCCTGGCGCCAGCCCTGGGCCCTGCTGGCTTGGTTCCTCTCTGGACGCACCCCGCAGCAGGGGACTGGGCGCCCTAAGCCAGGGAGGCGGCTGCACAGTGAGCTCCCCTGGGCCTCTCCCCCAGCGCCTGGCCCGAGGCTGATCCTGGGCGGCTGCTCCGCCGGGGTCGCCTCCCACTCCGGGCCCTGCACGTGGGCCGAGGCCGCGGCGACCCCACAGCGACCTCATCGAGCGCGTGCTGTGGCGGGTCAGCCCCGCGGGCCCCACCCGGCCTAAGCACGCGGCGCAGCATCCAGCGGCGCCCGGACGGTGAGTGCTCTGGGTACACTCCCGGGGCGGGGTCCAGGCAGAGGATGGTACAGGCACCGGGCCCGGCCGCGGGGAGTAAGGGTGCCCACAGCCCCACCTGGAGACCCCCGGGATGCGCAGGGCCTGGCGGGCGGAGCGTCCCCAGCAGCCACGGGAGCGTGTACTCACTTGCAGGGCGCCTGAGAAATTCCGGCCGGTCCACAGCCTCGAGACCCCGGGGCCCCGCACCCCGGGTCCCCAGACCCTTGGCCCCCAAGACCCCCGGGCCCAGACCCCCGCCCCCTCTGCCTGTGGGGGGTTCAGCGTTCCCTCTACCAGTAAGTGTGCTCAGCAGGTGCGAGGGCGGCTGAAAGGCAAATTCGGAGGCACCCAGGGGGGCAGGAGAACCCAGCGTGAGGCCAGTAGGTTGAAGTGCTGGGAACCCCTCAGGCCCTTCCAGCCTGCCTGGGCCCAGGCCCCCCCCTCCGGGAGGAGTCTGCAGGTCAGGCGTCCAGGGGACGGGGAGATCCCACCTGGGCATCTTCAGGCCAGGCCCAGGCCCTATGATCCTGGCCTCAACACAGGGACCCCAAAACAGGCAGAGGGACAGTGGGAGAGGCATCCAGGGGTGCCACAATTTCAAGGGGCAGACAGAGCCCTGTGGCGTGCCTGGCGCAGACACCCCGCCTGGCGGGGGTGGGGTGGCAGGACCTGGGCCGTGCACTGCGGGGCCTGAGGCTGCAGACCCGGGGAGTGCCTGGCTGGCGCATGCTCTGCTCTGCAGTAGCCGGGCCTGGAGATAATGGCAGTTTATGAGCCTCGGCAGCTCGGTGCCCTCTCTGCCCCCTGCTCCAGCCCTGGACCCGGCCAGCGGCTCTGTCCGCAGACAGGGCAGCCTAGGCTGGCCTGGGCACGGGTCCTGACCGCCGCAGGTGTGGGGCCGACTCCCACCCTCGGGCAATCCCACTGCCCAGCTCCACCCGTTCTTGACACCCGGATGGAGAGCTCGGTCCACCCCACAGGCAGCCGGGGACCCGCAGTGTCTGATTACAGTGGCTCCCCACCAGCCATAGGTGGCCTCCGGGGCAGGTAAAGCCATGACTCAGCACCGCAGGCGGACAGCGGACTGCCAGCAGCACGGGCCCTGCGCCCGCCGGACGGCCCTCCCCGCTGCCCACCCTCCCCGCAGCGGGGCGGGGCTCCTGGGTCCACCCAGATTGGGGCCGCCTGCAGTGAGTCCCCAGTCCTGCGTCACCTGGAGGGGCGCACGCACTTCCAGGGTGACCCCGGGCGGCATCTGAACTGGCGCAGTCGGGGCTGGGTGGGAGGGCCTCAGGGGTCGGGGGCCCCCGTGCTTCGGCCTTCTGAGAAACATACCCTCCAGGGCAGGCCCCGCTCCGGAGGCCCCGGAGATGTGGTCGAGCCGCCCACTGCCCGCTGGCCGCTGGCCCGGCTGCTGCGTCCTGCACACCCAGGCCCTCCAGCCCCAGCAGGGTGGCCTGCTGGCACCCCCAGACTGAGTGCCAGGCTGCCCCCAAGCAGCGCCCCACTGAGGGCCCGGGCACCCTCTTCTGGGGAATCCCTGCCCCAGTGCAGAGGAGTGGCCAGAGGCCACGCACTGGGCAGCGCACAGGGCACTGGTGGGGTGTGGCAGGACTGGGGCTGGGCAGGCCAGTCTGGGTCTCTGCGATGCCCCTGGCCCAGCGGCAACGCCCGCCTCTCTGTTGCAGGACCTCCCGCCACCCAGGATGGACGTGTCCCCTGAGGGCCCTCTGCCGGCCGGGGGCCAGTGCTGGTACGCCGGCGGCCCCCCGCACCCCGGGGCCTGCGGCAGGCGCTCAGGGCCAGGCTGCGGCAGCGCTGGGACTGCAGTCCGCGGGGTGCCTGGGCGCTGGTGCAGGGCCTGCTGCCCGCCATGCGCTGGCTACCCCGGTACCGCCCACGGGAGGACCTGGCGGGCGACGTCATGTCCGGGCTGGTCATTGGCATCGTCCTGGTGCCGCAGGCCATCGCGTACTCGCTGCTGGCCAGCCTGCAGCCCGTGCACAGCCTCTACACGTCCTTCTTCGCCAGCCTCATCTACTTCCTCATGGGCACCTCGCGCCACGTCTCCGTGGGCGTCTTCAGCCTGCTGTGCCTCATGGTGGGGCAGGTGGTGGACCGGGAGCTGCTGCTGGCCGGCTTCGACCCCGCACAGGACGGCCCGGGGCAGACGGGCAACGGCAGCGCCCTCAACACCTCAGCAGCCACGTTGGCCCCCGGGCCCCTGGGCTGCGGGCGGGACTGCTACGCCATCCGCGTGGCCAGCGCCCTCACGCTGGTGGCCGGGATCTACCAGGTGAGGAAATGCCAGGGTGCCCCTGGGTGCTGGCCGCCTGCAGGGGTCCACGGGAGGGAGCACGGGCCAGGCTCAGGGAAGCCTGTGAGAGTAGCAGTGGACCTGCCGGGCAGGGTGGTGCCGGCGCGTGGCCTTGGCCCGGGCACGCCCACCCACCCCCCACCTCCGCCTTGTGGCAGGACCCAGCAATGGCCTGACTGCCTGCTGCCCCACAGCTGGCCTGCCCACCCAGCGGCACCCCTTCAGGGGCCACCCTGGGTCTTCTGGTGGCTCTGGGTCTCCAGGAGGAGGGGTGGTGTGGGGAGAGGACTCAGAGGCCACACACGGCTCTGCCGTGAGTCCACTAGGAGGAGGGGCCTCGGTGGCAGGGCGCCAGGCCTGACCACCTCTGTCCACAGGTCCTCATGGGCGTCCTCCATCTGGGCTTCGTGTCCACATACCTCTCGCAGCCGCTGCTGGATGGCTTCGCCATGGGGGCCTCCGTAACCATCCTGACCTCCCAGCTGCAACACATGCTGGGCGTGTGGGTCCCGCGACACCAGGGCCCGGGCATGGTGGTCAGCACGTGGCTGAGTCTGCTGCGCAGGGCTGGGCAAGCCAACCCCTGCGACGTGCTGACCAGCGCCGTGAGCCTGCCCTTGCTGCTGGCTATGAAGGGGCTCTCAGACCGCTGCCGGCATCGCCTGAAAGTGCCGCTGCCCGCGGAGTTGCTGGTCATCGTGGTGGCCACCCTGGTGTCCCACTTCGGGCAGCTGCACGAGCGTTTTGGCTCCAGCGTGGCTGGCGACATCCCCACCGGCTTCCCGGCCCCGGAGGTGCCAGCGCCCGGGCTGATGTGGCGTGTGGCACTGGACGCTGTGCCCCTGGCCCTTGTGAGCGCCGCCTTCTCCCTCTCGCTGGCCGAGCTGTTCGCCCGCAGCCACGGCTACTCCGTGCGCCCCAACCAGGAGCTGGTGGCCGTGGGCTGCAGCAACATCCTGCCCGCCCTCTTCCGTGGCTTCGCCACCAGCGCAGCACTGGGCAAGAGCCTGGTAAAGACGGCAGCCGGCAGCCGCACGCAGCTGTCTGACATGGTCAGCGCGGCCGTGGTGCTGCTGGTGCTGCTGGCCCTGGCGCCGCTCTTCCGGGCCCTGCCGCGCAGCGTGCTGGCCTGCATGGTGGTGGTCAGCCTGCGCGGGGCCCTGCACAAGGCCAGGGACGTCCCGCGGCTGTGGCGGCTCAGCCCCGCCGACGCGCTGGTGTGGGTGGCCACGGCGGCCACCTGCGTGCTGGTCAGCACCGAGGCCGGGCTGGTGGGCGGCGTGCTGCTCTCGCTGCTCAGCCTGGCCGGCCGCACGCAGCGCCCGCACGCCGCGCTGCTGGCCCGCGTCGGGGACTCGGCCTTCTACGAGGACGCGGCGGAGTTCGAGGGGCTGGTGCCCGAGCCGGGGGTGCGGGTGTTCCGCTTCGCCGGGCCCCTCTGCTACGCCAACCAGCGCTTCTTCCTGCGCTCGCTCTACCGCCTCACCGGGCTGGACGCGGGCCGGGCGGCCCGCCGCGGGGAGCGGGCTCCGGGGGCCGGCGTCGGCGGGGGCGCCCCGGGCGCGGGCAAGGACGCCGCCCCGGAGGCGGGCGCGGCCGGCGGCTTCCACGCGCTGGTCATCGACTGCGGCCCGCTGCTGTTCCTGGACGCGGCGGGCGTGGCCACGCTGCGCGCCCTGCGCCGGGACTACGGCGCGCTGGGCATCTCGCTGCTGCTGGCCGGCGGCGGCGCCCGGGTGCGCGGCGCCCTGCGCAGGGGCGGCCTGCTGGGGCCCGGCGCGGACGGCGCGGACGGCGCGGACGGCGCGGACGGCGCGGACGGGGGGCCGCTGTTCCCCAGCGTGCACAGCGCCGTGCGCGCCGCCCAGGCCGGCCGCGCGGGCCGGACCCCCGCCGCCCCGCCCCCGAGCCCCGCCCCCTAGCCCGGCCGGCGCCCGCGGCCGCGGACCCCCGTGGGCCGGCCGCCCGTCGCCGCCCGTGGGGACCGAGGGCTCGGGGGCCGCGGCGCCGTCTCGCAGGCGCCATCAGGACCCGCCGCGGCCCGAGCTGCCCTGCGCACCCGAGGGCCGGCCGGGGCAGGAGGGGCTCCGCCGAGTGTGCCCTGCACCTGCGCCCCGCCCTCGCCGGCCCCCGGGCACCGCTGACCAGCAGGCCCGGGCCCCCCGGGGCACCGCGCGGGAGAGGCCGCGGCCCCGCCCCGCCCGCCCCGGCCGCGCCGCCCGCCCCCCACACCCACCTGGCCGTGACGAGGTCCAGCATCCAGTGGGTCCGCACCTGCTGGATGCCGCCGTGAGGGACGGCGCCCACGTAGGCCAGGTTGAGCTGCTGGTCCCAGCTGAGGTCGAACCGGTCCGCCTGGCCGTGCGGCAGCGGGGGGCTGGGGCGGAGGCGCCAGGGATGTGAGGCCTCCGCGGGGCGGCCCCGTCCCGTCGTGGCCACTCAGGGCGTGACCCACACTTCCCGGCTCTGCCCGAACGAAAGGCCCCAGCGCCAGGCCGGCAGGGAGGCTCCGTTGCGGGGTCGGGGCGCCCACGAGGGGGACCCCGCCCCCGCCCCCGCCCGGGGGTCTCGCGGTCAGCCTGCGGCCGAGGCGGACACGCGGGCAGGGGCTCCGGTCCCCGTGGCCAGGCGCCTCACCGGCGCCCCCTGGCTAGGGAGCCCTCGAGGCCCGAACCCCCGGAGCAGGGGGACGGCGGGGAGGAGCGGCCCGCGGGCGAGCCCGGCCTGGGGCGGGGAGGGCAGCCGCGGGCGGGCGGGCCGACCGGACGAGTCTCCCCGCGGGCCTCACCAGAAGCCGGTGCTTCTCCAGAAGGGCCGCAGGGGCCGCAGCGCGCGGGCCGCGTCCACGCGCACCAGGTGCGGGGCCCCGGCCAGGGCCGCGGGGGCGGCCAGCAGCGCGGCCAGCAGCGCGAGCGGGGCGGCGCGCGGGCGCGGGCGGTGCATGGCCGGCCTCGGGGTCGCCGCCTGCAGGGCCCCGCCCGCCCCGCCGCGCCCCGCCCCGCCGGGCCGCCGTTCCGCCTCCGGGTCGCGCGCCACGTGACCGCCGCGGCGGCGGCGGGGGGCCTCGGCGGGCGGGGCGGGCGGGGCGGGGCCTCGGTGGGCGGGGCCGGCGGCGGGGCGGGGCCTCGGAGGGGAGGGGCCGGCGGGGCGGGGTGGCCTTGGGCTTCCGAACCCAGAGAGCGAGCCAGGGCTCGGGCGGCTCGAATCCGACGGGGTCTGGCCGCGCCGGGGTCTAGACGGGGTGGGGCCGCGCCGGGCGGGGTCTGGCCGAGAGTCTGGGGGCGGGGGCCCAGCCTCTTGGGGTCACGCGGTCCGCAGAGCTCGGGCCCGGCCGGGGTGGACAGTGCCGCGCGGTGGGCTGCGGGAGACCTGAGACTGACCCCAGGCTCGGCACCACCTGGCGGCCCCAGCGCTGGCCCCTGGGGAATGGACATAACGGCCCGGGCAGGGTCCGTTTGGAGGGAGACCCTGGGGTGCTGATGGGCTGGAAGCAGGCAGGGTGGGCAGGGGTGCGCCAAGGTGACCTGTGAGGTTCTGGCTGGAGCCCGTTCTCTGGGAGGGCTGGTGAAAGGGGCGGGTGTGGTCAGGGGCACCGCCTCGCGGCTGCCTGCTCCAGCACCGGGGCAGGTGAGTCAGAGGAAGACATCTGGCGAATAAAAGGCCTCGGGGCTGGACAGACAGGGCCACCCAGCCCGAGACAAGCCTGGCGAGGTAGGAGGCAGTGTGGGGGCGTTTCGGGTCTCCAGACTAGAGTGGGAGATGAGCAGCGCCCTCCAGCGACCCTGGGGAAGAAGTTCCCAAGGCCGTGGCCATGGGCGAGGGCCCCATAGGCCCCATAGCAGAAGGGCAAGGTCGGGGGAGCACGCCCACCCTGGGGGGTGCAGGACCAGGGGGAGGGCAGGGAGGAGCCCATGACGAGTCCCCCAATCCTGTCCCAAGGCCAGCGTGGGTGCGGGGGATGGGAACAGACGTCCCCCAGCTGGGGTGTCTCTGAAGCACAGCGTCCAGGAAGGAGTCGTTATGGAGACGGCGCGGCGGGCGTGGGACCCAAGCCAGAGGCCATGCGTGGGGCACTGGCCTCCAGTGGGAGGGCCGCAGCGCGGGGCCCGGGCCTTCCACTTTGAGAGAGAATTTGTGTAACAACAGTCTCCACATGTTGGCACTGCAAAGTAAAACTTCAAGGTTAGGCATTTTAAAAAAGAAAGATTGTAAATGCCAAACCAGGAGAAAAGGACGCGGCCCCTGGACAGAGCATTCCACACACTCGGGTGCGAGGCCGGGGGTCCCAGGAAACAGCGGCCACTCTGCTGGGCCTCTGCTGCAGCCCTGCCCGCGGCTCGCCCACACCACCCAGTCCCCAAGGGCGAGGGTGCTCTGGGGGGCCTGGAGAGCAAGGGGCGAGCAGGAAGCCTGGTGGAGGTGTGGGGTGCTTGCAGGACATTGCTGAGCATGAAACTTTTCGAAATGAAGATACTGAAAAAAACAGAAGACCTCAAGAAAACTGGTCAAGATTTATTGAATTCTACATTTTTAATTGGACCGCTTAATAGTTAATGTCATGTTAATAAAACAGGTAAGACTTGATGGATCGGCTGATCTAGTAGCAGACCAAGCTCTACTGGGGGATCCAGGCCCTGGAAGATGGTGGGACCCACCCCCACCCAGGTCACCCCCCAGTGCCCCAGCACCCCTGTTCCCCCAAAGCGCCCACAGATGGAGGAGCCCAAGGCAGGACTCACTCTGGGCCCATTTGCTGGGCCACAACCGGAAGGAGGGACCTAGGAAGGCCAGTGCGGCTCTGGGAGCTCAGGGACAGGATGGCCCTTGGGGTGCCTGAAAAGGGGACCTGGAGTCTGGGGGGCTGGCCGTGTAGGGTGCCTGGCGCAGCTGCCATGTGTCTGGGTTGAGGGGAGTGCATGAGGCTGGGGTTTCGGGGCCCTGGGAGCAGAGTCCAGCTTTCCCCTGAGGGGCAGCCTCAGAGCAGTGGCCACCCACCCCCTCAGATGAGGCGGAGCCTTCACTGGCAGGGATGGCACTCAGGGGATCACTGGGGTTGGACCATGCTGGCCTGGGTCTGGCCTCTGGCCGGACACCCCCGCCAGGGATAGACTGCTCTGCCGAGTGGGTGGTGTGTGACACGCTGTGGCCCCCACACCACACACACACAGGTCACTCTCAGTGGGGCTGGTGGCTATGGGCCCCACACTCATTCCAGGAGGGGATCGGTGCCCACCCAAGTCTAGGGCAGTGCAAATGCCCAGAGAAGTGCCTGGACAAACGAGGGAGCCCTGGGGTGTGGCTGAGTCTCCCTGCCCCGGGGGGCGCTCTCCAGCCTGGGTCGGTGGGCACCTCCTTCGGGCCATCCACTCCTGCAAGGCCCTGCCCAGCTCCTCGGCCTGGGCTTTCTCCCAGGGGCATCATCCTGCCCCGCGGCCACGCTTTCTGTGGGATGGCAGGAGCCCTCTCCTCTCACCTCCTCCCAGGCCTCCCGGGCGCCAGGCCCTGCTGGGCTGGGGCCGGGGCAGCCCACGACGGACACCAGCTCCGCCACCGCGGTGCCGTCGGCGGGGGGCACTGGGAGCTGACCGCTGGCGGGGTGCGCCCCAGGACACGTCTCCAGGGGCCTGAACCAGGAGGCTGTGCATGCCGGGCCCTGCCGCTTTGAGGCTCAGGCCGCAGCCCGGGGGCGCCCTGGGCTCTCCACCAGGGCCCGCCCGGCGGGCAGGGCGCAGCGCTGGCCGACCGGGTGCCCTTCCGCCGTGAGGACGGGGCGGCGGCTGCGGGTGTCCGATGGGCAGCCTGCCGGCAGGCGAGGGCACCTCTGCTGGCCCCTGCTCCACCCACCCGGGGCGCCGGGGCCCTCCTCGGGCCTCACCTCCGGCCCCTGCGTCCCTTCCCCGCTCCTTCGACGCGGACGGCGGTCCCGAGGCGCGGGCAGCGCCGGGCGCCCTCCAAGGCCGCCAAGCCCGGGCTGGCGCCGCGTGGGAGCCGCCCGTCTGCGCAGGCGCGGCTTGGGCGCCACAGGCCCAAAGGTGTCTGGCGTCCGGCGTCGGTCACCGGGGGTCCAGCGGCCCCGGCCGCCCCCGGCGCGCCCCGCCACCCCCGCCCCGCCCCGCCCCGCCCCCAGCCCCGCCCCCGGCGGCACCGCCCCGCCCCCAGCCCCGCCCCCGGCGGCCCCGCCCCCGGCGCGCCCCGCCCCCGGCGCGCCCCGCCACCTAGCCCCGCCCCCGGCCCGCCCCGCCCCCGGCGCGCCCCGCCACCCCCGCCCCGCCACCAGCCCCGCCCCCGGCGCGCCTGCCCCGCCCCGCCCCCGGTGCGCCCCACCACCCCCGCCCCTCCACCCAGCCCCGCCCCCGGCGCGCCTGCCCCGCCCCGCCCGGCGCGCCTGCCCCGCCCCGCCCCGCCCCGCCCCGGCGCGCGCCTGCGCAGTGGCGGCGGGCGCAGTCGGAAGCCCGCGGCGCGGACCAGCGGGGACGGACGGCGCGGGCGCTCGGCCTCCAGCCCAGCGCGGACCCGCCTGCCGGCTCGCGGGGCTCGGGCCGCCCGGGCCGGGGATGGCGGCGGCGGCCGAGCCCGGGGCCCGCGCCCGGCTCGGCGGCGGCTCCCCGCGCCCGGGCGGCCCGGCCTCCAGCCCCGAGCTGGGCGGCGGCGGCCGCGCGCGGCCGGGGCGGGGGCCGGGGCCGGGGCCGGGGCGGGGGCCGGGGCCGGGCCACTGCTTCCGGAAGGTGACGCTCACCAGGCCCACCTTCTGCCACCTCTGCTCCGACTTCATCTGGGGGCTGGGCGGCTTTCTGTGCGACGGTGAGCCCCGCCCGCGCCCGCCGCTGCGCCGGGCCGGGGCCGGCCGGGCCGGCGTCAGCGTCGCCGCGGCGGGGGGACCCGCCGGAGCCTCTGCCGGCCCGGGGACACCGGCCCTGAGCCCGGGCCTGAGGAAGCCGCCGACCCGACCTGCAGAGCGAGCCGGCCTCCCGCGCCGCCTGCCGGGGAAGGGCAGGGCTGGCCGGGCCCAGGGCTGCACAGGGGCGGCCGGGCACGGGGCGCCACTCCTGGGGTGCCGGGGCTCACAGGCGGGGATGTGCCGGCCGAGCCGCAGCCCCAGGGGCCGGCGAGGCGCCCCCCGCAGGGGTGAGAGGCGCTGAAGGCGGGGCTCGGCCCGCGATAGATCCAGGCCTCTTCCTGGGCGCGACCTCGGCAGGTGGGGCTCCTCCCGCGGTGGGGCTCCTCCCCAGGGCAGGTGCCAGGCCCTCAAGGGCCCCAGCGGGAAGCAGCTCGGACGGAGCGGGAGGTGGGGGAGGCCCGTGCTGGGCAGTGTCCTGACCTTCACTTGTGGGGAGCGAGGGGCCTGCCCGGGGTGTTGCAGGAGGCTCCCCTGCCCTCCCGGGAGCACCCAGTGGGGCACAAGGGGAGCCGGGAGGCGCCTGTGCCGCGCTGCCTTATAGGTCAGCTAGGGTCCCCCCCCCCGCCTGCCTCTGGGTGTTCTCCACAGGAATGAGGCGCGGCCGGGCGGCCCGAGGCACAGTTCGCCCTGCTGTGTGGACACTGTCCATTTGACACTTCACTCTTAGCTCTGCAGCCCTGTCCATCCCGTCCTGCCTGTGGCCCAAGCCAAGCCCCTACCCTCGATGGGCAGCTCCCGCCTGTGTACCCTGGTCCAGCCTGCGCTCTCTCACGGCCTCCTCTCTTCCTGTCCAGCTTTGGGCCCGTGTCCCTGCTGAACTCTGGTCTCCCCAGCCCCCTCCCTGGGTGCCTCTGTTGCCCCCTGGCCTTGTGAGCCTGGCGAGTGTCCATTCTCCTCACTGTGCGGGCTCTGGGGCTGCCTGTCCTGGTCAGGAGAGGGACCCTGCCTGCTTCGGTTCCGCCCGCCACAGACTGATCTGGCACTGCGTGTGGGGCATGTGCAGTGGAGTGTGGGCAGCGTGGGTGGCAAAGCTGGTTGGCTGCTGGGGCAGCTGGGACAGCCGTCCAGGGGGCACTACAGCTGGCAGAGGTCGCTGCGCCTCCCTGGGCCCCTGAAATGGCTGGGGTCCTGGGCCATTCTCCCAGTCGCTCACGGTAGGCAGAGCGGCCTAATGTGGGGCACCCCGAGGCCCTGGGCAGCCCTGATGCTGTGCTGGGGCACGGCCACCCCTGTGGAACAGTGGCTCACATGCGTCTCCTCCCCAGCCTGCAACTTCATGTCCCACGAGAAGTGCCTGAAGCTGGTGCTGCCACCCTGCGCCCGCGTGGCGCCCAGCCTGGTCCGGGTGCGTGGGGTGTGGGTGCCTGGGGGGCCACAGGGTGGGCACGCCAGGTTGCCAGAGGGCTGGGCAGGCAGGTGTGGGGCCAGCCCGCTAGTTGGGCCTGCAGGGCAGTGGGGCTGGCGCCCAGCTGAGGCTCGTCCCCGCAGGTCCCCGTGGCCCACTGCTTCGGTCCCCGTGGGCTCTACAAGCGGAAGTTCTGCAACGTGTGCCGCAAGGCCCTGGAGGCCCCCGCGCTCCGCTGCGAAGGTATGGGCCTGCAGGCTCCCCCTCGTCCCACCTGGGTGCCAGGTGTGGTGGGCAGCAGGGCGGGCGCGCCGTCCCAGCAGGTGCCCCGCAGGGTGCGGGCTGGGTGGCCAGGCCGGACAGGGCCGGGAGGCTGAGGCTCCGGCTGGTCCCCACCCGGCCCACAGGTGGCCCTGAACTCGAGCCAGGGAAGGGCGAAGGGCTGGAGGACCGCCAGGGCCACGCCCAGGCCTGGGGGCGAGGGTCCAGTGGCGAGAGGGCCCTAACCCTGCCTGCCCCCCAGTGTGTGAGCTGCACGTTCACCCCGACTGTGTGCCCTTCGCCTGCAGCGACTGCCGCCAGTGCCACCGCGACGGGCACCGGGAGCACGTGAGTGCGGGGCCGGGGCCGCGGGGGGAGGCGCGGGGAGGCCGGGCCGGGCCGGGCCGGGCCCAGCCAGCCGCCGACCGCCCTCCGCAGGACCCGCGGGGCGCGCGGCAGCACCACTGGCGCGAGGGGAACCTGCCCGCGGGCGCGCGCTGCGAGGTCTGCAGGAAGACGTGCGGCTCGTCCGACGTGCTGGCCGGCGTGCGCTGCGAGTGGTGCGGCGTGCAGGTGCGCGGCGGGCCCGCGCGGGTGGGGGCGCCTCTGGGGGGGGCGGTCAGCGTGCGTCCCGGCGGAGGGATCGTGGTCCGGAACGCCCGCCCGGCCCGAGGTCCTGGGGTGACGCCGTGTCCCCCCAGGCCCACTCGGTGTGCTACGCGGCGCTCGCCCGGAGTGCACGTTCGGGGTCCTGCGCAGCCTGATCCTGCCCCCCACCTGCGTCCGCCTGCTGTCGCGCAACTTCAGCAAGATGCACTGCTTCCGCATCCCCGAGCGCGCGGCCGCGCCAGGTGGGCGGGGGCGGGGCCGGGCCGCAGGTGGGGGCGGGGCCGGCGGGTGGGCGGGGCCGGCGGGAGGGCGGGGCTGCGGGCGGGGGCGGGGCCGGGGCCGGCGGGAGGGCGGGGCCGGCGGGGGGCGGGGCCGCAGCGCGTGAGCACCCGCGGGCTGCCCGCAGGAGACCCGGAGGACGGCCTGGACGGAGGCCCCGCCGGAGCCGGCCGGGAAGCGGTGCCGGAGCCCAGTAAGCGCCCGCCCCCATGCGAGCCGCCCTTGTCCCCGGGCCCTGGCCGCGCCTCACCGCGCCCCCTTCGCCCCCTCGCCAGACAAGCAGGCCCTGAGGGTCTTCGACGGCGACGACGCGGTGCAGCGCAACCGCTTCCTCGTGGTCACCGTGCCGCGCCCGGCCCGCAGCGAGGAGGTGCTGGTAAGAGGCCCCTCCCCGGCGGGCTGCTGGCCGCCCCGCCCGCCGCCCCGCCCGCCGCCCACGCCAGACCCGCCCCGCAGGAGTCGGCGCTGCGGGCCTACTACATCCCGGACGAGCCCGGGGACTTCCAGCTGCAGGCCCTGCCCGCCGGCCTGGCCGGGGCCCCGGGGAAGGCCCCAAGCGGGGGTCCCGTGGAGGAGGGTGGCCACGGCCCTGCCGCCCGCGAGGCCATGCCCGAGGCCTGGGTGCTCCGCGCGCTGCCCCGCTCCCAGGAGGTCCTGCGCGTCTACCCTGCCTGGCTCAGGTGAGGCCTGCCCGGCGCCCCGGCGGGGAGGGGCTGGGGGCCCAGCTCCTGAGCTTGTTCCTTGCAGGGTGGGTGTGGCCTACGTGTCCATCCTCGTGACCCCACAGAGCACTGCTGGGACCGTGGTGCAGGAGGTCCTCCCGCTTCTCGGCCGCCAGGTGAGTCCCTGGGCTGCCCGCTGCCAGTGAAGGTGTCCGGGGTGGGGTGGCCTTAGGCCTGATGCCCCACACTCTGTCCTGCAGGCCGAGGGTTCCGAGAGATTCCAGCTGGTGGAGGTGATCATGGGTAGCAAGCAAGGTGGGTGTCTGTCCACTGCGGAGCCACAGCTGCCCCGGGTGACCACACCATCCTCACGCTGGGTCTCTTGCTCGTGCAGTCCAGCGGACGCTGTTGGCGGACACAGAGCCCTTACTAGACCGGCTCCGAGAGATCAGGCAGGTCAGTGGGTGGGCACTGGCCCCCCAGAGCTGCTGGTCCTGGCCACCAGCCCTGGCCCCCTGCCCCCCAGTGCGGAGGGTGCTGACGGTCCGGTGGCCAGCCACTGCCTGGGCCAGAGGGGCGTGGGGGGAGGGCCTCCCCTGTGCTTGGTGCTGGGCTCCCAGGTCCCCGTCGCAGGTTGGGTGCCCAGCACATCCTTCCGGCACGCTCCTCGCCCACAGACCTCGCTGCGGCAGATGAACCAGGCGCGTTTCTACGTGGCCGAGAGCAGGGCTGTGGCCCCCTGCGTCTCCCTGTTTGTGGGCGGCCTGCCACTTGGTCTGTCCACCCCAGAGTACTGCAGCCTGCTGGATGAGGCCTTGGCTACCAAAGGTGTGGCCGTTGGTGGGCGTCTTGTCCGGGGTCCCTCTTCTCTTTGCTTTTCAGATCTTGGGGGCTGGGGCCCTGCGCCTGGGGAGGTCATTCTCTGGGCGAGCTGTGTTGGGAAGTGGTGACGCTGGCCAGAGCGCAGGGGCTGGGGTGAGCCTGGAGGGTGGGTGTGGCCCCCGCCCTGATGGTGCTCGCTTTTGCAGCTGGCCTGGTGTCCCTGAGCCACGTGTACCCCGCACAAGGTGAGTGTTCCCCGCCGCGGTGTCCTGGGCGGGCGGAGGCTCCTTCCCTCCTGCCGCCCGCAGAGCCTCTCGAGGGTGGGGGGCGTGCACGTCCTCCTATGTCCAGTTCGGCCAGGACGCCTCAGCCTGGGCTCAGAGGTGGGAGGCATGCGGCCTCCCCGGGCCCAGCGTGGCCCTGTCTGAGCCTGCCCCCCTCAGTCCCCAGCCCTCCACCGCCTCCTGGTGGCCAGCACCTCTCACCTGAGCCTGGCCACCCTGAGGGCCACCGCCTGGGCTGGGGTCCTCCTCTGGTGGTCCCTTGACAGTGACCGCAGCCGCCTGGGCTGGACTGGCCCTGAGCTCCCACCCCTGACGCAGGTGCGCTGGTGCTGGAGGTGGCCTGCTTCGCCGAGGCCGAGCGGCTGTACATGCTGGTCAGGGACACGGCCGTGCAGGGCCGGCCCCTGAGCGCCCTGGTGCTCCCGGATGTGCTGGTGAGCGGGGCCCGGGCCGCAGCCCCATGGTGTTCTGGGCTGAGGCCAGAGGGCTGGCATGCTGGTGACTCTTCGGGGGTGGATGCTTGGCCCTGGCCGCCGCCCCAGAGGCCCTGCTGTCTGCCTTTGGTGGCCCCTGCTCCCGCTCTGCAGCCCAGGGCCCACACCCAGGAGGACAGGGGGGTGCGGGGCCCCTGGCTGGGGGGGCACCACAACAGGGCCCCAGGCTCTGCCTTTTGGGGAGCCTGTCCTCACCCAGCCCCTCCATCAGCACACGGAGCTGCCCCCAGATTGCCGCCCTCTCCTCGTGTTTGTGAACCCCAAGAGTGGAGGCCTCAAGGGCCGTGACCTGCTCAGCAGCTTCCGGAAGCTGCTAAACCCTCACCAGGTCTTCGAGCTGACCCACGGGGGGCCCCTTCCGGGGTGAGCCTGGGGCCAAGCCAGCGGGAGGGGCCCGTGGGCAGGAGCTGTGGGCCCCAGGCTGAGCCGCTGTGGCCCCGCCCGCCAGGCTCCACCTCTTCTCCCGAGTGCCCCGCTTCCGTGTGCTGGTGTGCGGCGGGGACGGCACCGTGGGCTGGGTGCTCGCCGGCCTGGAGGAGATGCGGCACCAGCTGGCCTGCCCTGACCCTTCCGTGGCCATCCTGCCCCTGGGCACAGGTGGGGCCGGGTGCCTGGACCACCACCCCAACCGCCCGCTCTGTGGAGGCCGGGGCTGAGTCCTTGCCCACCTGCGTCCAGGCAACGATCTCGGCCGCGTGCTGCGCTGGGGGGCTGGCTACAGTGGGGAGGACCCGCTTTCCGTGCTGCTGTCGGTGGACGAGGCGGACGCCGTGCTTGTGGACCGCTGGACCATCCTGCTGGCTGCGCAAGACCCCAGCGGCGGGGAGGATGGCATGGCAGACGTGGAGCCCCCCAAGGTACCCATGCGCCCTGGGGGGGTGTGGAGAGGCGCCCCCCCCAACAGGCCGCTCTTGACCACATCTACGCAGGTACTTGTTCTCACTCTGGCAGTGCCCCGGTGTAGGCCGGTGCCGTCCCCTGCGCAAGTGGGCAGCTGAGGCACAGAGCAGCGGCCTGCTGGGTGGCACAGAGCCCAGCCACATGACCTGCTGCCTCCAATGCTGTGGCCACTGTGCGAGGCAGCTCCTGGGCAGATGGCACGCTGGCGACAGCGACACAGCTGGGCTGGACACGAGGAGGCCGGGTCACCTCGGGAGGTGGGGGAACTGGGTGGGCTAAGCAGGCCCACGGGAGGACATGTCTTATCCCCAGATTGTGCAGATGAGCAACTACTGTGGGATTGGCATCGACGCGGAGCTCAGCCTGGACTTCCACCAGGCACGGGAGGAGGAGCCCGGCAAGTTCACGAGCAGGTATCGGGAACAAGGACGTAGCAGGCAGGGCCCCCCCACCTGGTGAGGGCGTACTTCACCAGGAGGCTATGATGCGAGGGGCTGGCGTTGGCAGGCTGCCTGTGGGGGTGGGCCCATGATGGCAGAGGCCTGTCCCACAGGCTCCACAACAAGGGTGTGTACGTGCGGGCGGGGCTGCAGAAGATGAGCCACTCGCGCAGCCTGCACCGGGAGCTGAGGCTGCAGGTGGAGCAGCAGGAGGTGGAGCTGCCCAGCCTCGAGGGCCTCATCTTCATCAACATCCCCAGGTGCTGCTAGGCGGGGCCTTGGGGGACATGGGCCCCGTCCTGCCAGCACTGACCTGCACCCCCTCCCGCAGCTGGGGCTCAGGGGCCGACCTGTGGGGCTCTGACAGTGACACACGCTTTGAGAAGCCACGCATGGATGACGGGCTGCTGGAGGTGGTGGGGGTGACGGGCATCATGCACATGGTGAGTGGGGGCTGTGGGCGCGGGGTGCTCCTGGGACCCTGCACCCCCTGAGCCTCCCCCTTCCACCAGGGCCAGGTGCAGGGCGGGCTGCGCTCCGGCATCCGCATCGCCCAGGGCTCCTACTTCCGAGTCACCCTCCTCAAGGCCACCCCGGTGCAGGTGGACGGCGAGCCCTGGGTCCAGGCCCCCGGGCACATGATCATCTCTGCCGCAGGCCCAAAGGTACTTCAAGGGCAGAGCCCGGCACCCACCTCTGGGAGGAAACACGTCCCTGGTGCTGGGAGGAAGGGCCCGTGACTCACAGCGGCTCCCGTCAGCTGGGTGGCCCAGCCGGCCCCCTGACCTGCCCACCCTGGGACAGGTCCACATGCTGAGGAAGGCCAAACTGAAGCCCAGGAAGGCCGGAACCCCCAGGGACGCCCGAATGGAAGGAATGCCCGCCCCCGAGGGAGGCCCTGAGTAGACACCTGCCTGGCGGGGCAGCGCCCCTTCACCCCTGCCCACAGGACCTCCCGCCACCACGCCCACGATGGGGGCGCAGAGCTCCTACTGACCATTTCTCTGCCTCTGGGGCCTGGCCCTTGTCCTGGAGGGCAGGCCCTGCTGTGTCCCCCACCCTTAGCTGCTCGAGCTGGGTGGTGCCCCCCTTGTGACTCTAAGACGCTTGAGCAGCAGCTAGAGCATGTGCGGGGCTGGGGCACCTGCTGCTGTCTGGGGGCAGCCCCTACTCTCCCTTGGCCTCCTCACTGTGGATACACTCAGGCCACTGGCTGACTGCGGGCCCCCTGGTGGCTCCAGAATGACCCAGCCATGCCAGGAGCGGACCCTGAGGCTGGCATCAAACTCCACCCTGCACGGGGTCTCCCAGTGCCCCTGCTGGCAAGGCCCCCTCCCACAAGCCCAGGGGCCCAGCCTGTACCTCTGCTGGCTGCGGGAGTCGCCTCCCCTGGACAGACACGGCCCCACACCCGCCTCCCTGACAGTGACACCCTTGGTTTCACGGCCCTGTGTTTATTTGCGTGGACTGGGGCGTCCATCCCCCCCCTCCCCCCGCGAGTCTGTAACCTGCCACTGCCCGGGCGCGAGCCAGTCTGCGGGAATACACCAGTGTCGCCGAGCTGCACCTCTGCTCTCTGCGCCAGGGTCCTGGGGGAGGGGGTCAGTGGGGGTCGCCCCATGGAGGCCAGCATGGCCAAGGTCCTCCCTGCTCGGGGGGGGGTGGTGTGTGGCGGCCTAGCAGTGGGCAGGGAGCAGCGGAGCCCGCGCCTCATCCGCACTGCCATGGTCGGGCCGGCGCAGGGCGCGCAGGGCGCTCAGGGCGGCCAGGCCCGCGCGGACCAGGAGCCGCAGCAGCAGGAAGGCGAACGGCACGGCGATCTGCGTGAGGTGGAAGATGGCCGTGCTGACCCGGCTCAGGAAGCAGGTGGCGGCGAAGGCCAGCAGGCTGGCGCAGGGGTAGAGCGCGAGCTTGGCAAACATGAAAGCATGCTCCTGGCCCCCAAACCACACAGCTGGCCGCAGCGTCTCTCGCTGGCGCAGCAGGGCCGTGGTCCAGATGGCGAACTGGAAGATGCTGGCGAAGAAGATGATGGCGCAGCTGACGCGCACCCGCTCCAGCTCATCCCTTGGCTGCCGCGCGAAGGCCGAGGTCTGCTGGTAGGCCAGTGGCAAGCCGCCCACGAAGGCCAGCGAGAGCGTGTTCAGCAGCCCCATGGCCTGTGTGGCCTTGCGCACGTGCAGGAAGAGCGAGTGGTGGGCGAACCACAGCAGGCCCACCGTGGCGAAGGAGCCAAAGTAGGCCAGGAAACGCGGCCCCGATGCCCGCAGCGCTGCCACCAGGCTGCCCTGGAACTCCTCCTGCACATCCTTGGGGTCCGGCACGTTGTCCTCGCTGTGAGCAGGAAGAGCGTTGTGGCTTCAGGGGGCTGAGTCCGGGCGCCCCCAGGCCCTGCCCCGCCGTGGCCCCTCCAGCCCCAGGGCAGGCGCTAAGCCCTGAGCTGCCTCAGGAAGGGCAAAGCCTGCACTCAGGACCATTGCCCTGTGGCTCTTGCAGGCCCCTGCAGGGAGCCACTGGCCCCACCTCTCAGCCACCGATGGCCCCAGGCAGCTGACCCCTTCCCCTCCTGGCAGTGGTGGGGGGCAGGAGACAGCCGGCCCAGGGCTGGGGTGCAGAAAGAGCTCAGGCCCCTGCCAGGTCCCCCGGCTCAGTGCCGAAGAACATTTGCTCCACGTTTGAAAAAACTCATGCTGTCCCTGGGAAAGAGCTGCTGAGAGAATTTGCAGAATCGGCTTTACACTCGCAGAACCAGGATATAAGAGCCGAGAATTTCAGCCTGAGAGGACGAGCCGCGGCTCGGCAGGGAGTAGGGCCGGGAGTGTGCCTGGGGCTGGGAGACGCAGGCGAGACAGGAATTAAGGCTGAGCGCTGTGATCAGACTCTGGATGGGCGGTCACTGGCACGGGGGTGGGGGGGGGAAGGGCCGAGCAGGGGTGCCGCTGGCTGGGCCCTCACCAGATGTCCAGGATGAGCAGCGTGGCCACGATGGCGTACACCCCATCGCTGAAGGCTTCCACTCGCTCCTTGCTGAGCGGCTCCTGCAGGTCGAAGGTGAAGAAGTCCACGACCTCGGTGGGGGGCTCCGGGGGGCCTGGGAAGGGAGGGGAGCACATGGTCTGTGGGGGGCCTGGCCTGGGCCCTGGAGGCAGCCGTGCCCTGCCCAGCGCCCCTGCCTACCCACAAGCCTGCTCCTGCACCAGCCGGCGGCCTTGCTGACGTAGGGGAGGAAGACGACCATCGCCATCAGCAGGTAGGACTGTGTGAGACATGCCCGTCAGGGGCGGGCAGCAGCTGTGGTCTGCGCCCAGGGCGGCGGCGGCAGCAGAGGCTGGCGCAGGCCAGCCCAGGCTCAGCGCCTAGAACACATGCCCTAGTGGCAGAGACCCAGGCGCCCGGCAGCAGGGGGCCGGTGGGCCCAACGCTGCGGAAACGCCCGGAGGGCCCTCTGAAGAGTGGTGGGACCTGGCCACCCTGCCCCCGTGGGGGAGGGCGTCCACCACGCCGGGCCTGCGCTCAGGGCGAGGGCCCGTCACAAAAGCCTCCGATCTCACAAAGTGCCTGGGATGAAGCAAAAGCGTCAGGAGGTGGGTGAGGGGTGGGGGCTGGGAAAGGGGGGCGTCCGCTGCTGGAGGGTGTTTGGGGTGGGGGCAGGTGCTGCGGACAGGCGGGGCAGCCAGCTGCAGCCTCAGAGAGGGTCAGCCGCGGGCACGTATGGGCCGAAGCATTCAGGGAGGCAGGGCGTCCCACAGGGGCTGCCAGCGGCCAGCCGCCCCCCTCTGTGCCATGCCTGGCCCTCAGGGCCGGGCTCCCAGGTCACCACATGGGGAGGGGACACACCACAGTGCCCAACCAGGGGCCATCTGGGGTGGGGCAGTCACTGCATGGGGGGGTACTGCTGGTGCTGAATGCCCTGTTGGGGGGGCCTGTGGGGGCTGGGCCGGCGGGAGGGTGGGCCTGGTGCTGGGCCCAGCAGGCCAGGGGAGGCTGAGGGAGGGGCGTGGCCTTGCGCAGAGGTGGGCCAGGGAGCAGGGAGGTCTCAGCCTGAAGGGTGGGGAGGGCAGGAGCAGACGGGTGGAGAGCCAACCACACCATCGGGGAGAGACAAAGGAACATGGTGGATGCAGCACTAGGCCTGGCAGCCCTGCCCAGTCCTCACCCTGCTGGCCCAAGGCACCCACCCTGCGGCCATCACTCCACCAGGGCCTGCTCATTGCCCACATGGACCCAGCACGATGCCCACTGGCCAAGGCCCTGGCAGCTCTGCGGCCCTCCTGGCTTAGGCCCCACCCGCCCCAAATACCGACCCTCGCCCTGGGCACACAGCCTGGGCGCCTGGCGCAGACCTGGCCTGTCCTCGCCTCTCGAGGCCCTCGCTGGTTTCTCCTCGTCCACACAGGGCACAGCCCGACCTGCACCTGACCTGCGCCCTTGGGAGGCTCCTCGGTGGCCCTCAGCCTGCGGCTGTGGCCACTTCTGTCCAGCGCTCATGCTCGCCATGTCGCACAGGGAAGGAACCCCCGAAGTGCTGACCCGACGCCTTCTCAGTTCTCACGACCATCAGGGCACAGTGTGAACTCACTCCATGGTTCAGGCCACGGGCGGCTCCAAGGAGGGGCTCGCCTCGGTCCTGAAGAGTGGGCACCCGAGGAGACTGTGTCCCCGAAAACAGGTCCCGCCGAGCTGACCGAGCCTTTTGGGTCACCCATCCCCTTCAGAGCCAGCTGTCGATGTGCCCCTCACGCTCCCGGGCCAGGGCAGGTTTCCACGGGGGTCGCTCCCCTGGGCCCTTCCTCTGACCACTGCACCGCCATCCTGCCCTGCAGTTTCGTCTCTGGCTTCTCGAACTCCCTGCTCGCTCTCTTGGGGCTCACCACCTCCCAGCGTGATGCCTGCATCCGAGCGCATGCTGACCCCACAGGTGGACGGTCCCGGAACGCGGCCCCAGGCTGTCCCCACACCCAGTGAGATGGGGCTGGGCCCCACGGGCTGCGAGGCACCTCCTCTTCCACCACCAAGCGGAGGTGCCTCTCACCCCAGCCAGTCAGGGCCTACACTTCAGCCTAGCCCTTGGCTCCCAGGCCCTGCAGGCCCCGCCCCGTCCCCAGCGGCCCCTGCGGGCCCGACTCAGACTCACCGCAGGGTAGAAGAACAGGGAGCAGCCGGCAGCAGCGAAGCATAGGGCGGGGCCCCGCAGCACCACACCCAGGACGTGGCGCCGGCACAGGGCCCGGTGAGCGGAGCAGGCCAGCGCTGGGCTCAGGAGGTGGGGGAAGCGGAAGGCATAGAGCACGATCAGCGCCTGTGCGAGAGGGGGCTGCAGGCCTCCGGGGCTCCGGCCAGGCACCCCACCCGAGCCAGCCCCCTGCCCTGCCGGGTCCTGGGGCGTGGGTCCCCGAGAGACAGGGCTGCGCTCAGAGCTGGTGGAGAGGGGCCTGGGGCCGTGGGCGCAGGCCGTCCCCACCTACCTGCACCGCCCCGATGGCGATCACACACACGCAGAACAAGAAGATGCCCAGGGGTGCCTCGGGGAAGGTCACCATCAAGGAGAACTGCAGCCACAGAACAAAACCAGGTTCCCCAGGGCGCCCACCCCAGCAACACCAGCCGCTGCTTCCGGCCTTTGATCCAAACTAGGCTCGGGCTGGGGGTGTGGGGGTGGCAGGGCGGAGCCTCGGTGAGCCGGGGGATGCCCCTCCGTGGGCCTGTGGCACCCCAGCTGGGGGGCTCTGCCCTCGCCGTCCTGCCTGGGACCCCTGGAAGGCCCTCTCCCCGACAAGCCTGCAGACCCCAGGCTCTCCTTCCCCAGCCCACCCGGCTGGCCTGCCCCGTAGGAGGTGCCTCAGAGCGGACCCCAGTGGCACTGAGGGCTGGGGGGAGGCAGGGAGCCGCGGTCACTCACCGTGAACGGCAGGAAAGTGATGGTCATCATGCAGGCCTAGGGGTGGACAGGAGGTCAGGCAAGAAGCAGGAGGGTGGGCGGGGCCGCCCAGAGAGGTGCTGTGTCCCCATCAGGGCCCCAGATCTCAGGGCATCCCCTGGAGGGGCCCCACTGCAGGGCCCAGACAGTGCCCAGAGGCGCCGACTCACCAGGTTGAGCAGGGCCAGGGTGTCATCGATCCGTCCCACCACCTGGAACAGCCTGCGGGAGAGCAGCGGACACCCTCAGCGCAGTCCCGGTCAGAGCTAAGGACACCGCTCGAGGCCAGACTGAAAACCCACCCAGAGCGCGGCTTGGAGGGCAGCGGACGTGCAGAGAGGCGTGCAGCCTCCGCAGGCACCTGTCCCCCACCCTCCGGCTGCCCCCCTTCCCAGTCCTCGAGGGGCCTGCTTCCTGGGGAAGGCCCTGGCTGTGGGCACGAGGGTCCTGGGGCGCTCCGTGCCGCACCCCACCTGGGTATGGGCGGGCCCTGGGGGCTGCTGGTGCCCGAATGCCCCAGAGGTGGCCCGACGCCCAGGAGAGTGGAAGCCGCCGCGCTCTGACCTCCAGTGGGCCCGCCTCGGCCTGGGGTCCAAAGCCGATGCTTACAGACAACCCTCCGGAACCCGCTGGGCGCCCTCCTGACCAGGGCAGAGTGCTGCGAGCGCCCAGCCTGGCGGTGTGAGGGCCTGTGGCCCTGGCCTCGCTGCGCGTCTGGCAGGGTGTCCAGCCGGCAGGGCTACCGCAGGGCTGGGCAGGGGACGTCTCAGTCAGTGAGCTGCTGCCAGCTACGGCCCTTGCCCTGTCAGGGAGGCACAGGAGAGTCCTCGTGGGGCCCCCCCGGTGGCCACCTGCGCCTCGAGTCAGCCACTTGGCTGGAAGAGACACTGCCAACGCAAGTGCCGTGCTGAAGGGCCTCGTGCTGCAGACCCCGAGGGCGCCTCCTCCCGCCCACCCCACTGCCCCCATGGGGCTCCTGCGGGGGGCGGCTACAAGACCCTGGGCCTGGCGTCTCCCGGGGACACTAAGAGGAGCTCTGGACCCGACCCTGTCCGCAGGGCAGCCCCTCCCAGTTCTGGGAGCGGTGAGGTGGCACAGCTGCCTGCCCTGGCCTCGGGGAGCCAGGACAGCAGCACCCCTGGAAGCGAGGCCTGGGCAGACAGGGAGCGGGCCGCTGGGGTGAGTCGGGGGAGGGAATGGCTTACCTCGTGTGTGCGGCCCAGGCCACCGTCACGATGAGAAACGTCATCAGGTAAACGGCGATCCTGGTTGCCAGAAGCTTCTGTATGCTTTTGTCAAACTGCTGGGAAACGAGAGAGCAGTCAGAGGCCGTCCCGCTCGGCCCACACACGGACACCCCTGCTGCAGCCTCCACCTGGGCCTCGGCCGCTGGCCAGCGCCGCAGGTGCCGTGTGGGGCAAGGTCCGCGTGCACCCGCCCACCGCCCGGGCTCCCAGTCTCTGAAGTGACTCCCACGCCGGGGGCGGCCTCTCGCCCTGCAGCAGGCGCTCCAAGTCGGTGATTGGGGGTGCTTTGGGGACCGCTTCCGCTCAGGTCCTGCACCTCCAGACAGCCCCGGCGCCCACCTCCAGGCCAGGGTCAGCTGTACTGCCCTTGCCACCTGGCCAGCAGTCCCCCGCCCCCCCGCAGCGCGGGCTCCAGGTACCTGCTCCGGGGAGAGCTCCGTGTGCGTCACAGGCAGGATCTGCAGAGCAGACACGAGGCTGCTCTTAGGGGGTGCCCTGGCCTGTGCCCAGGCGCCCGCGCCCCCTCCCACCTGGCCCACTCGGGGCCCACCCCCAGGGGGAGCCTAGCTGCTGCCCGAAGCTGTCTGGCCAGTGCCCCGCTGGGCGGGCGCCAGAGAAGGCTGTCTCTGGAGGGCGTGTGGGCCTGAGGGAGGCTTGGGGGCGCACAGACCATCACGGTGGCGATGATGGACAGCAGGGCGTCACTGAAGCTGAGCATGCGGTGCGAGTGCTGGATCCCGCTGGCAGGGTCCTCCTGCCTGTCGAGGGCTGGCTCTGGGGTCGGCGGCCCAGACATGGTGAGGCCTGGGAGGAAGGGTGGGTCTAGCAGGTGGGCTGCGGCTGCCGGGGGCTCGGGGTGACAGGACGGGCCCCGCCATCCTCTCCCAGGCTCCCCACAGCTCTTCTCCAGGCGCAGTGCCAGCACCCTACTCCGCCTGTCCTGCTGCTGCAGAGCCTGGCGTCTGCGCCTCAACCTCCCCAGGAGAAAAGGCAGTGGCAGGAGGTGGCACCCGGCACTTGTGGTGGGCACGCCAGGGAGGGCCTAAGCCCCGGATGCTGCTGGCCACTAAATGAAGCTGCGCTGCAACCTGGGCGGCCCGCCCCCGCCCCCCCCCCCCCACGCGACTCTGGTGGGTGCTTCTCTTAAGGGGCACAGGGTCTGTGACCTCTGGGCCAATCAAGGCCCTGCCTTCAGGTCAGCCTGGCCCTGGCTGCACCTCTGCAGGCACCACAGAGGGGTGCCGCCTCTTGCTGGCGAGGGGGTCCCGGGGGCCGGCCCCGGAAGCAAGTGTCCCCAGTGTGGCCCCGACAGCCCACCGCGGTGGTCTGGCCAGAACGCCAGAGCCAGCAGATAGGCCTCTGGGCCGGAGACCCTGGCACCAGCGGGACATGGGGCACGAGGCTCCAGCTGCCGGGGCGGGCTGCAGGGTGCCTGGCAGCCTGAGGACACCGAGTCCAGGCGGAGCCCGCGTGGCCTGGAGCCTTGACAGGGTGGCAGGCCGTGGGCACAGGCCAGCCCCTCGGCTGGAGACAGGCGGGGCGCGGGACGGCAGGGCTGCCCAGGACGCCTGCGGGTCTAGGGGCTGAGGGGAAGTCATCTGGGTGGGCCTGGGCAGCAGGGGACTGGCGGGAGAGGAGTTTGCTGCTGAAACTGGAAGCGCCTCGTCTCAGCAGAAGAGCTGAGACATTCCCAGGGACTGGAAAGGCAGGAAGGTGGTGCTGAAAAGTTGGGGTGTGGGGGAGGGATGTCTGGAACCCCAAGCCCACCGCGGTGCCTCCCTGCGGAGTGGAGCAGGTCAGGTGGGCTCGTGCCAAGGCGGGCTTAGGGGTCCCGCTAAGACAGGAAAGGGCCCCTCAGCTCTCCACAGAGACTGAGGCAGGAGATGACCTCATAGGCCCCCCCAAACACTGCCACTTCCACCGGGAACCCCAAGTGTCCAGACTCCTGCCGCTTAAGTGCACCCCCATCTGTCTGCGATGAGAGAAAATAGACAGAAAGGAGCCATGCGCCATGGCCAACGCCCAGGCCAAAACAGACCACTGAAACCTGCACAGGCCCGCGCCCCCCCAGCCCTGCGGGCGGCTGACTGTCCCGTCAGAGCCCTCGGCCCAGGCTTCGCCCCCCAGTACATGTCTGCCCGGCTTTCCGCCTTTTCCAGAGGCCCCGCCCGCCCTGCCACTGGCACCCTCACCCCAGCTGCTGGGGCACAGGGGCTCCATGCAGTGCTCTGTGTGCACCCCCGGGCGGGTGGGCCAGGCCAACGGAGTAAGCGTGGAGCGGCCCTAGGCAGCTCGGGGACCCCAGGTCTGCCCAGCCTTTCCATGGGGACTCTGGGGCACAGACACTACCGCAGACAGAGGACCCCACGCCCACGGGCCCAGCGGGGCTGGTCATGAAACCCTATGACCAGAATGACGAGCTCTGCTGTGCCGCCCCGATCGCGGGCACCCCAGCATGGTTGAGCTCGCATCTCCTTTTGGCTGATTGAGCCTCTTTTTTACCTGAATATCTTTGGTGGCAAAATGTCCTTGGGATCCTCGGCGCTGTTTGTGGGTTGCCGTGTCCTCGCGGAGTTTCTGGAACTGACAGGCCAGCTACAAGTCTGTCAGAACTGTGACTTGCAGAGTTCCCCGCACCCTGTCTTTCACGATCTTGCCAGCCTTGGGGCAAACATCTCGAGTCTCCACAGATCTGCTGCCAACTGGTGCCACCACGGCGATAGCTCCACAGCAGTCTTCAACCCCGGCGCCACCAGGGAGGCCCACTGCTGCTGCTTACTACAGTCAGGCAAGAGGACGCCTCTTTTCCTCAGGATTGCGCTTGCTCTTTATACGCACGTTTTTAAGGCTCGTGGCAATGGAAAATAAAATGCGGGACTGAAAGTTGAAGAGCACAGAGTTGAGGGAGGCTAAAGACAAGGGGCTGAAACTCCTAGCAGAGTAGATAACTGAAGGCTTGCGTGGCCTGTGGTGGCTACACTGTGCCAGGACAATCACGCGGCAGTGCCGTGAGTACTGCCCTACATGTAGTGGGAACAGTGTTTACCTGGCCTGAGTTGAGTCAGGGAAATATCAGAGTGCGAGATGCCAGGGACCAGTCTGGAAATATTTATGATAAAAGAAAAAACACATGACATTTATCAAGAATTTACAAGTACCAAGCATTGTTTCAGGAAGTTTATATGGAGCACCTCTCTTCATCCTTAAACAATGATGTGATTATTGAAAGACAAAAAGGAATTGGCTGCATGTACACAATAAGCAAAGCGTGGTGTGCAACGAAGTACACGAGGTTTGATAAACTGAACGCACCTGACAAGGCTAGGCCTAAATCTCAAAGAGCCCTGCATGTGCTAGGCAAGTTTGGACATCACTCCAAAGATTATGCAGAGCCCACCAGTACTTTTGTTTATATACACCCGCCTACTAAAGTGTTAATTAATGCAAATATTTTAAAAAAAGTCTAATTAGTTAAATATATAACTTACATACTTATTTATACACTCTCAGAACAACTCACTATCAGAAACGTGACTTGCACATCACCCTCCCAGGTCTGAGTTTTCAGCCTCTCAACAGTATGCATGTGTATGTAAATACACACACAGAGATTATACACACACACATTCTTTTAATTAGTAGATTTTTTTTTTTTTGAGCACCTTTAGTTTTATAGGAAAACTGAGTGGTAAGTAAAGTTCCCAGGAATTCCTTTACCATTTCCCCCCACCCTTGTTTTCTTTTATTAACATCTTGCATTACGGCCTCCTGGTGGTGCAGGCGATTGAGCGCAGCGCTGTGAAGCTGTTCGCAGCCTCTGCAGTAACGGTTCGATTCCCACCGGCCTCGGAGCAACCCACATGGCGAGCAGATCTTGCCTGTCTGGCCCGCTGCTCCCCTCAGCAGTGTATTTCGTCAGTCTGCCTGTTCTGTTCCCCGCTCTGTCTCTGGTGAATCCTCTCACCCTCCCACGCATCTGGCCTGTACCCCAGTTCTTGTATAAATTAAAAAAAAGAAAAGCAACCCTGCTTTAAATAAAAAAAAAAAAATCTTGCATTAGTGGCACATTTGAGATGAGCCCATATTGACACATCACCAACTCCAGCTTAGAGTTTACTTTGGGCCCTTCTCTGTGCTGAATACTTCTACAGGTTTTGACAAACGTGTGATGACTGGTTTTCACCATTACTATATCATAGAGGGTTACCTTCACAGGCCTAAATATCTCCTGTGTTCCCCCTTATTCATCCTTCCTTCCCTCACCCAGAATTGGTCACCATAATTTCCCTTTTCCAGAAAGTCAAAGTCGGAATCATACAGTATTTAGCCTTTTAGACTGGTCTATCTCATTTAGATATGTATTTTTGAGGGTCCTCCATGACTTTCTGGGGCTAGAAAGCCCCTTTCTGGGGCTAGATAGCACATTTCTTTTTATCACTGAATGATACCCCTTTTTATGGAGGTACTAGTTACTCATTCACCTAATGAAGGACATCTTCAACAATGTATTTTGAAGTTCTTGGTTTTGGTGAAGTCCAGTTTATCGAGACTTTTATGAATTACGCTTTGTTATTATGTGAAAAACAACTCATAGATTTTCTCTTGGCTGTACGGTTTTGTGTTTCCAAATGAATTTCAGAATCAGAGCTGTAAATTTTTATAAAAAAGTCTGTTGGGATTTTTATCAGAACTGCACTGTATCTACAGGTGAAGTTAGAGAATTGAAACTGGGTACAGGCCAGAGGCATGGGAGGGTGAGAGAATTCACCAAAGACAGAGCGGGGAGCAGAACAGGCAGACTGACTGAAATACACTGCTGAGGGGAGCAGCAGGCAAGGCAGGAGAGGTCTGCTGCGCCATGTGGGAATCTCCCTGGGCGGCCGGGAATTGAACCCACACTGCATAGGATGTGGACAGCTTCACATCACAGTGCTCAACGGGGGAGGCCCTATAGAATTACTATGTTACCAATACTAAATCCCCCAATTTATGAATGTGGAATATATCTGCATTTATTAAGGACTTTAATTTCTCTAAATAACGCCTTAAAATTTTTTCAGTGTATAAGTTTTGTGCACGCCCCCCCTTTTTTTTTTTAAAGATTTATTTATTTATACAAGAACCGGGGTACAGGCCAGAGGCGCAGGAGGGTGAGAGGATTCACCAGAGACAGAGCGGGGAACAGAACAGGGAGACTGACTGAAATACACTGCTGAGGGGAGCAGCGGGCCAGACAGGAGAGGTCTGCTGTGCCATGTGGGACCCTCGCTGGCAGGCCGCGATCAAACCCGCACTGCAGAGGCCGTGGCCAGCTTCACAGTGTAGTGCTCAACTGCCTGCGCCACCAGGGAGGCCCTTGTGCATTCTCTTTTGTGGTAAAAAAAAAAAAAATCATACTCAGAACACGCTTTATATATACGCATAGTCTGCATATTTTATATAATCTATACATACATATATGTATACCTGTACACATGTATTCTAAATTATAATTGGAATGTTGGCAGCATCCAAAGCACCAGTCAGGGGCACATAGGCCTTCTCTCCATCAAACGTGATCAGACCAATGACCTTGTCTATGTTGATGTCAGAGCTTCTTCACAGCCTGTGTGATCTGGTGCTTGTTGCCTTGACATTCACAGCGAACACAAGCGCGTTGTTGTCTTCTGTCTTCTTCACGGCTGACTCAGTGATGGGGAGAACGTGGTGATGGTACAGTGGCCAACCTTGCTTCTCCTAGGAGCATCTTCCTAGGATATCTGGGTTGCCTTTGGAGTCACAGTAACTTAGGCCTCCGAAAGGTGGGTGAAGTGTGGATGTATTTTTTTCTGGTGGCTGTGGATGCCTTCCAGCAGCTTTCTTAGCCTTCAAAGATTTTGCTTTGGCTCGTGTTGGGAGGTGCTTCCAATGCTGAAGCCAACGTTCTCAGGAGCTTCCTTCTTTACTTTCAATGCCATCTTTGTTAAAAGGAGCTTTTTATAATTTATCCCCATTTTACTATTTGTTCCTGAAAAAATTTTTTTTTGTCATTTTGCTTTTGATATTTGTTGTTACATATAAACACTTTTTTTTTTGGTACATAATCGTATTTTCTACAACTAGTTTTGGTAGCTAGTTTTTGGAAACTCCATTTGGTTTCCCACAAAGAATGGAGGCTCTCAGATGAGAAAGATTTTTGTCCCTCGGCAGATATTTGGCAATATCTAAAGACATTTTTAGTTGTGACAACTGGAGTGTATTGTAGGTATCCAGGGGGTAGAAGTAGGGGTGCTGCTCATCCTATCATGCAGCACCTTTCCAGCCCAAAAAGGAGTGTCTGACTTATAAAGTCAACAAAGCCAACGTTGGGTACTCTAATACAGATGATGTCATTTTCAAATAATTTTACTTACTACTTCTCGATCTATATGCTTTAAAAATTTTTTTTAAAGATTTATTTATTTTGGGTCTCCCCGGTGGCACAGCGGTTGAGCACTGGGTTGCAAAGCTGCCCACAGCCTCTGCAGTGCCGGTTTGATCCCCGGCCGCTGGCGAGGGTCCCACATGGCGCGCAGACCTCTCCTGCCGCCCGCTGCTCCCCTCAGCAGTGTATTTCGTCCGTCTGCCTGTTCTGCTGTCCCCTCTGGCTCTGGTGAATCCTCTCACCCTCCCGCGCTTCTGACTGTACCCAGTGCTTGTATAAATAATAAATCTTTTAAAAAAGATTTATTTATACAAGAGCTGGGGTACAGGCCACATGTGCGGGAGGGTGAGAAGATTCACCAGAGACAGAACGGCAGCAGAACAAGCAGACAGACTGAAGACACTGCTGAGGGGAGCAGCAGGTGAGACAGGAGAGGTCTGCTGGCCAGGAGGGTTGCTCCAAGGCCCGCAGAGATCGAATGGCACTGCAGAGGCTGCAGACAGCTTCACAGCACTGCACTCAATCATCTGCGCCACCAGGGAGGCCCCAAACCCGAAGTTTTCTTTGGGGGAAAGCTGATAACTACAAACCCACTGCTTTATAAAACACAGGGAAGTTCAGGTTGTCTATGTCTTCTTTAGTGAGCTGTATAGTGTCTCTTGAGAAATCTGTTTAGTCTAAGTTGTTGAATTTACTGGCACAAAGTTGATCATATTCACCTTTTTTCTTTTTTTAACAGTGATGCCATTGCTCTCATCTGTGATACTGTGAATACTTTTTTTGTTGTTGTTCAATCTGGCCAAGATTCTATTATTGAAATCAAAGAATCAGCTTTTGGCTTTAATGATTCTACTTTTGTTATCTATTTTATTTTATTATTATTTTTTAAAGATTTATTTATTTACTTATACAAGCACTGGGTACAGTCAGAAGCGCGGGAGGGTGAGAGAGTTCACCAGAGCCAGAGCGGGGAGCAGATCAGGCAGAAGGACTGAAGTACACTGCAGAGGGGAGCAGCGGGCGGCAGGAGAGGTCTGCGCGCCATGTGGGACCCTCCTCCTGTGGCCGGGGAGCAGCCAGGGATCGAACCAGCGCCGCAGAGGCCGCGGGCAGCTTCGCAACCCAGTGCTCAGCCGCTGCACCACCGGGGAGGCCCTTGTTACCTATTTTATTGACTACCATTCTGATATTTCTTATTTCCTTTTTACACCTACTTAGCATTTCACCTAATCTTATTTTTCTAAGTTCTTAAGATGAAAGCTAAGGTGATTGATTTAAGACTTCTAGGAGTGCTTAGTCACGTTCCACAATTTTTGAAATACTGCATTTCCATTTTCCTTCACTTTAAACTTGATTTCCCTTTGACCCATGGGTAACTGAAAGTGAGTCATTTGGTTTCTTAATAATTGACTTTCTAGGTTATCTTTTATTAACTTCTAACTTCATCTCATCGTGGTCAGAGAACATACTTGGCTCAGAATCCAGAATATGCTCTATCTTGATAAATGTTCTTTATATACTTGAAGAAGTGTGTTCTGTTGTTACTGTGCTGCGTGCTCTGTAAACATGCATTAGGTCCAGTTGGCTGATAGTGGTTTTCACATGTTACTTATCTTTGGTGATTTTGTGTACTTTCTTGTCCCTTGTTGGGAAAGGAGTATTGACATCTCCGACTGCGACTGTGGACTTGTCTGTCTCCCCTTGCACTTCTATTAGTTTTTGTTTCACGTGTTGTACAGCTTTACTAGGAGGCGCAGAACGGTTTAGGGCAGTCAAGTCTCTGGATGACGCGATCCCATCACCGCTACGAAATGATCCCCTTCGTTTCAGGTAATGTTCTTTTTTCAAAAAAAGATTTATTTATGTATGCACACAAGAGCTTATGTGGGGGTGAGAGGTCTCCCCGGGGACGAAGCGGGGAGCAGAACAGGCAGGCGGAGGGCGGCGGGGAGACAGGAGAGTCGCCGCGCCCGGTGGGCCGCTCCCAGGCCTTAGGGGCCGCCGCTGGCCTGCCCGCGCTGACCCCCGCGCCACAGGAGCCCCGTCTCTGGCGATACTCTTCGCAAAGAGGTCTGCGTGAGGGGAGCAGACCTGGGACAACTCCCGTCTCAGACAGAGAAACGCGCACGAGAACCCAGGACCCCTGTGTGGTGTGGGGAGACCGGTGTGGCGAGGACGGCGGCGCCGCCCTCTCGCGGGCCGCCCCGGGCGGGAGCGCCCCCGGCCCCGCGGCCGCGTCGGCCCAGCTGCAGGCCGCCGGCGCCCCAGGCCGCGGGCTCCCGCCGGAGCGGCCGAGCCCCGGCGGCCCCCGGGCTCCTGCCCTCAGGCGCCGAGCAGCTCCGGCCTCCGGGCGCCTCCCGCCGCCCTCCCGCAGACGGCGGCCCGCCCCGACGGCCCCCGGGCGCCTTCACCGCGCTTGCCCGGCGGGCCCCGCGGGGCGGCCGCCCTCCGCGCAGCCGGGGCCCGAGGGCGGCCGGCGGGGCCGCGCGGACGCAGCCGTGTCCCGCCTCCTCCCCGAGGCGACCGCGGCGCGGAGTCCCGGGCGGCCCGCGGGGCGGCGGCGGGCGGCGTCTTACCTGAGGCGGCGCCGCGGCTCCGGTGCGCGCGGCCGGGCCCGCTGCCTACGGAAGCCGCGAGGGAGCCACGCCCCCACCTCCGCGCCGCCGGCGTCTCGGGCCTCGCGAGCGGAAGGGGCGCCGCGCACGCGCAGTCCCGCGCCGGCCCGGGCGCCCGGCGCGGCGGAAGTGAAGCGCGCGACTCTTCCGGGTCGCGGCGCGCCCCGCGGACGTCACGCGCCGGGGCGGAAGATGGGGCGGCTCGGGGCCGGCGGTTGCTGAGCGGACCCGGACGCAGCTGGACCCGGGCCGGCCGCCCCGCGCCCGCCGCCGCCATGTCGCTGCTGCAGTCGGCGCTCGACTTCCTGGCGGGCCCGGGCTCCCTGGGCGGCGCTGCCGGCCGCGACCAGACCGACTTCGTGGGGCAGACGGTGGAGCTGGGCGAGCTGCGGCTGCGGGTGCGGCGGGTCCTGGCCGAGGGTGAGGCCCGGGGCCGCGCGGGGCGCGGGGGGCGCGGGGGCCGCGGGGGCGGGAGCCGCGCGGGGCGCCGGCCGCGGGGGCGGCGCGGGGCCGGGCGGCGGGGGTGGCGGGCGCGGGGCGGCGGGGGCCGGCCCGGTGACCGCGGAGGGCGAGGCCGGCGCCCGGGCCGGCACTTCCTGGCCGACCGCGGCCGGGGCGGGTCGTCGCGGCAGCTGGTGCGGCCGCGGGGAAGTCGCGTCCTGCAGGTGTGTTGTGGGCGGGACGCGGCTGCACCTCCGGTCCCCGCGTTCCGGGGAGCAGGGAGCGGGCACAGTGCCGCCCTGGGCGGCCGGGCCCTGCCCACCTGGGCTCCGGGCGGGCGCACGGCGATTCCCGGGCCCTGCTTCCTGCTGTCCACCGGCCTGGCCCGGCGCGCCGCCTCTTCGGCCATTCCGCGGAAGTCGCGCCAAGCAGAGCCCACAGCTGGGACCCGCGGGACCATTGCAGTTTGACCGGTCAGTCACAGAAGTGGTGCCAGCTTGTTCTCCTGCCAGTTCCAGCTTCCTTGATGCCCTCTCTCTTCCGGCAGAGGCTGCCTCTGCCTCAGAGCAGCCCATCTCCATTCTCTTCTGTGTTTCCTTTGCACTTTGTCCTGTGTCCCCGCGGGGCTGTCAGGCTGGGTTGGCAGTGACACTTACAGCTAACTGTCGTCGGCATTGGTGCCTGAACAGAACCATTTTCCCTTGCACCAGCGCTGGCCAGAGGGCGGGAGGCCAGGCCCTCAGCAGGCCATGGCAGCTCAAAGGCCACCCTGCCACTGCTGGTGTTCAATCCGAGGCAGGAAACCGGCTGACCTTCCTCGTGTCCTTGTCATTAAAGGAATTTGGGGCAGCGTGTGGTTTTTTGTCTTGTGGAACTTGAAAAAAGACTCAGCCTCTGATGGCTGTGGCACCCTGCAGGGTGGGGAGATTGTGGGGCAGGAGGGGTAGTTAGAGGGCCCCAGGGAACCACGCTGTTGGAGGGGGGCAAGAGTGCGCCCCAGTCAGCTGCAGGTGCAGGAGGGAGGTGGAGCCCGAGGCCTGCACCTTCATGCCCATGATGGGGAACCTCGACACTTGACCACCGCTGGGTGGGATGATCCTCCCTTGGGGCCAGGTAAGGGCCCCGCAGCCCCTGCAGTCCGGGAGGCCTCTTTATGCAGCAGAATAGGGAAGAGACCTGCCTGAAGTATCTCACACAAAATAGCGACCTCGCCAGGGCCCTGCACCGCATCAGGGTTCTTCAGGTTTTAGGGCAGTGGGTCCTGGCCCGCATGCCGTGGGGTGCTGAGAGGGCTTGGGAAATGCTCGCAGTAAGTGCTCGTCCTGTGAGTGAGTGGAAGGGTGTTAGCACCATGGGGGATGTTCAGCCCTAAGTAGCCACGTTAGCTTTGTTAGCTGGTGCCCTGGTGAGGTCACAGTTGATACGTTCTTGCTGTTAAATGATTTAGGGAAAAGACTTTGGTCTCCTGGGCTACTTGGGCCTGTAACATCAGATGGGCTGTGGGCAGGAGTAGGGAGCAGGCGCCCCTCTGACCTTTTCAAAGTCTGTTCTGAGTTGTTCTAAAGCAGGTCCCGGTGTCGGCACAGATGCCCCTGGTTTCGCCTGCTGCCATGCCGTGGCCTGCCTTCGAGTGGGGCGCCCAGGTGGTCGGCTGCTGCGTCCTTTCCTCCCTGTGCTCGGGTCCACCTCTCCGGGCTGGTCACTCAGGGCGGTACCTGGGCAGCTCTTCAAGAGAGGGAGTGAGTCTGTCCGGTGGCTGCTGTGTACCTGGCTAGGTGTCGGGTATACCTTTGGTTAGCGGCTCTTTGCCCCGAACATGCTATCGAGACCTGGCGGACTTCCTGCTGAGAATTCCTGTGCTTTCTGAGGTTTGTGCTGGTGCAAGGCACTGTGAGGGCACGGCCCCGCCCACTGCCACCCCCTGGCTGGTGCCGTGTTGGGCTGGGCGAGGGCCTCGGGCTGGACTTGTGGGAGGTGGCAGAACTGCAGGCTCCTGTCTGCAGGGCTCAGGGGCCACCAGGCGTGTGCCAGGGAGCTCTATGGCCTGCCACCCTCCCACGGAGCGTGTCTGGCCCCCTCCTCTGGGTGCTGCCTAACTCGTGTTCCACCCAAGCCTGATGAATTGCGCACCTGCCGCCAGTACCTGCTCAGCCAGCCTGCCGTGGCGTGTCCTTGCAGGGTGTGGGCTGGGGGCGCGCTCAGGCGGCAGCTGTCCTTTGAAGATACAGTATTTTCAGTTTTCACGGCTTCGTCTGTTTTTCCTTATGTGATTCATGTTTTTGCTGTCAAGTCCAAGAACCCTGCCTGCCTTTGGACCGGGAGAATTTTTCTCCCAGGTTTGCCAGACATTGCGTGACTCTCCATCTGTGTACTTCTCACGTCCCTGTGAAAGGGGGGGCACAGGGTAACAAGGCAGGAGGCTGGACGGAAGGACGGAACGGCCACCCCTGCCCAGGTTGAGACCAGAGAGCCGCCAAAAAACCCCAGAAATCAAAAACCAAACCAAGGGCTATAGCCTGACAAAGGACACTGCCGCAGAGGACGGGCCACTCTCGAGGGTCTCACCACGCACACAACCCTGGGCCGGAGCTCTCGGGCCGCGGGTCCAGCCACCGGTAGCTCGTCACACAGGGAGACAAGAGCTCACGCAGCCACAGCGGGGCCGCCTCACCCAGAGAGCGTCGGGGAGTGTCGCCACCGGCCACCAGGAGTCTGGGCAGCACTGACCAGTGTGATGGGCACCACTAGCCCCAGAGGCGGGTCAGAGACCCAGGGTCACAGCTCCTGGGAGTTGTCCGGCGACACTGGGACCTGGGCTCCCTTCAGGCGACGTCAGAGTGCGAGGCCGCCCCTGCCAAGAGCCGGGGCGGAGTCTCCCAGGAGTCTCCCCTTCGCCCTTGCGGCCGGCCCGTCCTCCCTTCCAGGCTGGCCCTGTCTATCCCCCGCCGCAGACCCTGGCTTGTGTCCTCTGTGGGGCACCCCGCCCACAAGTCGGATTGGGCCATTTTCAATCCTGGGGCGGATTGGCCCATTCACCGGCCAGCCGGTAGCCCCCATTGGTCCAGTGCGCGGGCCCCGAAGCGGCTCTACGCCCAGCTCGGCACGTGCTGCGGGTTCCAGCATCTGGCGCGGCCCCTTGCCCGTGGGTGTCGGGCCCCTCCCGTGCCGGCCAACAGCGCCTTCCCTCCGAGCGGCCGCCCCCACCCAGCTCTGTCGCCGTGGAGGGGTGTCCCTGCCCCCCACCCCGTGCGAGGGCGCGCGCACCCCCCGCCAGGACCTCAGCGCCGCGGTCGCTGCCCCGGGGACGAGCTTGGAGGTCCGTCTTCTCTCTTGGTTGTGGGCAGTTTCAAAACCGCAGGAGAGTAGAGGGCGCGCAGGACACGTGCTGCGTGCTCACTGCTCCCAGATACATGAACATCGCTTCTTTAAAAATCTTGTTTCGCCCCAGACTGTTAAAATCATTCAAAATACACCGACCGTCAGAGCGAGCCCAGGCACCCCATCAGCGGGCCTCCAGGACTGGAGCACGTGGGCCGTCTCCTTGGTCCCCGGGGTCCAGGGAGGACACGTGCCCGCCCTCTGCCGAGGCCGCTGAGCGTCGTGCCCGCCCGCGGCGTGTGGGCGCAGCAGTGGCGACCATGGGCAGGGCCTTTGCTCCTCTGGGGTGCGCATGGCAGCGCTGCAGTCCTTGCCGGGCAGCCGTGACGTCTCGTGGTCACCTAACACCCAGAGTGCCGGCCCCTCCTCCCGGTCACAAGCATCGGCCAGCACAGGGGCCATGGGTCTCGCGGGACCAGGTGTGGCGGCAGCAGGATGGCACCGAGTGCTTCCCGGGTGCCTGCTCGGCTCTGCTTTGGGCGTGTCCTCAGGCGTGGCCCCCGTAGCCTGCTCCTGGCCCTCAGGCCCCCTTAGCCTCTGGGCAGGAGCCCCTGGTCGGGGGTGCAGCCCTTGGCGCTGGCCATCAACTTGCCCTCAGCGTGGACCGCGAGCCCCGAAGCCAACGCTCCCATGCCTGTCTCCATCGCAGCCTGGGGTGCAAAGCACAGCGTTGCTGTCCAGTTCTGTGCCTCGGGGTGAGGTCCTGGGGTCCCCACACTGGAAGCCATGCCCTCTGCCGGGGAAAGCACTGCCCCTCATGATCCTGGCGGCATTCGCAGCGCTCTGGCTTGACTGGGCTGCTGGGCCGGGAACACGCCTGGCCCCAGCCCACCTCTGGGCCGCACAGACGCCACCCGCGGGGAAGTTGCTGAGTCGTTTGCTTTTCATTGCGTGACGCAGTTTTCCGCTCAAAAAGCTAAAAGGCGCTCACCACGCAGACCCTCGGTCACGGGGCTTTCTGGGGTTGGAGCAGCCTGGTTAGTCCCGATGGGAGCCCCTGGCTGGGCCGGCCTCTGTCCACTGCGCTGCAACTGTCCGTTTCGTCCCTTTCCAGCGAACTGACCTTGGTTTTCTTTCATCTACTTTGACAGTTACCTCTGCTCTCATGTTTCTCTCTTTTCGCCTTTGGAGCAGGGTCTTTGGAAGGCATTGTGGGATAAGTTGGGGTTGTTAATTTTGTGGGGAACAAACTGGGAGCCACGACCCAATTTGTATTTAGTAAAGATGTTTTAAAGCCCAACGTGCTGGACACTGGCACCGATAGGACGTGTGTGTTCTTGTTTCAGGTGGGTTTGCCTTTGTCTACGAGGCGCAAGACCTGGGCAGCGGCCGAGAGTACGCGCTGAAGGTAACACGGCGGCTGCCGGGCCCAGGAGGCACTGAGCTGAGCTGCCCTCTGCCCTGTTGGGGCTGGTGCTGGCCAGCCCAACAGTGCCTCCAGGAGCCCCAGGGTGACATCTGTGAGGGGGGCCTGGTGGCTGGCGGGTATTCCTCGCTGCTCCGTGCCCCTGGCTCGCGCCCGCTCTCAGCTTTAAGTCTGTTGCACTTTACACCTTCCTGCTGGAGAGTGGCGGCCATTTCGTTTTAGCCACTCTGCGTCCCACAGACCGCTTTCCACGTCTGTGGCCCACGGCCCAGCGGACGCGAGCAGGCGGCTGGTGTGCCCTAGGCCCCCGGGTGCAAGGCAGGGAGCAGATGGGGCTCACTCTGGTGTGTGTCACTTCCCGCTGCAGAGACTGCTGTCCAACGAAGAGGAGCAGAATAGGGCCATCATCCAGGAGGTCTGCTTCATGGTATCCTTTTCTAGGCTGGCCTGCACCATCTGCCAGGGCTGCAGCCGCCACCAGGCCCATAATGCAAGTGGGCTGCGGGGCTCCCTTCCCCGTCTGCCCCATGCTGCTGGCATGGCTGCTTCCGCTCGAGCGCAGGCTTCGATCTTCCCCACCAGTCTCGTGCCCCGCCAGCCCCCCTGTGACCTTCGGCCCGGCCCGCAGTGCCTGGTGGCCGGGAGCAGGGTTGGCTGTCGCGACCAGCCCAGCAGGTACCTCAGGGCCACACCTGCGACCGGCAGCTCTCTGCGGCATGTGTGCGTGCATGCCTAGATGGGGCCCGGGGCTTCCCTGCTCGTTCCACATGCCCGCTGCTGTCAGGCGGCTTTACCGCGCAGGAGGCCCGGCTGCACGTCTGCTGTTCACCCGGCCCGGGTACTCTCCCTCCTCATGGTCCCTCTGGGCCACCCGCAGCCCGCCTCCTGCTCCACTGTGGCCGGCGGGGTGGTGGTCCTTGCCCTCAGCTACTCCCCCTCTCCTGTCTGCCCGGCTCTGGCTTGTGGGCAGCTCGACGCAGCCGGCACCTTGGCGCCGTGACCATGTCACACAGGCGTCTGGCTCTGGACATGCAGCGCCATGAATTCTCCTTTAACGAGGCCCTGCAGAAAAAACTTTCTGGCCATCCCAACATTGTCCAGTTTTGCTCTGCAGCGTCGATAGGAAAGGAGGAATCGGATACGGGGCAGGCTGAGTTCCTGCTGCTCACGGAGCTCTGCAGAGGTAGCCCCGCACCGGGCCCCACTCCCACCCCGCCCAGATGTGAGCCCCAGGGGGGCCCTCCCATGAGCACTGGAGGGTCAGCGAGGCCACAGAGGTGGGCTTGCCTGAGAGATGTGGCCTGGGGTGTCTGTGCCGCCCTTCTGGGCCTGGCCAAGTGAGTACCAACACTCAGGGCTGCACCGTTGTCGGAGCCCTGCTGCTGTGTGGCCGGGGCTCGCGGGCACCTGCCGAGCCAGCCCCTCTCCTGGCCACGCGGCTCTTTCCAAGAGCCATTGAGCAGCTTGGTCACAGCCCCCGACAGGTATCTCTGACATGCCTGTGGGCTGTGGCGGCCTCCAGGCCCGGCCTCCGGGCAGTGGGACTTGCGCTCTGTTGCTGAGGGCGCCCCAGGCGCATCTCTGCCTCTGGGAAGGTGGTTTCAGAGTCTGTGGGGTCCCAAGGTCTGCGTGACCTTGGGGGTGGCCTCCAGGCAGCGGGCCAGTTGCTGGACTGGCACAGCATGGATGACGCAGGGCCCTAGAGTAGGGAGGACAGAGGCACCCGGTCTGCAGGCTGCCAAAAGGAGGCCCTCTGGAGGGGCCCTTGGGACCCCACCCCTCCCTGGTACCGCCCCGTCCTGGGTTCCTGCTTGCGCTTTATCTGCTGCTTCTCTAGCACCGTGTAGTAGGAATTTGATTGTCTCTTTTAGGGCAGCTGGTGGAATTTTTAAAGAAAAACGAATCCAAAGGCCCGCTCTCGTGCGATGCGATCCTGAAGATCTTCTACCAGACCTGCAGGGCCGTGCAGCACATGCACAAGCAGAAGCCGCCCATCATCCACCGCGACCTCAAGGTGTGCCCGCTGGGTGCCGCCCACAACTGCCCAGCCCCCCTCACATAACCCTCCCCCTTGCCGGGCCTACGGCCACAGCCCCGGCCCCGCCCACACCTGGCCAGGCCACATCAACCCCGACGCTTGCCTACTACTGCTAGGCCAGACCCCAGGCTCCACAGGGGCAGCGAGGCTGTAGCTGTGCCCTCGTGTGGGCCCTAAAGCGCGGCCTGGGTTGCCTGCAGGTCCTCTTGAGCAGCCTTTTGTGTCTCAGTGGATTTCTCCTGGGTGCTTGCTCGGCTGACCAGAGATTTAAAGGGCACGTGGGTCCTGCTCACCGGGTGTGACTGACCGTGAGCGTGTCTCTCCTGAGGCTCCCATTCTGACGGTGTGGGCCAGGAACCTGCACTACTGTGGCCTCTTGGTCTGAGGAGGGCCTGAGCCAGGGCCCCTGGGGCCCTCCCCTGCCCCCCAGGACAGGTCCTGATTTCCCGCAGGTTGAGAACCTGCTGCTCAGTAAGCAGGGGACCATCAAGCTGTGTGACTTTGGCAGCGCCACCACCATCTCGCACTACCCCGACTACAGCTGGAGCGCCCAGAAGCGCGCGCTGGTGGAGGAGGAGGTGAGGCCTGCAGCGACCCAGGGCCTGCTCCCTGTGCATCCTCCCTGGTCTGTGCTGAGGCGGCCTCGCCCCTGGCCTGTTCTCCTCGAGGGCCCTTCCCTGAAGAGGCTGCTGCTGGCAGAAGCCTGAGGTCCCATGGCCCAGTGCCTTCCAGGTGCCGCGCTCGGCCCAGAGCCCATCGCCCTGGGGCGTCTGCCCTTCCCGGTGCTGGGAGGTCAGGTCCCACCCTGCCGCCTCCTGGCTGGCGGCTGACCAGCCCTGGCTGCACCCCCGGGCCTCCCTGTACCCGGGTCTCCGGGTGCTTTCACCTGAAAGTGGACCCCGCCCTGGGCAAGTGGGCTTGGGTGTTTCTCCAGCCTGAGAGAGCGCTTGGAGGCCTCTGCACACCCAGGGGCCTCTGGAGCAGCACCGCCCCTACCAGGCCTACTTAGCACAAGCAGCCCCTGCCTCTTCCGGGGAGGCCGCCGCCTCACACTGAGACAGGCACCCGGAGGCGGCGGGCATTTCAGAGGCCACAGGCGACTGGGGACAGGGTAGACACGGGTGGACACCGACGGCCCTTCAGAAAGGAGAGCTGAGATGCTCTAAACTGTGACTCGAAGGCGGCAGCGCCGGCAGGAGCCAGCCCCCCACAGCGGCTGCTTCTTTCAGATCACCCGCAACACCACGCCCATGTACAGGACGCCCGAGATCGTGGATTTGTACTCCAACCTCCCCATCGGGGAGAAGCAGGACATCTGGGTGAGCCCTGTCTCCCTGGCCCACACTGGGGGGCACTGCCCAGGCGGCCGTGTGCAGCTGGGAGTTGTGGGCCCGTGGTGGCGGCTTCCTGTCCTGTTTGTCCTCCATTTCTCTGCTGTCACGTGGGGTTGCTTGGGGACAGGCACTGAGGCTGGGTCGGGACTAGTCGGCAGAGGCACTGCAGGTGGTCAGGGTGGCAGGTCGCCACTCAGTCTCCTCAGGAGGCCTGGCCTCGGGAGCCAGGACCCTGTAGCAGACACGGCCTCTCGGGCCGTGGTGTCATGCCAACCTGGGGGCCAGAGCCTGGGCCTGACCTGCTGACCCTCCTTCCGTCCAGGCTGCGTCCCTCAGAGGAAGGCATCCTGCATGGGGCTGGGCCTGGCCGCACCCCTTGTTTAGCAGGGGTGACAGGCGAGGGCAGTACAGCTGAAGCCCCGGAGTGTCCCTCAGGACGGGGGTGCCGCATGCACCGGCTACCCCATGCCCTAGGCACCAAGCCCAGGCCCTGGACAAGCGGTGTGTTCCCCTGCCTGGCGCTGGCGAGGCCAGGGCGGCCTCCAGGGCCCGCAAGCGGGCAGTCAGGCGCCCCTGAGGTGGTGACCGAGAGCAACTCTGGCTGGCCCCTGGCTCCCCTCGTGAGTCCCCTTCCTGGGCCAGGCCTTGACTTGACACCGCCGTGTCTGTCCCGAGCTACGCCGTAGCCCTGTGCCGGCCCCTCCCACCCATGCGGCTTTGCCGCAGAGCGTGCCTCACCCACACTGTCCCACAGGCCCTGGGCTGCATCCTCTACCTGCTGTGCTTCCGGCAGCACCCCTTCGGGGACGGCGCGCGGCTGCGCATCGTCAACGGGAAGTACGCCATCCCCGCCGATGACACGCGCTACACCGTCTTCCACGGCCTCATCCGTGAGTCTGCCCCGCGCAGACCCCAACCCTGCCCCACCTGGATCCTGACCCCGGCCAGCCCACACCATACCACGCCACGCCCCTGCCACACCCTGCCCTGCCTGCAAGTCACTCTGCTGCTCCCCACCACAGGCGCCACCCTGAAGGTCAACCCCGAGGAGCGGCTGTCCATCTCGGAGATGGTCAGTCAGCTACAGGAGATCGCTGCAGCCCGCGATGTCAACCCTCGGGCGCCCATCACCGAGGTGGGTCCCCGGCTCCCCGGCTCCCCACACGGCCCCGGCAAGAGATGCACTCCCCACGGTGGGAAGGCCCGGGTGGGTCATTGCCCCCACCCCAGCGCCTAGCTGGGAGGGCCCCCCGAGGGAGGTGGGGGCCGGGAGCCAAGGAGCATGCCCCCGGGGGCAGGGGGCTCGTGGGGAGCCAGCGTTCTGGCCGGCCGTATACCAAAGCCCCCTGTGGCTGGCACCTTTCTGAGTCAAGTGGCTCCTGGGCGCTGCAGCCTCGGTCAGCATCTGACGATACCTCGACAACAGAAAAGGGCAGAGCCTGGGAGGTAGGGCAGGGCCGGACGTGGGACGTGTGTGCACAGAGTGGCGGGGGCAGGGGCCCAGGGGCTCACCTTGGACCCTGCTCTGAACCCTTCCAGCTCCTGGAGCAGAACGGCGGCTACGGGAACACTCCCGGGGGCCCGGCCAGCAGCGGCTACAGTGGAGGTGAGACCGTGGGGGGCCCCCATCTGCTGGCCCAACCCAGCCTCTCAGGCACCCGTGTGGCAGCGGGGCATGACGTAGAGGGCAGCAGCTGGGCGGGGTCTCTGGGAAGTGGGGGGGTGCCAGGAGGCTGTGGCCAGGAGCCGGTGCGCCAGTGTGTTAGGGCGTGTCTGTGCTGAGCCTGCCTCGCTCTGCACTTCTGCTGGGGACCTCACCACACCTCCCGCAGCTCTGTCTGCGCAGCAGCCGCCCACCTCGTGTCCGCCCCTCGCTGTCACGTGTTCCTCTGCCTCTACCGGCTCCCCACATGCCTCTGACTGGGTGGGGCGGGCGGGGGCAGGGCTCGTTGAGGGTGCCAGGCCCTGCCTTGAGGGATGGTCCAGGCCGGCAAGGTCAGGTCTATGCTGGCCAGGACCTCAGGGTGCCCCTGCGCCCCAGGGCTAGGCAGGCAGGTGCTCACCGCAGCCCGCTTGGGCCTGACCCTGAGGTCACTGCACTGAGGCCTTGTCTGCTTGCAGGCCTAGTGGTCGCCGAGTACGACCAGCCGTACAGCGGGCTGCTGGACATTCTGCGGGGGGGCACCGAGCGCCTCTTTACCAACCTCAAGGACACCTCCTCCAAGGTCATCCAGTCCGTGGCCAAGTGAGTCCAGGGTGTGGGCAGGTGTCCTTGGCGGAGCTCAAATGTCCTGGGCTCTTCCCAGGTGCTGCTCCCGGGCCCTGCCGTGTGTCCAGGGTTCTCTGTGGCCTCCCACGGCCAGCACGGCCTGTGCAGGAAGAGGCCCTGGCTGGGTGGGCTCCTGTCTGTCTCCCCCAGGGTGGTCTTCGACCGCCTGACTGCTCAGCCTGAGTGCGCCTGGCCCAGTGAAGGCCCTCGCACCAGCTCTGCGCACTCTGCAGGCACTGGCCTGCACCCTCTGGGGGACATGGGGGGGTCGCCTGGTCGCTGGTGCTTCGAGTGGAAGGGCTTGTTCTGTCCCTTCTCCCGGCAAAGCGGCCGTGACGCTTCTGGAAGGGGGCCGAGCAGGCGTGGGGCGTGTGGGCCATGTCCCCCAGCGTGTGGTGCGTCCTCTGCGCTCCTGTGGAGGTATGGCCGTGCTCCCCGCTGCCGACCCAGCTGCTCCCGCGTGACCCCACAACTCTTGTTCCAGCTATGCCAAGGGAGACCTGGACATCTCCTACATCACGTCCAGGATTGCAGGTATGTCGACCCCCGTCTCTCGGCTGTGCCCCTCGGCCCCGCCTCTCTGGGGTCAGACCCTTGTCCGGCGCCCCTGTAGACCCCCGTTGGCAGTGCCATTGTCCTCCACCTGGTCTTCTCTGGTCTGCGCCTTTCCTGAGCTCTGGGCCCGGAGAGGGCGCCTAAGGCCTTCCAGCAGAGCCCTGGGCCACATCCGCGTGCTCAGGCACCACACCCCAGGACATGCCAGGGGCGGGCCCAGTCCCACTCGGCGGCTGAGCGGCGCTCTCCACAGTGATGTCCTTCCCTGCGGAGGGTGTGGAGTCGGCTATCAGGAACAACATTGAGGACGTGCGCCTCTTCCTGGACGCCAGGCATGCCGGCCACTACGCTGTCTACAACCTATGCCCCCGCACCTACCGGGCCTCCAGGTTCCACAGTCGGGTGAGCAACTGCAGGGCTCACAGGTGCAGGGACGGGTCCACCCCCAGCTCAGGGCTGCCACCCGGCTGGGCAGGACTGGCTGCCGCCATGGGAGGCTGTAACCAGGGGCCTGTCAGGGCCTCACGCTGCCCAGGCCCAGCTGAGCATGTGCCCACAGGTGTCCGAGTGCGGCTGGGCGGCCAGGCGGGCCCCCCACCTCCACAGCCTATACGGCGTCTGCAGGAGCATGCACGCGTGGCTGCGGCAGGACCCCAGGAACATCTGTGTGGTGCACTGCACGGTGAGGGGCGCGCAGCTGGGGGTGTGGTCTGGGAGTGTGCTGTGTGTTAAGTGAGGCCTCCCCCATGGGCAAGCTGGGCAGGAATGGTGAGCAAACGCCCCCTCCCCCCAACCAATCCCCGCCGGGCGCCCAGGCTGCTCAGGACAGTGGGCAGGGCTACGGGCCCAGGTGCAGGCGGGCTGGAGGGTTGATGCTGACGTGAGCGCTGCGGGGCCTCGGACGTGGGCAGGGCCTTGGACCCTGTCAGGTGGCTGCTCCCAAGCCCCTGGGCACTGCTGCCCGTGCCCTGCTCTGCATGGGGCTCTGGCCTCTCTGGGCCCATGGGGCCCCATGTGGCAGCTGTCTGCTCCCCAAGGCTGCAACCAGGCCCATCCTGCCAGCCCCGTTTGAGGCCTCTCAGCCTTCCTCCACGCAGCTGGCCCAGACCCCTCCCCGCTGCCCACAGCCAGGGTGCCCGGGGCCAACCCTGGGTGCTGGGTGGGTCTGCCCTGGAGCGGCGGCGCGAGCTGGGTGCTTGTGCCTGCCGTAGGACGGGCGAGCGGCCTCCGCCGTGGCCGTGTGTGCCTTCCTGTGCTTCTGCCGGCTCTTCAGCACCGCCGAGGCCGCCGTGTACATGTTCAGCATGAAGCGCTGCCCACCGGGCATCTGGCCGTCCCACAAGAGGTACGGGGACAGGGGCATCCCTGGGCAGGCCCTTGCCCTGCATCTGCCCTTCCAGAGTGGCGGGAGCTGCTGGAAGCCTCTCAGTGGGCTCGGCGGGGGTCCTGGGTGGGCGTGTCTGGGACCAGCCAGCGCTGATGCTTGGAGGGAGGCAGGGCTGGGGCGCCTGTGGTGAGCAGCAGTGTCCCCACCAGGCACCTAGAGGGCAGGTGCTGACTGTTGCTGCGGGACCTGCTTCTGCACGGCCCCCGAGCTGGGGCCTGAGGTGGGCTTTGGGTTGCCGACTGAGGAGGTCGCCTGGAGCCAAAGCCCTCCCACCTGATGGGCCACGCCGTCCCGCAGGTACATCGAGTACGTGTGCGACATGGTGGCCGAGGAGCCCATCACGCCCCACTGCAAGCCCCTGTTGGTGCGGGCTGTGGTGCTGGCCCCCGTGCCGCTATTCAGCAAGCAGCGGGGCGGCTGCCGGCCCTTCTGCGAAGTCTACGTGGGGGACGAGCGCGTGGCCACCACGTCCCAGGAGTACGACAAGATGCGGTAAGCGGCTGGCTGGCTGGCCCTGGGCTGCAGCGCTGCCCTTTTGGCTGCGCCGTACTGCTGGACGGTGGGTGGCCAGGCCGTGGGCACGGACTGGGGTGCTGTGCGACCATGGCTTTAGCTGAGCTGACAGTTCCTCTTCCTTCTGTTCAGGGACTTTAAAGTCGAGGACGGCAAGGCCGTCATCCCCCTGGGCGTCACGGTGCAAGGGGACGTGCTGCTGGTCATCTACCACGCCCGCTCCACGCTGGGAGGGCGGCTGCAGGCCAAGGTGGGTGCCCCAGGCCCTGGGCGGCGGGACTGGGCTTCCAGAGGCCCAGTGCCTCAGCACACCTCTCCCTGTAGGTGGCCTCCATGAAGATGTTCCAGATCCAGTTCCACACGGGCTTCGTGCCCCGCAATGCCACCACTGTGCGCTTTGCCAAGTACGTGGGCGGTGCTGCCGGTCCGGCCCCTGCCTGGAGCAGGTGCCGCGCCAGACACGTCTCAGGCCGGGGGCGAGGCACCTCCTCCCTCTGGGGACTAGCGGCCACCCCAGGCATTCAGGACACCCTGCAAGGCGGGGCATTGACCAAAAGGCCCAGAGGCCCCCGTGCCAGGGGATGCCCCATGTCTGTGGGCAGGACTGGCGTGACCCGAGGCCTGTCTGGAGCCCTGCTGGCTGGACCCTCCCTCCTGCAGGCAGGCTGCAGGGCCGCCCACTCACAGACCCTCATTGTGCTCTCACCAGTGGGGCCAGGCTGGCCCTGGAGGCCCACGAGGCAGGTGGGAGGCCCACGAGGCGGGTGGGAGGCCCTGCTGCTGCTGCCCAAGCCCAGCCTGCAGGTTCGTCTGCGCATGGTTGCCCCCTGGAGCCCCTGCTCCTGCCTTCTGGAGGCCCTGGCCATCTGCGCTGGCTGCTCCTCCCAGGCCGAGTAGGCTCAGCCGCCGCCACCTCTGGGCGCCCGCAGCACCAGAAGCACCGTGGCCCCCTGGCGGAGCCAGGTTGCTCAGGCTGCCCTCTACTGCCCCCAGCGAGAGTGGTGGCGCCCCCAGCTGGCCTGCGCGCCTGGCCCTGCTCCCACCCCTGCCGGCACCCACGGTCCCTAGCCCAGAGCAGACCTCCAAAGCGGCAGTGACCGCCGACGGCCGCGTCTTCGTGGCCCTCCCCAGCCCTCGTTCATGGCTGTGGTCTGCGCAGGCGTGTGGATGGCAGGTGGACAGCAGCGCCTCTGCCCTCAGTCCGGCCCGTGGCTCGGGTGGTCTTGCGGTCCTGGGCCGCATGCCCTTGTCGCGGCCGGTGCCCGTGGCGGTCTGCAGGCCGGCAGCCTGGTGCCTCCTGACTGCGCCTGCCCTGCAGGTACGACCTGGACGCCTGCGACATCCAGGAAAAGTACCCGGACCTGTTCCAGGTGAACCTGGAGGTAGAGGTGGGGCCCAGGGACCGGCCCGGCCGGGAGCCCCCGCCCTGGGAACGCGCGAGCATGCGGGGCCTCAACCCCAAGATCCTGTTCTCCAGCCGGGAGGAGCAGCAGGATGTCCTGGCCAAATTCGGTGAGAGCCTTGTGTCTGGATGCAGCTGCGCGGCCCAGGCCAGCGCCCTCCGCCCCCACCCCTGGGCGCACCCCCAGGGCGCCCCGAGCGCTCCTGTGCTAGCTGGGAGGGGGGAGGGGGGCGGGGGGCGAGGCTGCACAGCCACCGAGCTCTGCCCAGGCCTTGTCCCTGGGTGTTGTGTTGGGTCGGGTCGCACCACAGCCTGGTGCCTCTCGGCATTGTCACAGTGTCCACCGTGGCTGAGTTCTCCGCTCCCTCAGGGAAGCCGGAGCTGCCCCGGCAGCCGGGCTCCAGCGCCCAGTACGACGCTGCGGCGGGGTCTCCGGATGCTGAGGCCACAGAGTCAGACTCACCGTCGAGCAGTGGCCCGGACTCCGGCCACTTCCTTCGCTCCCTGGACTGGCATGGTAGGGGTCTGCCCTGCGCCGGGCCCTCGCTGCTCTGCCCTCCGTTTGCGGTCCCTGAGGCCCAGCCGGGTGCCTCCTCTGGGGCCCGTCCCAGCGCCGGCCCCTACTCCTGTCCACCTGGCGGGGGGAGCCCAGCCCACGCTCAGAACCTCCCGGCCTCTGCTCTTCCAGAGGAGGCGCCCGCGGTGGGCCCCAATGGCCCCGTCCACGCAGGGGGCCCGCCCACTGCAGCTGAGTGCGGAGCCGAGGCCGAGCCCTCGGACGAGGATGCAGCCACATCGGGCAGCAGCAGGGACGCTGCAGCAGATGAGGACACGCCGGGCCCTGGGGCCTGGGCCCCAGAGAGGGGCACCATCCTGGACGTGGACACCCCAGCTGCCCCACGGGAGTGCCCCCTGCAGGAGGAGGGCGTGGACCTTCTGGGGTTGCACTCGGAGGCCCAGCCGGCACCCCCAACGCAGGCACATGGCGCACCCACCAGCAACGCCGACCTGCTCAGCTGCCTCCTGGGGGCCCCGACGGTGGCCCCAGAGAGCTCCCCCTGCGACCTGCTGGGCGGGGAGGCACCCCTGCTCTTCACAAGCCCAGCCCCACCCCTGGGTGCCAGGAGCACCCTCCAGGAAGGGCCTGCCGCAGCCAGCGGCCCCTCCCTGCCCATGGGTGAGTGATGAAGGCTGGTCCTGAGGGCTTCGGGGGGTGGGGGGGGGGCGGCCAATGCCCATCCCGGCCTCATGTGCCCCCTCCCCAGCTCCGAAGGCCGCAGGCTCTGGGGAAGGTCCCTGTGGCTTCACCCAATGGGCACTGTCTCACCCGGCGCCTCCTTTGGGGTCACGAGGGCCCCGGGAAGCAGCCCACGAAGCCGCCCTGCATCTCCCCAGCTGAGCCCTTCGACGCTCTCCTGCTGTCGTCTGACCCAGACCCCCAGCCCGGCTCCAAGCCCGACCTTTTCGGCGAGTTTCTGAACCCGGACTCTGCGGCCGCCCCACCGTCGGCCTTCCCCGCCACGCACAGCGCCCCGCCCCCTGCCAGCAGCGCCCTCCTGCACCTGGGTAAGGGGTGCTGGGGGCGCCTGACTGCAGATGGGTCCTTGCCCTGGTGGGCTCCCCGCCAGGCACAGCGAGCAGGGAGCCCCGCAGGTGGGGCCATGCCCAGCCCACGGGGACACCCCAGCAGCGCCTTCTTCCCACCTTCTCGCAGGGGATCTGCCGGCAGAGCCCAGCAGGATGACAGCCTCCACCAGCCACCCAGACCTGCTGGGCGGCTGGGACGGCTGGGCCCCCACCCCCACAGGTACACCTCGCAGCCGGAGCCCCTGTCCCCCCATTCTGAGCCCCCGGGCTCTGGCGGGTGCTTCCTGCCCCAGCAGGGTCGCAGCCAGGCCCACCCAGGCACCGTCTGGGGGAGCCTCCCGGTCCATCCTGTCTCCAGGGCCTGTGCTGGCCCCAAGAGGCTCTCGCCCGCCTGGCCCCAGAGCTCAGCTGCCGGCGTCAGCACCTGCATGAGCCAAGTCCCAGGGTTGGGGGGAAAACTCGGACTTTTGTGGGGTGACAGCCATTGGCTGCTCTGACTTGTACAGTCTCGTTATGCACAAGCGTGACTTAAGACGTCGTCTCTGGTGGCCGAGGCTTTCTGGATCACTGCTCTCCGCCCGGCCATCTTCCCCGCCAGGAAGCATCACGAGTGCCTGTCGCGGTGATGGCTGCTCAGTGCCCACGGGCCCTGTGCCACCTGCTGCAGGGCCTGGCTCATGCTGGGTGACCCCAAGTCTGGTCCACAGAGCGAGGAGGGCACTGTGGGGTCATGCTGAGACCTCGTGCTCACGCCTCCGCCCTGTCCAGGCCCCTCGTCCTCTCCTGGAGGCCAGCCGGGCCCTCCCGCCCCCCCGGCTGGCCGGACCAAGTCCCAGAGCCTGGACCCATTCTCGGACCTCGGGGACCTCAGCTCCGGCCTCCCAGGTATCATGTGGGCCACTTGGGGTGCGCAGAGCCAGGTCGGCTAGTTGGGAGGGAAGTGGCTACTCCCTGAACCCGAGGCTGGCTCCGCCTCCCTACCCAGCTGTCAGGAAGTGCCCCTCTGTCCTCACCGCCGCACCTGGCAGCAGGCTGGGGCCCGTGGGCAGAGCTGCAGCTGGACCGCCTGGAACAGGGTTGGGGGCCCAAGGGCTTCATGTGGGGCTGGGTTGGCAGCGGGGCACGTGGCTGCAGCTGGCCTCCCCAGCTCTCCATCTACCGCCCTGCCCAGGCCGGCCTTTCCCGGCAGTGCTTGGCTCAGCGGCGGTCCCCGGTGGAGGGCCTGGGTCCCGGGCTGGAGGCCGGGTCTGGCACTGCCTGGCTGGGGGTGGCACTGGGGCTTTCCTGCAACGCAGGGCTGTGGCCTCCCTCATCTGGGCTCTGCTTCGCATGGCCTGTCGTGGTCAGGACAGTGCCTGGCCCCGGTGCTCCCGCTGCACTCCCTCGTGGTATGGAGGCCCGGGGACTGGCTTGCCCGTCCTTTCTGCTCTCAGACGGCGGTGGCATCCGCACCTTCCGGGCCCAAACAGGGCCCACTGCTCTGCACGCCCCGGTAGGACCCGAGACCGAGGCTGCTGGACCTGGAGAGAAGTCACAGCGGCGTGCATGCCGCAGCTGCGGTGTGAGGTCGGGGCTGACCAGCCTCCGGGGACGGGGACGGCCCACACTCTGCACAGCTCGGCAGCCGGGGCATGGGGGGACGAAGGGCCAGGAAAGCAGAATAACCACAGAACCACAGGAAACAGCCTCAGGTCAGCACAACAGAAGCATCAAGGAGAAGCTCGGTTTTCAGGGAAGGGGAAAGGACAAGTCTCTGCTGCAGACGCGAGCAAGAGGCCGGCAGCAAGGGTGGCTGGACGCCCCAGGGCTGCGAGCCCTGAGCCCATCGTGAGGTGCCCGGCGGGACTGCAGGTCCCCGGGTTTCCTTGGAGCACTTTCCCGGCTCGTAAGTGCATTCAGGCAGCGCCACGCCGCCTCCGACCAGAACAGAAGCCGCGGCCACCGCAGCTCTGACCCGTGAGGCCCACCTCCCACCACAGCAGACGTTGGAGCTGGCCGAGGCGGCGCTTCATGGACGCACGCAGGCCCCCGGGCCAGAATGGCGGGGAGGGGGACGCAGCGTGTGGCCAGCATGGATGCCCGTTGTGGTGCACGCTAGCCGTTAGCTCCTTACCAGGCACCTGGAGCCCCCAGCTGACCTCCAGGTGAGGGAGAGCGGCCCCCGTGAAGGCAGGGGACCAGCAGGAGCAGGACAGAAGCGATCAAGTTGCCGCAGGAGTCCACGAAGACCTGCAGAGCCAGTGGCAGGACTGGCCACACTGGGGGATGCAGGCCGAGGTCCAGGGCTGGGGTAGCTGCTGGTGAGGTGCTGGCGGGGCCAGGGCATGGGCAGCCAGAGGGCCCCGGGTCCAGGGCGGGGACAGGAGCTGCGTCAGGGCTGCCGGTAGCAGTGCTGTCAGCGCGGAGACGGTCCTGCCGAGAGAGGGGTCTCGGAAGCATGGGCTTGGCGGGGAGCTGGTGCCCCCGGTGGCGCCCTGAGTCCTGGCACAGAGCGCCCCGAAGGCCACCCCCCCAGTCAGTCCGTTCCCAGAATGTTCGGAAAGGAGTCAGCACAGTGGAAAGCAGGCAGGCGAGCCGGTGTCCCTTTGGCGAGAGGCGCCACCATGCCATGCCTGTGCCCTGTGGAGCCTCGCCCGGCCCCGGGGTCCCGAGGAGGCCAGGCTTGGCCTCTGCACCCCAGAAGCAGCCCTGCTTGGGGTGGGGGCCGAACCCAGGCTCCCGGGCCCGGTGTCCGGTCTGCAGAAGGACTTAGTGGCCTCGCTGGCACCAACACTGCTGCCCTCCGCCCTCCCCAGGCTCGCCGGCTGCTCGATTTGCTCCTGGGGGCTTCGTTCCCAAGGCAACACCCCCCGCCAAGGGTGGTGGCTCCTGGCAGATGGGTCAACCCCCAGGCCAGGGCCCCCTGCGGCCCCCCCAGCCCAAGCCACCCCCAAAGCCTGCGCACAGCCACGGCCTAACTACGCTGCTACCTTCAGTGTGATCGGGGGCCGAGAGGAGAGGGGGGTCCGCGCCCCCAGCTTCGGTGAGTCCTCCGCCTCTCTCGGGGGTGAGGGGCTCCACACGTGCTCACTGGGCCCGGACGGGAGCCCCTCAGTGAACGGCTGCGTCCCCGTCCCTGGGCCTGGCCCCTCAGCGCACAGCTCCCGCGCCCCGCCCCAGGGCAGCTCCCGCGCCCACAGCCCTGCTCTCTCCCAGCCCAGAAGCCCAGAGTGTCCGAGAGCGACTTCGAGGACCTGCTGTCCGACCAGGGCTTCTCCTCCAAGTCTGACAAGAGGGGCCCGAGGACCATGGCTGAGATGCGGAGGCAGGGCCAGGCGAGGGACACGGACCCGCTCAAGCTGAAGGTGGGTGGGCGCGTGGGGGCTCAGCCAGTGCCTGGGCCTGCCCTGTGGGGGGCTTGGTTCCCCTCGGGCCAGTTACCTGCGGTCTCCCTGGATGGAGCCCACGGGACAGCTTGACGGCCTGGCGGGTCACCCATGCTGGCCTGGCCACCCACCTGAGAGCCGGCCCGGCCCTTCGGCCCTCCGCGTCCGTCCAGAGAGCAGGGCGGCAGCCGGCTGCCGTCCAGCCGTCGCAAGACGCGGTGTGCGGGGTGGCTGGGGCACCCGCTGCCTGTCCTGCCAGACCCGGGCTGTGGCGCCAGCCCCCTGGTCTCTCCTGGCGGCACCCAGGGAGCGGTGAGGGCTGCGGGGTTGGCTCTGCAGTGCCCTTGTGCCCTCAGCTCCTGGACTGGACCGAGGGCAAGGAGAGGAACCTGCGCGCCCTGCTGTCCACGCTGCACACCGTGCTGTGGGACGGCGAGAGCCGCTGGACGCCCGTGGGCATGGCCGACCTGGTGACGCCCGCGCAGGTGAAGAAGCAGTACCGCCGCGCCGTGCTGGTGGTGCACCCCGACAAGGTGGGGCGCAGGCCGGGGCCAGGGCTGGGGCGGAGGCGGGGCCGCAGGCGGGGCCAGGAGAGCAGCCCCAACGCCCGCCCTCCCCCCACCCCCGCAGGCCGCCGGGCAGCCCTACGAGCAGCAGGCCAGGATGATCTTCATGGAGCTCAGCGAGGCCTGGGCAGAGTTCGAGAGCCAGGGCTCCCGGCCCCTCTTCTGAGCGCCGTGGGGTAGAGCTGGCCGGCTGGCCGGCCGCAGGTGGCCGCCTGGCAGGCGACCCCCGCCCCCACCACCGGACCCTCCCGCCCGGCCCCCGCCCCCCCACCCCCGGGGTGGGTCTGGAGCAAACGCCATTCCAGGCGCGAGCAGAGAAAGCATTCCAAAGCCTCCGCGTTTTTCTTTCTTGGTTCCAAAGGAGAAGTGTTGGTTCGCGCCCCTGGTGGGCAGCGCGGCTCCCTCCACCCGGGGCGTCGCCTCAGGTCGAGCGCGCTGCCCCCGTCCCTTCTCCAGCCCCGTCGCGACCGTCTGTCCCCCGTGTTAATCAGCCTGGTGACGCCTGTACAGAATTAAACTATTTTCTGATGACGCCGTCTCCCCGCACACCGTCCTCCCAGGGCCCCGCCCCTTCTCGTGGGAGGGCAGCGCCTTGACCCCTGGGCGCCGGCCACTCCGTCCAAAAGGCAGCCCTTGTCCGCAGCCCGGCCCAGGTGCCCGCAGCCCGTGCTTTGAAGGAGCCCTCAGGCGCCAGGCGGTGCGGCGGCGGTGACCCTGGCTTCCCTGCACGCCCGGCGTGCGTGCAGACCTGAGGCCCTTAGCCTGACCCCGCCCCACCGCGGGCCAGAGCTGGCCCCACCCGGTAGCGGGTGCTGAGCCCAGGGTGAGCGCGGGGCCACGCTGCCTGTGAGCCACTGTGCAGGCAGCCCAGCTCCCCCGGCAAAGACCCCTTCTGCTTGTGCAGGAAGCAAGGGGAGTTGGGGGGAGCGGGTGCCAGCCGCCTGGGCGCGAGGGAGTGCCCCTGCGGCCCACGGAGCCTGTCGCCCAGCACTGCTGCGCCCTTGGCCCTGCCCAGCCCACCCTCCCGGGCAGTAGCAGACACAGCCCTGGGCCCCACGCCCGGAGCTGCCCTCCGGAGGTGAGACCAGCTTGTCAGCATGGCCACTATTTTTAGCTTTTAGAGCTTTTAAAAAATAATGAGCGACCTAAATAGGTACAGAGATTGTCTTGTCAACGTGGGTCTGGATCTGGCCCAGCCAGGGTGGGCAGCCAGCCGGGCACAGCCTCTGCCCTGGCCCCCGGCCCTAGGGACCCCGTCTGGGGCTCTGCCCCACCGCCCAGGGCAGCCCCAGCACCGCGGAGCCTCCCGTCCTTTCTCGCCAGCTGTGGACCGCCTCTTGGGGCTGGACTGCTCGTGCCGCCGGGCAGTGCCTCTGTGGGGTGAGGCCGCTGATCTGGGCCCTCTTCCTGAAGCCTCGGATACAAGGGGCCCCAAGAGCTGGGGGGGCTGGGGTGAGACCCCCAGCAGCCCCTCCTGGCTGCAGGCCCCACCCACGGGGCAGTCCTCAGCAGGACCCCACCAGGGAGGGGAGGGGGCCTCGGCTCCTTTGGACTCCGAATGTGGTTTTGTCAGGATGCCCCTGTCAGCCTGTGGGCGGGGCCAGAGTCTGCTCAGCAGCTGGGGAGCAGCTGAGTGTGGCCCTCCCGGCCCCGTGTCCTGGCGCTCCCCCCTCCCCGCCCCCCTCGCCCGCCACAGCAAGGAGCTTTGGGTGTGCGCCCGCCCCGCCCCCGCCCGGTCTCTGCAGCTCGCAGGGGTTGGCTGCGAAGCGGCCTCCTCGCGGTTCTGGTTGAGCGGTGCCCTCTGAAGGGCCACTGGGGGCCGTGGGGCTTCCTGGCAGGTGGGCAGATCTCTGGGGGCCGCGACCCGAGGAGGGGAGTGCAGGGGCCCGGGGGTCCTTCATGGAGTCAGGACCCAGAGCCCCCATGGGCCCCGGTGTGTGAGCACCAGACCCCAGCAGAGGCCCGGGCCCTGGTCCCCAGACCCCAGCAGAGGCCCGGGCCCTGGTCCCCAGACCGGGGCCCCCAGCGCCCCTGCCCTGGCCAGCCGTCGTTTTCGGGGCTCACCCTGCCCGTGACCCAGGGCCACGGGGGGAGCCCCAGCCTCGCGGCCGCTGCCCCAGCCAGGAGGAGGGGGCTCTTTTCAGGGTGGCCGCTATTTCTGCCCCAGTGCCTAGGGGTGCTCCCTCGGCCCTCACACTGCTCCGACCCTGCGCGCCAGACCCCAGCAAGCGGGAAAGGGGCCGCCCTCGGGGCTCAGTCCCCAGCCCTGCCGGGCCCCTGTGTGGGCGAGGTGAAGCAGGAGACCGCAGGAGGGGCTGGCCCGGGTGAGGAGTGCCAGGGTGGGCAGTGGCTGGGGGGTGACTGGGCAGGGCCCGTGTGCCCTGGGACTGGGCGGGGCTCTGAGGGGCAAGCAGACCCCTGCGGGCAGCCTCTTTGTTCCTGCCCCGGGATGAGTCCCAGGCCCGCCTCCCGTCACTGGCCAGGCCCGGACTTCCTTGCCACGGCCTCAGCGAGGTGCTCGCCCAACGGCTCCTGCCCGCTCTGGCCTCGCAGATTTCCCACCTCACTTGGCCGTCCCTGGGTTAGCACCTTTCAAGTCACAAGGAGCTGCACAGCGGCGACGCCCGGGCTGGGTCATGCCGCGTGTCCGGTTCCTATGGGGCCTCTGAAGCCGGGGCTGACCCGGTGTGCCCAGAGCCCCCTCTATCCAGGTGACCCCTGGGCAGGGCTCTACCACCCACGCCTGCTCCCCAGCCCCCCCCGCCCCGTCCTGCCCGCTGTCCAGGTCCCACTGCAGGGCTCATGCCGGCTGAACACACGCTCCTCCAGCACCCGCCCCGGAGACAAGCCCGCCCTCCCCGAGGCTTCCTGGGTCTTTGTGGCCACCAGCCCTCCGCCCTGCCTGCTGCATCCTACCGAGGTGCCTCTGGAGGCTGCTTGCCAGGACCAGCTGCAGTCTGGGCACAGGCCTCAGCGCCAGCTGCCCACCTTCCCGGCCGTGGCTCGGGCCACTCTGACCTGGGGCTGAGGGGCCGCTGCAAGGGCGGGGAGGCAGAGAGAGGCGGTGACCCACAGGCAGGGAGGACTAAGACGAGGACACAGTATCCGGCGAGCCAGGAGCTGCTCAGTGCCCAGGCTGGCCCTCCATGCGGGCCTGCCCTTGCCTGACCAGCCCGGCTCCCCGTGAGTGGCATCCACCTGGCCCAGGGGTCACAGCGTCTCATTGCAGGTCCCTGTGAGGGCAGCTTTGGCCGTGGTTGTGAAGCCTGCTCTGGGCTTGGCTGGGGTCACCTCTGCTGCCTTGTGGGATTGCTGGCAGGAGACCAGCTGTGAGCTGCCCCCTGGGAGTGACCTCTCTCCAGGCCCAGGCCTCTCCCCTCCACACCGGGGTGAGCAGGCCAGACTGGAGCCTCAGACACCTGGAAACAGGTGACGATCCTCATCTGCCTGCACACCTGCCAGAGGCCTACAGACAAGGGTGGCCCTGCTGTCCCTCGGACTGGCCACCGTTCAGGTGGCAGGAGCAGTCAGCAGGAGTGGACGGTGCTGGGGCCAGCCCCCAAGCCCTGGCATCCCAGGAGGGCCCGTGCATCCTGGGACATGCGTCCACGGCTGCGGGCCTCCCTGGGGAAGCCCTGCTCCTGCCCCTCCGCTGCCCTCATCCTCCCCTCACTCCTCTCGGGGGTCCCTGCACAGCTCACCAGAGATGGGCACGGAGTGGGAGCTGGGGGGAGGCGCCGCGGAGGTGGGGGGAGTGGCCAGGGCTCAGTCCCGAGTGGGGCCGAGTCCCGGGTGGGGTGCTGGCCAGGCCAGGCAGGAGCAGCAGGAGCCGGGGCAGAGGCAGCTCCAGCTCGGGCCCTCCGCTTGGCCCTCGACCCTGACGGTCAGCAGGGGGGCGCGTGACAAGTCAGGCGCTGGCCCCAGGGATGCGCGCGCCCGCCGGCGAGGCCCCCCTGCCCCCGCGAGCCCAGCCCCTGCCAGGCGCCCCCAGCGTGGGCTGCGGACCCCGGCGCCGCGCCCTCCGCGCAGAGCAGCTTCCTCCGCAGGCGGGGAGCCCCGGAGGCCGCGGCGGGCGGGCGGCTCCGCCGCAGTGACCTTCGCGCCCGCCCTGCGAGGGGCGCCCCGACCGCGGCGACCGCGCTGCGGGGCCCCAGGGGGCGCCGGCGGGCGGGGCCCGGGGCCGCGGGGTCTCGGGCCGCGGGGTCCCGGCCGCGGGGTCCCGCCCGCCCCGCGCCCGCCCCGCGCCCGCCCCGCGCCCGCCCCGCGCGGCCCCGCCCCGGCCGCCCCTCCCCCGCCGCTCGTCACGCCGGGACGCGGGGGGCGGGAGCCGCGGTGACGCGCCCTCCTCGCCTGCCCTTCAGCCGCCGCAGCGCCGCGTGGACCCGGCCGGCCCGCGCCCCGCCGCTGACCCGCCGCAGGTAACCCGGGCGCTGTCCACGCGCGGCGCCGCCCGGCCGGCCCGCCCCGCCCGCCCCGCCCGCCCCGCCCGGCGCCGTCCTGGCCGAGGCCGCCGCCCGCTGCCCCCGCTGCCCCCGGCCCGGAGCCGGCGCCGCGGCCGCCGAGCCGGGAGAAGTTCGGAGGAGGCCGGCTGCGCGGCGGGGCGCCCCCCAGGGCTCGCGGGAGGCGGAGCCCCGCCCGCACTCGGGTCTCCGCGGGGAACCCCGACGCTGCCCTGCCGCGAGGGACCCGCCGGCGGGGGGTGGGGGGTGCGGGGAGGGGCTGCGGGGAGGGGGCGCCGCTGCAGTGCGACTCCAGCAGGGGCGCCCGCCGGAGCCCCGCCGCCTGGACCGCGAGCCCCATGCCCAGGGAGGGGGTGCTTTGCACCCAGGCCCAGCAGCCCGGACCCCGAGCCCCATGCAGATGCAAGGGGGGCGCTTTGCACCCCACTTCTGCTTGTTTCCCAAGTGCTGTGATCCCGCGTCTTCTCTTCCGTGCCAATCCTGGGGGGGGCGGGCCGGGGGGGGCTGGGGTTCCCCTGGGTGGTCTCCAGGCTCCTCCACCAGCAGCCAAAGTCATCTCCCCTGAGGGGGACCCACTCAGGCCCGCCCACCCCTCAGGTGGGCCCAGCCCCTGCCTCCCACCAGGGAGGCAAGGAGAGGGAGTCACCTTCAAATGCCCCTGAGCCTGCCCCGCTCCCCAGGGCCGCTCCTCCGGGCCGCACCCCCCGAGGCGAGGCCCCGCAGACGCAGCCTGGACGCAGCCTGGACGCAGCCTGGACGTGCCCCCGGAGCCGGGGACAGGAGGCCTCGCTGCGGCTCCCTCTGCGCCAGTGGGGTTGGCTCGTCCTGGCCAGGGAGGGGCGCCCCCTTGCAGAGTCCCGTCCTGCCTCCGGTGTGTGCCCCTGACTGCCCCCGGCCCGCGCGGGGGGGACGCGGGCCCGGCCTGAGGCCACCTCTCTGTCCCCAGCAGGGAGCCACACGCCGCACGTGGAGCCACCGCCGCTGAGGAGCCGAGGCCTTCGCCATGGAGTTCGTGATGAAGCAGGCCCTGGGAGGTAGGCGGGGCCGGGCCCGAGGGTGACGGACCAGCCGTGGCCCTGAGGCGGGGTCCAGGCCGGGCAGTCACACCCCCACTTGGCCTGAGGGGCACCCCAGGCACCCCGGCCCATCCTGGCCGGCGGCTCCCCAAGGGCAGAGCTGTGGGCTGCCGAGGCCACCCCAGGGGAGCGGGCAGGGGACAGAGCTGACCGGGGGCTGGCGGGCGGGGCGGGGCGAGCAGCCAGAGGCCCCCCAGAGGCCGGGCCAGGGCGTGCCAGTGCACGTGTGTGTGGGCGCTGGGACCCAGCCTGCCGCACTCCTGCCCGCCGGGCCAGGCTGAGGGGTGGCCCGGCACAGACCGTCCCGCCCAGCAGGGCTTAGGGCTCCGTCCCGGGAGCTCCTCAGGCTGCACCCTGGCCTGCGCCCAGCCAGCCTCTGCAGTCAGTCAGTCCCGCGCTAATTCCAGCCGCGGAGCAGCTCTCAGCAGAGCGCAGCGCGGATTTGGCTGTCTACACGGCTGAAATTAGCTGGGTAATTGCCAGTCTGGCTTCCTTTGTTCCCTGTCACCCGGAGTTTCTCCTGCAGCGCGACAGCGCCCCTGGGCCCGTGCGGGGGTGGACAGGGTGGTGACAGACGGACGCCCCGGGGGAAACCTGAGACACCCCAGAGCCCAGTGAGGGGCCGGGGGCTGGGGCGCAGCTGGGGCTAGCCCAGAGCAAGGTGGGGGCAGGCCCAGCCAGGAGGCGGGAGACGCCCAGAGCAGAAGCACTGCAGGGAAGACGGGTGACCGGCGGGCCAAGGGACCCGAGGGACAGGGGAGAGGGAGCCAGTGAGGGCGCCGGGGGCAGGCGCGGAGGCGGAGACGAAGACAGAAACCGCAGCAACAAACAGCCAAAGCGCTCACGGCCAGGAGCCCGGAGCCGCGTCCCACACGCGCACCCGCCAGACAGCAGGGCCTGGGCCCCGACCCTGCCGCCGGGCCACCTGAGCCTTGCGCCCCGTTCGATCCTGGCCGCTGGCGCTAGCTTCTCAGGCAGACCTTGCTGGGGCAGCGCTTCCAGACCCAGGAGTCCCGAGCCTCACAGGCAGGCAGGCAGGCAGCGGGTCCCTGGACCCCCGCCGGGCCCTGTCCACGGTGGGCTCCGGAGAGTGTGGCCAGGGCCGGGCCCCTGTGCTGGTCTGGGCCTGAAGGCTCCTCGCTGCCCCCGCCCCCCCACCCTGCCCCCTGCGCGGGCCCTGGCCCCGGCGGTTTCTTGGACCACAGAGGAAGGGGCAGGCGGCCCCAGGTGACCAGCATGAAGGGCGGCGGGGAGGAACGTGTCGGCTGCTTCTCACAGCCCAGCGTCCCCAAGGCCTCGACAGGCATTGACCCCCGACTGTTCCGCCAGCGCCCCCTGCCTGGAGTGACCTGGCCGGCGCGGCTGCTGCAGAGCGGCCTTGAGCTGCTGGGCCGGGCGCTGGCTCAGGCCTGCGGCTCGGCCTCAAGGGCATAATCTGAAAACCTGTCTCCCAAGGCAGGAAATGTGGGTGGCAGGGCTGTGTCTGCACAGCGCGAGCGTCTGGCCTGCGGGTCACCAGCTGGGTGTGGACACTCAGAGGCCGATCAGGACACCGTGGCCATTTCGCCTCAACAGCTGGGTTCACGGCCGGCCCTCCACACCTCGGGGGGCAGGTCCCTGCACAGATGCGGCCCTGCAGGCGGTGCTGGGGGGTGGGTCACAGGCGCAAATGGACAGGGCCCTGCAAAAGCCCAGGGCAGCAGGGGCGGGCAGGCTCGGAAGCAGCCAAGAGTCCAGGGAGAACTGGCCTCCCCAGGGGCCTCTCCCAGGCCCAGTCTCACCCTGAGGGATCCTGGGGTCTGAGATCCAAGTGGGCAGCGACCTCATCCTGGGCCGGGGGCTGGGAGGCCATCCCCAGGCGGCTGTGCTGTCCCTGGGCAGGGCGAGACCTGGGCTGCACAGCCACTGCCCCGAGGCCCGCAGGTCTGGGGGACAGCCGGGGTGTGGGACTCCAGGGCCGATGGGCCCCTGAGGGTCAGCGGGTAGGGTCCTGCCCAGGTGTGAGTCGTCCTGGAGAAGGGGCAGCGTCCCCAACAGAGCTCTGCAGGACGGTGGCAAGGCTGGGCTGTCTCCCGCCGGGTGGGTGCCCGGGCTGTCAGGGAGCCCCAGGCCACCCACGGCTCCTGTGTCCTCCTGGCCCAGGCGTGTCGGCCTCTGCCCAGCCCTCCCTCGCTCCTCTCCTCCGCGGGCCTCGGCCAGGGCAGCGGCCTGATGGTCTGCTCCAGCCCCATGCCCTCCCACAGTAGTGCCCCCGGGGTGAGGCCAGGCACCCTGCCCTCGCCAGCTGGGCCTGAGGGCATCCTGCCCGGTCTTCTTGGGGCCAGCTGGCTCTCTCCCCGGTGCTGGGGGCTCCAGGCGTGCAGGTGCCACCAGCCCTGCCCTCTGGGATGCCGACATGCACGGCAGCTTCTCTGACGGCGAGGACTGAGCTAGGCTTCGGGGAGGCGGATCCGGGTGGCGCTGGGGAAGGAGCCTTTGACAAGGGCTCCAGGCGGGGCTGGAGGCAGCCCGTCCTGGGCGCTGCTGTCCTCTGCGCCCTGCGCTCAGCCTGTCCTCACGGCCAGTGGGCCGGCATGGGGGCGGAGCAGAGAACCAGCCTCTGCTGTGCGGGAGACACACCTGGTCTCGCGGAGCTGCCCTCGCAGGTGTTGCAGGCAGGTGTGCGGTCAGCGGGCACACGCCCCAGGGCCTGCGGGATGTGCCTGGCTCACCCCACAGGGTCTTGACTCTCAGGTGCTCGAGGCCCTGACCTAAGCCCCAAGGGCAAGGTGCCCCCACGGCTCAGCCTCCCCAGGCTGCGGCCCGCTTTGCCCAGGGGCCTCAGTGACGTGGAGCTGGACGGCGCGTGCACTCACCGCGTTGGGCTCGGCGGAGACGCTGCCCCACGTGTCCTGGGGGCCCGGGGCCCGGTTCAGAGGAACGACCTTCTCTCTGGAAAGCTGGCCCTGCCGCATGCGCCCTGGTCCACAGGCTGTGGCCGCGGGCCGGGAGCCGCTGGCCTTGCCTTCCTGGCGGCCGGAGCGCGCAGGGGCAGCGCCCGTCTGGGGGTAGCCTCTGGGTGCCTGCCCACGGCCTGGCCCGGCCTGGTGCATGGACCGCCTGTGGCGTCTACCATGTTATCCCTAACAGGAGTGGGACAGCTGCGGCCTGCGCGGCCACGCTTTCCCCGGGACGGCTTCGGGCCACTCCGTCTCTGTGCTGTGTCCCCGGCCCTGTGCTGGGACCCAGGCCGGCTGGCGGGTCAGCACCAGGCTGGGCGTGTGCCAAGAACCCGCCCCTGGCAGCCCTGTGGCAGGACGCTCAGGGGTGCTTGGGGGACGCCGGGGGTCCCTGGCATGGCAAGGAGGCCGGCCCATTCCCGCCCGCGGCTGGCACGCGTGGTCCACCCAGACTGACCCTCTGTGCCTGGTGCTGGGGCTGGCTCGCCGGGCGCGGCGTGGTGAGGCGGGAGGCGCAGGGGCCGTCCTGGGGGCTGGCGGGCAGGTGTGCGGCCTGCTGGGCTGCGGGTGGCTGGCGGCTGCTCTGGGGGCCCCATGGGCCAGGGCCTCTGGCTCCTACTTGCTTGAGACTGGGCGCCCCGTGTGGAGCGTCTCTTCCCCGGGGTGTGGCCGGGGCTGGGGCTGGACCCTGAGAAGGCGCGTGGCCAGTGGCCCGCAACCCCAGTGAGACTGGGCGGCTGGGCTGGCCGGTGGCCAAGGTCAGCACCCCAGTGTCCGTCAGCGGCCTCTGGCCTTCCTCCCCAAAACCCACCACCTCGGCCTAAGGAGAAAAACACCGGACGATCCTAATGGAGAGACACGCAAAATTCCTAAAAAGTACCAAAACTTTCAAGACCATCCAAATCAAGGAAAGTCCGAGAAACTATCAGCTCAAGGGGAGCTCACACGGCTGACCCGGCGGAGGTCAGGCGGGGCGGGGGCGGGGCGACCCGGGAGCGATGGGGCGGGGCATCCAGGGGCGGGCACCCAAGGGGCGGGGCACCCCGGGGCGGGGCGGGGCACCCTGGGGGCGGGGCGACTAGGGCGGGGCGGGCACCCAAGGGGCGGGGCGACTAGGGTGGGGCGGGGCGACTGGGGCGGGGCGACTAGGGCGGGGCACCCAGGGGGCGGGGCGACTGGGCGGGGCGGGCACCCAGGGGGGCGGGGCGACTGGGGCGGGGCGGGCACCCAAGGGGCGGAGCGACTAGGGCGGGGCGGGGCACCCAGGGGGCGGGGCGACTGGGGCGGGGCGGGCACCCAGGGGGCGGGGCGGGCACCCAGGGGGGCGCGGGCGCGGGCGCGGGCGGGCGGGCGCGGGCGGGGGCGGCGCTGGTCTCCAGCCCTGAGATAAAAGCGCATTTTCCGCGGTTGACAGACGCTTCGCAGACGCCCCAGGCGAGGCTTCAGGGCGGGGGGGGGTGCGGGGGGCGCCAGGCCGGGAGGCCCCCGGGAAGACGCCGGGACCCCGCGGAGCGCCCGCCCGGCTGCCGCACCAGCACCTGCCCGCGGGGCCGTCGCGGACTGTCGGGGGCGCCCCCGGGGCCCCGCTGAGCGGCCGCCGAGCTCGCAGCAGGGCCGCGGCGGCGGGCGGCGCTGGCGCCCCCGGCGCCGGCCTCTCTCCACCGGCCGCCCGCCCGCCCGCCCGCCGGGGCGCCGGGGCCCAGCCTTGGGGAGCCGGCGGCGCGGGTCGAGTCTGGCCTGCGGGCGCGGGCGGGCGGCGCGCCCAGGGCCCTTGCGGATGGCCGCGGCCGCCGAGCCCCCAGCGGCCGGCGGCCGGCCCAGCGCAGCCCCTGACCTCGGGTGCCCCCCCGGCCCTTTCCTGGAGCCCCGTCTCGCGGAGGGGCGGCCCGGCCAGGCCCTCCGGGCCCCGGAGTCTGGCTGGAGGCGCCGCTCGGGCGGGCGCGCGGGGAGGCCGGTCAGGCCGCGGGCGCGGAGGCGGCCCCCCCAGCCGGGCGCCCCCGAGCAGGGGCCGGCGGCAGGCGGGGCGCGGCCTCTGCTCCGGCGCGGCCCCCACCCCGCACGCACGGGCGCCTCGACGGGCGGGCGGAAGGCGCAGCCGGGCTGGGCGCGCTGACCCGCCGCTGTGGCGCGCAGGGGCCACCAAGGACATGGGGAAGATGCTGGGGGGCGACGAGGAGAAGGACCCCGACGCCGCCAAGAAGGAGGAGGAGCGCCAGGAGGCCCTGCGGCAGGAGGAGGAGGAGCGCAAGGCCAAGTACGCCAAGATGGAGGCGGAGCGCGAGGCCATGCGCCAGGGCATCCGCGACAAGGTGCGCGGGCGTCGCGGGCTCCTCGGGCGAGGCGCGGCCCCCGGTGCAGGCTTCCGGCGGCGCCTTGGGTGGGGGCGCACAGGGGTCCCTCCCGCCCCCCCGGGGGACGCCGAGGCTGTGGGCCGAGAGCCCAGCCCCGCCGCGCACCCCGGGGCGGCCGCCGAGAGGCCGGCGGGCCCCGGGGTCCCCGAGTCCGCTGGGCGGGGTCTCTCTGGGGGCTGCTGGGCTCCGTGAGGCCGGGGTCAGTAGGGGTGCAGGCAGGGCGGGGTCGCGGTGTCCCCACAGCTGCCCTGCAGGACGGGGCCGCGCGGGGGGTCACTACGGCCGCCATTATTTCGTCCTGCCCCCTCTGAGGACCTCCCAGCTCAGCGGACGGTGCCGGGCTGCCCGGGGCCCCCGGCGCAGAGCCCGCAAGGGAGGAGCGACCCCCGGGCCCAGGGTTGTGGGGTGCAGGCCGCGCTGTGGGCGGGCGCGGGGAGCGCAGTGCCCGGCACCTGCCCCGCTGCGCCCCCACCTCGGGTGGTGTACCCCGCGAGGTCCGCAGGACACCCACGTTCCTGCCGTCTCTTCCATCGGGACATGCCCAGGCAACCGCCTCCTGTTGCGCAGGCGGCGCCCCTTCTCCGACCACACCCCCGAGGTTCGGGAGCAGTGCTCGGCCAGGGGAGGGGCTCTAGGATGTGGCAGGGGGTGCGTGGGGGGCAGCAGCAAGGGCCACCAGGGGATCCGCTACTGCAGTGCGGGGTTTGCTCCTGCGGGCAACAGGGGTGACCTGGGCCTGCCCCCCTGCGCGCAGGCCTGGCAGTGCTCCGCGCCCCCTGCTCCCCCCATTCCTAAAGTCACGCCAGGCCCACTCGTGCCCCAGCTCTCAGGGTGCCCCCTGCGCGGGCGGGGCTGCCTCAAGGGGCCTGGCGGCCGGGGGCGGGACGGGGGCGCTGCCCTGACCCGCCCCACCCCGCCCCTCAGTACGGCATCAAGAAGAAGGAGGAGCGGGAGGCAGAGGCCCAGGCCGCCATGGAGGCCAACTCAGAGGGCAGCCTGACCCGGCCCAAGAAGGCCATCCCGCCGGGCTGCGGGGACGAGCCGGAGGAGGAGGACGAGAGCATCCTGGACACGGTCATCAAGTTCCTGCCCGGGCCGCTGCAGGACATGTTCAAGAAGTAACGCCCGTGCGGGCCCCCCTCGCCCTCCCCGCACCCCAGGCCCCAAGGGATGTCAGCGCAGGGTCACCCCAATATAAGCCATAGCCCTAGGTGTCCCCCCGCCCCCGGCCTCGGGAGCCCCTCCCTTCCCCCGCTGTCACGCTGTGCTCCTGCTGGAGGCGGGGACCCCCCACCTGCTGCTTTAACCGGACCCCCCCCCACAGCCCGGGACGCCCCTTACTGCTCCCGCGCTCACCGCCCACCCAGCAGCGTCTGAGGCCAGGGCCACCCAAGGGCCAGCCCCTCGACCACCCCTGGTGCGGCCCTGCGCGGTGGGCGCTGCGCCGCCGAGCCCAGGAGCACAGCCATAGTGGGGGGCTGGGATGGGGGCTGGGAGTGGCAGCAGCTGGTGCCTGGCGCCCCCTCCGGGCCAGCCTGGACCCCCAAGCTCCTCCGTGGCCATTGCGGCTTCCAGGGCGCCGGCTGCCCCTCCCCCGGCCCTGCCAGGTCTTCCCGCAGCACTACTCCCTGGGGGCTCAGGTGGGGGGAATGCCGGGGACACAAGCAATAGGCTGGGCGTCTGAGACACCCTGTCACAGCCCCACCCAGCCCTGCTCCTGAGTCTGTGGGCCCAGCCCGCTCCCCCTGGTCGGCACCTCCTGTCCTCCCCCACCTGAGGCTGCTCTGGGGGTGCCTACCCTCACCCCTAAACACCCACACCTTTCACAAGAGCTGGGGAGGCCTGAGCCGCCAGAGACCCGGCCTCCAGTGCAGGGAGCCAGAGGCCCACAGGGGCCCTGGAGGCGGGATTGGTGTTGTGGGGGAGCCCAGGCCAGCTTGAGGGACGCCCCTGGGCCTCTGCACCCCTGCTTCCTCCATCTGGCTCATTTGTGTCCCGATATGTTGAATCTCAGGTAAATGAGGTCTTCTGTATTCTCGGGTTTTAGCTGGACAGAAAGCCCCTGTCCACCCCTCATTGTACCCACGTGTCGCGGGCCAGGGCGCGGCCCCTGCTCTGCAGAGAAGCCATACGATTAGCCTGCAATACGCCGTCCCCGCGCGGAGCATGCCTGCCCGCGCCCCGCGCGCCCGCAGCTCCGGCTGCCCCCCACCCGCCTCGGGCGCCTGCCGCCCAGCTCAGCGTCGCTGTGGCTGTCTGTCCGTCTGTCCTTGGCCCATGCCCCCCCTGCATGTCGGGGGCCACCGCGTGCGTCTCCCCCTGGAATCACAGCCAATAAAAACAGTGGTTTCACCCGGTGTCTTCACTGCGGGCCCGCTGGGGGCGCAGGGCCGGAGGGAGGGCCCCTCACTTGCCCTGCCCCCGCTGGGGCAGCTGCCCGCCCCAACTCCGTCCTGACCCACATTCAGCCCCTGCCCTGTTTTCCCAAGGCCGCCGTCCAGGCCAGACCCGCTGCCCCTGCGCCTGGCCCAAACCTGCGCACGCCAGGCGGGCCACTCCGGGGGCAGCCCTTGGGGCCCATGGGGCGGCTCTCCTCGGAGCCCTACAGAGGCCTCTGCCCCGCGGACCTGGCTGCGGCCTGGCAGGGTCCCGCTAGCTTGGCCGAAGGGGCCTGGTGCCAAGCACCTGGGGCAATCGGCCGTCCACGGCGCTTGCCCCCACCAGTATCGGCACCACTGTGGCTTCTGAAAGCAGAGCACACTCCCGCAGGGCAGTCCTGCGCGTCCTCCGCGCCCTGGCGGGCCTGCCCGGCTGCTGGCCGCCCCCAGTGCCTGCACGGCTCACGCTGCCAGGACAAATGGGCAAAGGCGCAGAGTTCAGGCCCATCCCACGGCCATTCAGTCTGGGGAGGCCGGGAGGAGGGCTTGGGGGCAGGCCTCTCGCAGCCATGAAGGTGGTTGGGCACAGGGTGGGGGGTCCGACTGGGCTGAGGGACTGGGCTGGAGGAGGTTTGGGTGGGGGGCAGCAGAAGCTGGCTGGACTCGGGGCGGTGCTGCGGCGGGGATGGACTGGGGGGCCCAGGATGGGCCGGGCGGGATGTCCTTCAAGGCCCTACCACTGAGCCAATCGCCACGTTTGAGGCTGTGCCCCAGGGCCTGCGCCCCTCCTCAGCCCCCAGGCCCATTCCCCCCATGGTGCGCTCCCTGCCCGCGCCCCCCCCCCCCCCGCCCAGGTCACCGCAGGACAAGCCCAGGTGGGGCCGCTGCATCCCCAGGTCTCCCCCAGTAATAAACCCCAGTCACCTTCCCGGGTGTGTCTGAGCCGCCATCCCTCACCAGGCAGGCTGCTGTTACCTTCTAGAAACTCTGCTTTTCATGCGTGGGCCTCTGACCCCGTTCGAGGGGACTGTGTCCGAGCCAGGTCTCTCACCCGCTGCTCCGGCGCCCCAGCCCGTCTTTCCCAGCTGCCTCTGCGGCCCCACCTGGCGCCGGCTTTAGCCCTGAGGTCAGGCAGGCAGCATCAGCCCCCAGCCTTGCCCTCCCGCCGCCTCTGGTGGTGGTCAGTTGTCTTGACCCCGGCTGCCTGAGGGGGTCCTGCCAGGGCTCTGGGCTGCCGGCCCTCGGCCGTCTGAGCAGGATAGCGGCGCGTGTTGTCTCAGGTTTGTTTCCGCCGCTCTGCTCGCCCCGAACGACTGCGCATGGACCAGCCTCTCCCCGCAGTCCCGTGGTCTGGGCAGGTAGACAGCTGAGGCAGGCCGGGACGCCGCCCCGAGACCAGGGATGCTCCACGCAGGCCCTTGTGCTGCTCAGGGAGGAGCGGGCCCTGGCATGTCATGGGGCACTGGCCGCGGAGGCGCGCACGGCCTGGCTGGGGGCGGCGGCCAGGGGCCTGCCCACGTGCAGAGGTGCCGCGCCCACTGCGGGCTCCTGACAGGGGCAACGGCTGCTGCAGGGCCACAGCAGCCCAGCCCTCGCCCCAGGGTTCCGGGAGCCAACGGGGCCTGAAAACTGGAAACGCAGCTGGAGGCTTCATTTAACTGTCCATTAAAGACAGTGACTCGTTTCTGCCCCGAGTAAGACTCTCCGGGCTCTGCACAAGGGGGGCTCCACCTCGTGGGCCGGCTTCTCAGCCCAGGGGGTCACCGTGCAGACGAGGTGCGGAGGGGTGCCCAGCATCGGAGCAGGGCCGCAGGCACTCAGGCTGGGGGGCGGCCACTGTCTGCAGGGCCCAGAGCCTCCTCCGAGAAGACCTGTGGCCCCGGGCGTGGGCTCCCCGGGCAAGCGCGCCCAGAGGAAACACAGCCCCGCAGGAGGCGCTTTTCCAAACAGGCGAGGCAGCAGTTTCGAGGAGGCAGCCTCGCCCTGCTGTGCCCCAAGGGGGAGGGCTGAGGGGCCTGGGCCTCAGTCTTCTTGGTGGCGGCGGCGTCCATCACCCTCGTGGTGGCGGTTCCTACCAACTGCGGGTCTGCCCGGGGCGGGCAGGGAAGCGGGGCCCACGCAGGCTCCCTGGAGAATGCTGTGCATGCGGGAGCGAGCAGGGGTGGGGGCTGAGGGCTCCTCGGGCCAGGGTCTGGTGACAGAGGTGAGGGGCCTGGGCTGGGGCAGGCTCTCAGGGCCCTTTGCAGTCTGGTGGCGGGCAGGGAACCGGCTCCGCGGGTCCCTCCTGGCCAGGGGGACTGGGAGGGGCCAGTCCTTTCAGAAAGCTCCCAGATCTTCCCTGTTGGCCGCAGTCCAGGGACAGCGAGGTGGGTCTAGTGGGCAGAGCTCAGGGCGTGGCTGATCCGAGAATCTTACTTTGCAAAGGGGAGATTTTAACCCCCGGTGATGCCAGCCCGGGATGCCGGCCAGCAACTGTAACATGGGAGGACGTGTGTGGGCTCAGCTGCCCACAGTGCTGGGGGGCAAGCTTGGCTGGGCAGGCTGTGTGCAGGGGCTTTAGGCTGACACGGCTATCCCTGCAAGAGCCCGGCCCAGTCCTTGCAGTGACCTGTTCACTCCCACGGAGACCAGGCTGCCATGCCCGGCCTGACCTCCAGTGTCCAGGCAGGTCAGGACTCACGAGGGCCGGGTGGGCGGGGCCGGTGGCCTCTCTCACCTGAGCTGACCTAGGGCTCAGATGGAGCCGCCCATCTCCCAGCAGAACAAGTCTGTTCGGGTACAGCCCCGAGAATTGCAGTTGGGGTCTGTGTGCCACGCACTGCTGGTCCTGGGGGGAACGGCACAGTGGGTGGCGCCTCTGTGTGTGTGTGTGTGTGTGTGTATGAATATGCATGTGGGGGCGTGTGTGCAAGCATGTGGGAGTGTGCATGTGGGAGCTCGTGTGTGGCAATGTGTGCAGCAGCCACACCACTGCTGGCGGTGCTGTCCACCCGGGGCAGCAGGTCAGGCTGAGGCTCTCGCGGGTAGTGAGACCCGGGCAGCTGTGGCAGCACCTGGAAGAATTCCAGCGACGTCTGTCTTTTGCTTTTCTTACAAGCATATAATTGGCAAAACACCGAGTACAAGCTCCACCATTATGAAATCAAAACATTTAAGCAATTTTCAAAAAAATAGTTTAGACAAAAACCAGCCACCAATGGTACAAAAGTACACACCAACACAAAGCACGAAGTGTAAACGCCCGGCACAGCCACGGCCGCTCGCCAGGGGCCTGCCGTGCAGGGCAGGGAGCGGGGGACCAGCGCCGCGGGGCAGGTGTGCTTTGGGTGCTGGGCTCTGACCTACACGTTCCAGGCAGACACACGGGCTTACCACGCTAAGGGCACATGTGCCGGGGGTGCGTGCTTCCTGAGGAAATAGACAAACCGGCGTCTGGGATGTAGCCACCTGCACTGGGTTTATTTTGCGTTTTGAGCGCACATCAGACATCAACGTACAACGCAGACACCAGCCCCTTGCCCGGACGCTCACTCCGGGGCTTGACGCACGACTCCGCGCCGGGGGCACCCGCCCGCCCTGCCAGCACGTGTGTTCAGGTGCTGCCGCAGGCGCATCCACAGCCCGGCAGCCACCGCCTCACAACTGCCCAGGAAAGCCAAACCAGAAGCTGCAAGTGCGCCCCGTTGCTCCGGCAGCGGGCGAAGGCCGTAGCCCAGCCTGACCACGGGCCCCTGCAGACTTGGCCGGGCAAGCGGAGACGCCCGCGGGCCCCACGGCCCCTCTCGCCTGTGATGGTGCCAGCCCAGCCACCGGCCGGGAACATGGTAGAAGCTTAAAATAGAATAAATAATCTTATAAAGTTTTTTAACCCCCCCAAATCTTAAATTCAATATTATATATTCTATCTGAATTTCCATTTTCATGAAAACGGTGCCCAGAGAGACCACGGGGCAGCGGGTCCGTGCTGGAGACACAGGCCCAGACTCTGCAGGCTGGTCAGGCCTGGCCCTGCTCCCACGCCAGGAAAACACACGTCAGCCCCTCGATGGTAAGTGAAGGCTGGCCGGGCTGGGCAGGCTGGACGCGTAGCTGCTGGCCGTAAGGCTGGTCGGGCCGGGCGGGCGCCCGTCTGACGACGGAGTCTTAGAAAAATAGGAACTTCTGCGCTGAGCTCCGCCCACGGCAGCCAGGCCCTGGCCCATGTCGGCTTAGCACCACGCGGTCCAAGTGACCGCGACGCCGCGCCTGGTCTGGACGCCCGCCGGCTGCACCCTATCCCCCCCACAGGCACCGACGCGCCGACAGACTCGGGCCGCAGAGAGGGCCTGTGGTGGCCCGTGCGTTTGAGGTAGACAGGTAATGTTTGCTCCCGTGTCTGCCCGTGGCCCCGCAGGCGTACAGCAGGCTTGGGCGGCACCGGGAGTCCGCGGGCTTTGAGCAGGAACGGTTCAGACCCGTTTCTAGCAAAGCCTTGTTACACCCCAAAGGCCTGCCCCGCTGCATGGACCCCAGCGGCCGGCGCCCCTGGCTGCTGCACATGCCGGCCAGCTCCGCGTCTCACTCGGAGGGACGGCAGACAGGCGGCCTGAGCCAGGCCCTCCTGCCAGTGCCACACCTGCCCGGGCTTGTTCTGACGGAGCACAGACCTGGGTGGGGCTGGTTTTCCCTCTGATTCCACCAAAATGTGAGCATTTGGGAGGAGGGGGCAGCCTGGAGGCAGGTGAGCAGCATGCTGTCCCGCCCATCAGCCATGGCCTGGGATCGGGCCTCCATCCCTGGGTGACTCCGGGCACTCGGGGCCTGCCTGGTCCACACCGTGGCTCAGCCCCATCCGAGGGCACCTTCACGGGAAAGGCCCAACGTGGCCGCCACCCTCTCGCTTCTGAGCAAAGCGAGGTTGGAGGGAGACGTCAGACACGGGGGTGCAGGGTTCTGCACCTGCAGTGCACAGGGCCCTCTGCCCTGGGCCGGGGCCACCCTGCTGGCCGGGCCTGTTGTCCCGCGCGCTCCCAGCGTGGAGACCAGGCCCGGCTGGCGTGCGGCTGAGCCCGCAGGCTGTGCCAGGCCCGGCTCCTGCCCGGTCTGCGGGGTCTAAAGGCAACACTCACCGCCGCGGGCTGTTCTCAGTAACTTAGAAGGACTCAACGGGCGTGCAAGCGTCCCGGGCGCCCAGGCCCTGCTTCCCCGGCAGCACGGCCCCAGGGCCCAGGCACAGCGGGGCGTCCGCGGCGGCTCCTGTCTCCAGCGCTGGCGCCGAGTCCGCGTGGGCGCCGCGGGCGAATCGCGAATGTTCTCCTCAGACACGCGGTCCTCGCAGGCCGAGGCCGGGGCCAGCCGACGTGCTCACAGCAAGTCCATCTTGGGCCTGTAGTGCAGCAGTAGCGGCGCCTTCTGCAGGCGCGCGCGGCTCAGCAGGTGCACGGGTGGCCAGATGCCCCCTCCCCCCCACTCCGGCCCCCTCCCTGCCCCTCCACCCGCCAAGAGCGGGTACCGCGGATCCCGGAGCCGCTGCACCTCACCTTGAACCTCCACCTCGTGACCACCACGAACTTGAGCGTGTGGTCTTTGCCCAGGATCTCCTCGTTGCACAGGATGTCCAGCTGGCGGACAGGGGCTTCGGTCAGGCCCGGCGCGCCCGGCCCGGGCTCCCGCGGCCCCTTCCCGCCCGCGCGCACGCGAGGCCGCCAGGAGCCCCGTCTAACGCAGTGTCCAGCCCCATGCTGAGCTTGGGGCCCAGCCGGCCAGGCCCGCTCGGATGCACCCCCCAACGGCCCCACCGGGCCGGCCCAAGCCGCCGCCCCCTCCCCTGCGCAGGGTCGGCTCCCACCCTCGGGCCTGCAGCGCTGAGGCGCCCCCGGCGCATCCCTCGAGGGCCTCAACCGCCCGCCCCGCTGCACCGGGTTCCTGCACTCCGGGACGGCAACCCCCGCCTGCACTCCGCTTCGGCGCCTCACTCCGCGTCTCAACACCTCGGCACTTCACACCTCGCCCGACGCTGGTCTCTCCGGTGCTCCAGGGTCTGCGGCGCGCAGCCAGTCAGTCCTCCCCGTGGCCAGTCCTCGCAGCTCCAGTCCAGGTGACCTCTCCTGGCCGGCGCTGCGCCTCCAACCCCCTGCACTGCACTGGGACAGCCCTCGCTGTCCAGACCCCCACCTCCTTGGGCTTTGTCCCTGGGCCCGAACCACCCTGCTGTGAACTGAATCGCTTCCTTGCCTCTCCTCGTGGGGTCACGTGTACACAGGAACAGACAGAATTTTGCAGCTGCCACCTCACTGCTCAAATTCTTTCTTTCCAATAGATTTCTGGCAGAGTCCACGAGGTTTCTGCATCTGTCCCGAGACCTTAGGGAGCCTGCGTCCTGCAGCACGCACGTGGTGCGCCACACCGCAACCAGACACCTGCGCGGCCGACGCAGCCTCCTTCCGTTAGACCCTTCCTGGCTCCCACTACTGCCCGACTGCCATGGCTGGGACATCCGGCCCCGAGTCTCACAGCTGTGGGCCCGAGGGCCCTGCCCAGTCCCTGAGCCTAGAAGGCTTTCGGCCCCTGCTGCCAGGCTGAGGCCATGCCCACGGCTGAGTCTCCCTCAATAAAGCAGCACCTCCCAACGGGGTTTCTGTGCTCCCGTGCCTCAGTGCTTCCAACCCAGCCGGATGCCGAACCTCCCTTGCTCTTCTGCGCAGGCCGCGGGCTGCTGTGTGGCGTTCTGTTGTGGAGTCCTGTGCCTGTGCTCGCCAGCGTTTGGCTGCAGCCTGTTCTGTGACGTCCCCTCCTGGGTGAGGCCGGCAGCCCCCGCTTCCCCGAAAGCGCCACCCAGGGAGCCCCGCAGGCCTAGGCACCCCGCCGAAGGCTTGGCAGGGCCCACCTGGAAGCCATCTGGTCCTGGGCTGGTCAGGCTTTATTTGATTGATGTCCCTGGCCAGCCAGGTGGGCAGGGCTCACCCGTGGTCTGGGATGTCCTCTGGGGTTCTGTGGGACCCACTGATGTCCCCGTCTTCTGATCCTGATCCTACTCATTCTCTCCTTGGTGAGCCTGAAGTTTTCTCAATGTGTGTTTTTAGAAACACCAACTCCTGGTGTCCTCAATCTTCTACATTGTCTTCCCACTTTCTGGTCTCACTGATTTTCCGTTTCCTTCTATTAACCTTGGCTTTGTCCTTTTCCAAGGTGCTGGGGGTCGTTCTCGGTTGTCCTGTGCCGCTCCTGCTCCCTCACATGGGTCTGAAAACTTGCGTTTCCCTTTCCCTTCATGACCTAGTATTGCGTTTGCTTTATTTCCCTTGTTGACCAGAGATTTCTGAGAAGCAAGCATTTTAATCTCCATGTGTCTGAGGTTTGTCCAGTTTTCTTTTTGTGGTTCATTTCTAGGGTAATAGCATTTCAATCAGATAAAAATACTTGGCATTTTAATATTCATAAATTTACTGACACTTGATTTGTCCCAACATATGATCTGTCTTTGAGACTGTTCCGTGTGCTCTTGAGAAAAAGGTAAATTCGGCAGCGTCTGGCAGAGGCTTCCTGAATGGCGGGCCCTGACTTGGCGTGCCACGGGAGGCTGCTGCTCCTCCTTTATTCTGCTGTGGGTCTGCCCACAGCTGCGGGGTCCTGAGCCCCTTGCTGACTGGCCCTTGCTGTCTAGCTGCGCTGCCCATGCTCTGGGTGCCCGCTGGACGAGAAGCCTGGCCATTCCCTGGCCCCATACTGGTCAGCTATTCCCGCAGGTCCTGCAGAGCAAGCACCAGCCCCCCGCCCAGCAGTTTCTTCCTGGGCCCCCTCTCACAGCTTGTTTTTCTCTTGCTTTTTGCTGCCAATCAAATTCTTTCACTTTCTTGAGGGTTATTTTGGGTTTGAGGGGTATGTTAATTTTCATCTCTACATCCCCAGCATATCAGTGCCCTCAGGGTGTTTACTGATGTCCACTGGCTTCATTTTATGAGTGTTTTACGTCATCAAAATGCCCGTGTTATAGTCCAGCATGTTTTTATCATTCTGACTGACTCTGCTGCACATAATTCTCTCAAATCCCCCCATCTGCTGACTACAGCTGCATTTCACCCTTCCCTAGAGCAACGTAGTTCCCTGGGGTGTATGTGGGGACCACACCTCTGGGCCCAGCCGTCGTCGAGGGACATCTAGGCTGTCCCACGCCCGAGCGAGCAGCAACAAGGCTGCCCTCGCATATCCTGCTGTGAGCAGCAGCTCAGGGCTCCAATACTGAGGGTGCAAGATACCACCCGGGTCAGATGTTCAAGCTCATCCGTCCATCCTGTGTCCAGGGCCATCTGTCCTGTGTCCAGGCAGTCCTTGCCCCGTGCTGCAGCCTCTGCCTCTGCCCTCCAGGGGTCTCAGGTCCCACCGCCTGTGCCCCATGAGGAGTCCAGAGATTCTCTCTCCAGGGCCGGGGCTGGCGTGTGCCAGGTGCCTGGGGAGACTGCTGCTCTGACGTACCTGCAGCTTGCACGCCTGTCTCGGCCCCTCCACCCCCTGCCTGTCTCCCAGAGAGCCTCCACGATGGCCTGCCCCGTGGCCTCCATACCTCCCCCTTAGTCCACTGCTGAGGGGGAGCTGGGGGGGGCCACAGTGCAAGGGCGGGGGCTTCCGTCAGCCGCACTGTCACCTCCTGGCGCGATATTTGGAGAGTCAAAACAAACCGAGGTTTTTCTGATAAAGAATTTCCAACCAGGGCCTCCCCTGGTGGCGCAGTGGTTGAGCACTGGGCTGCGAAGCTGCCTGCAGCCTCTGCAGCACCAGTTCAATCCCCGGCCACAGGGTAAGGGTCCCACATGGTGCGAAAGACCCCTCCTGCTGCCCGCTGCTCCCCTCAGCAGTGTATTTCGTCAGTCTGTCTGTTCTGCTCCCCGCTCTGGCTCTGGTGGATTCTCTCACCCTCCCGTGCTTCTGACTGTACCCAGTGCTCGTATAAATAAATAATCTTTAAAAAAAAAAAAAGAATTTCTGACCAGAGTTGTCAAAAAAAAAAAAAAAAAAAACCAAAAAAACCAAAAACAAACAAACAAAAAAAACACAACACCCCCAAGAACTTCCCAAGCGCCCCCATGGCGGGAAGGACCGCAGCCAGCTCACCTCGTTGAAGGAGGCCAGGTTCAGCTTCTTGGCGATGAACTTCTTGAGGTGCAAAACGGTGGCCTGGGCGGAGCAGCGGATCCACTTGCGCTTGAGCCCCCGCAGCTTGCTGCTGTTGCACTCCAGGCAGATGCTCACCTGGGGGCGGCGCGCGTCAGCGGGCGGCGCGGCCTCAGGCGCCCGGAGACCTGCCGGCCCGCGAGTCTGAGCGCCTTGGCGCTTTTGGGGTGAGAAACCTGCTTTGACCTCAACATGGGAAACAATTTTTTGAGCCAATTTTACACACGTTATTTTAAAACGTGTTTGTTTCTTTGAAGGGGCATGTGACGGACCCGAGTGGCTCTGGCGGCTCCTCTCCCATGCCCACTGTGTGCGGCCGGGTCGGGCCCCGGGCACCATGGTAGCAGACACCCGCCCTGTGGGACACGCCTCCCACAGGACACAGCAAGACACTGGCTCTGGAAGAGGGTGGCGCTGGGGGAGCCGCGAGCAAGGGCGGGGCACAGGACCCTGCGGAGGCGAAGGCCCCCAGCCACCTGCCTGAGGAGCGGCAGGCACAGGCCCGGGTTCTGGAGCCACGAGGCCCAAGGGCTGGGATACCCACCGCCCCAGCGAGCAGAGGCCGAGCCAACCGCACACCAGACCACACCTGGGGTCAGACGCGGGGCCCGCGGGCCAGCCCCAGCACAGACCCACATGTGCTCCAACCCCCAAAAGCTGCTCCTGCATGAGCAAGAGACAGCGATGCTGGCGAAGTGCCAAAGGGGGAGCAAAGGCTCTGGCCACAGGGCCCTGGGGGCCACGGGCAGAGTTCAGGCACTGACTGGTGGAAGCTGTTGGCTGGCCCTGACCGATGCACCTTAAGCACGTTTGGATAAAAAGAAAAGGCAAAAATGAGCCTCCAGATCGGAAGTTTAAAAGCAATGGGGAACGCCTGCCCACGCCAGGACTCTGCCTGCAGAGACTCAGGAGCCGGGCCTTGGAGCTGCGGAACCACTTTTGGAACCGGCGGCAGCAGCACCACCGGTGCTGGTGTCTCCCCACTCCACAAATCTGTTGAGGCAGGTGCTCCTCTGAGCCCTTTTATGCAACTGTGTGCTGCCTGGATCATGGAATGGACCAATCAGGTGCGAACTATGAGCTCATTGGTGCTAAATGGTCCAAGCAGCCACAGAATTGGAAAATGGTCCAATCAGACTTGTGGGTGGGGCTCCCTGAAGGCTAGAAGCCAGGGCCAGAGGGAGCAGAGTTCCCGTCTCCAAAGAAAGGAAGAGGGCAGAACTCTGTTCCCCTCTCCAAAGAAGAAAGACCCATGCAGTCGCCAACCCCCCGGAGGGAGAGGACCTAAGACCCTTGTGGGGACGGGCCTCCATCCTGCCTCTCCATCCCGACAAGGCCCCAGCCCGGCATCTTTAAGGGCTGTTGTTGCCGGAGTCACCCGACAATTCCCAGGAGCTGTGACCCTGGGTCTCTGACCTGCCTCTGGGGGCCAGTGGTGCCCATCGCACTGGCCACTGCTCCCCAGACTCCTGGTGGCTGGTGGCGACCATCCCTGACACTATCCAGGTGAGGTATAAACCCCGCAGTGGTTGTTCCTGGAGCCCAAGGCCTCTTGCCGTTGCTAGCGGGTGAGACCTAGATACTGCCCTGTCCCCTGCTGGGGCATATCCCTTGCCTGGCTGCAGCCACAGACCCCTATGGGTGTCGTGTTGTATTGCTACAGCCCTTGCCTTGCATTTTTGGCCTTTGGGGCTTTCTGGCGGCTCTCGTCCCAGGGCCCAGGCAGGTAGGCAGCCGTTCTATCCCCCCATCTGGCCTCCTGCCCTACTGACTGAATGTTCCAAGAGGCATCTGGGCATTTTCTCGTTTCTGGAGCTGAAGCCGGCCGTCTGTCCACCACCCCTGGAGGCTGTTGTGTTCTGGGATTCAGGTGAAGGGGCTCTGGCCAGGGCCGAAGGGCTCCACTGCTTCCACTTCTGACGACACAGCCAATGCCACGCGGCTGGTCACCACTACATGGCTGCCTACAGCCGGGCCCTGGCCAGACGCCACCGCTGCCTGGCTTGGGGGGACGGGTGGGGAAGGTGCACCTCGGGGCCACGGGCCACGGCAGCAGTTTGGGAACGTGAGGTGGGGGTGCTGGGGCGGTGAGTGGAGGACAGGACCGAGCACTGCCAGCCCACCTGCTCGTCGCTGCGGTGGTAATCGTTGTCCTCCTCCTGCTTCTCCTCTGCCGCCTCCTTGTTCGCGCTGTCATCTGCTTTGGTTTCACCTGCAGGCAGAAGCGCCACGTCACCAAGTCAAGGGCCTGACATCATTCTCTACACCCTGCGTGACACTTGGAATGCTAAAGGTGCTCCCCGGGTGCGCATGTGCCGTGGAGACCTAAGAGCCAGACAGCTGCCTAGGCAGCAGCACCCCTGCCAAGCACTGGCCAGCACCCAACGCCCCCACTCCCCCACACCGGGCACTGGCCTGGCCCCTGTGCCCCCTCGGCCAGGCTGCCGAGCAGTCAAGCCCCCAGTAGTGGAGGCCACGAGGCCGCGCGTGGCGGGGACGTCTCTCACGTTTCGCCTCCCCCAGGGCAGCGCGTGCGAATGAGCGGCGTGAGTCCTGGGAAATGCAGACTTGGAAACAGCACGAGTCCCCCCAGAGCTGTGGCCGTCTGCCCTTCTGCAGCGAAGCCGCAGGACGGAGGGAGGCCCCAAGGTGTGTCCTGGGGCCTGCGCCCGCCCTTGCCCCCCAGGGCCCTGTGGGCCCAAGCCCGCCACTCACCGTTCCGGTGGGAGTCAAGGTGCTGTTTGGCAGAGCCGATGTCCCCTTTGACGTCCCCAGGCACCTCCAGGCCCAGCTGGTGGTAGAATTCCCGCTGCTTCCTCATCTCCGCTGCGAGAGCAACGCGGCCTGACTCTGCAGCCCCGCCCGCCAACCCCGCGCCCTCCACCCAGCGCGGTGCCCCCACCCTGGCCTGCCCTTCACCCCCCAGGGCCACAAGAGCCGGGCAGCTGGCCGCCACCCCAATGTGCAGGGACGACACCCACTGGCCTGCCACCAAGGGCAGCCCCCACAACTGCTGCTCAGAGCTGGGCCTGGGTGGGCAGAGCGCCCGGTGCCTGCGTCACCACAGCTTGCCGAATCTCAGGGGCCCAGGGGGACCCGCACAGGGTGAGGGCGGGAGGGGTACATAAGGTAAGGGGCGCATGGGGGCGGGGGCGCACAGGGCAAGTGACACATGGGAGCTCGGCCGGTAGAACAGCCGCTCGGGCTCAGCCTGGAGGGTGCGTGGGCAGCCAGAAGAGAGAACGTGAGGCCCAGGGTGGCAGAGCACCCACCAGACCAGGGGTCCGGAAGCTGTGGATTTGCAAGGAAAGGCGCGTTGAGGGCACAGGGACGCCCCCAAAGTGCCAGCAGTGGCTCTGGGACCCAGCTCCCCGCAGGCCTCTGCCCTTGCATCTCCAGCACCCCGCTGAGTTGCCCCCTACCCCGCCATGGAAAGGGCGGCAGCAGCACATGGATGCCAGGGCCAGGCCAGCATGCTCAGGGCCGGGTGCACCCGAGACAGGGCAGTGGCCCTGGGGGTCCGCAGGGAGTGGACAGGACCTGGGACCAGGCCCCGCGGCAGCAGAAACCAGGTGCCCACAGGGCAGTCTTGCCCAGGCCGAGGGTGCAGGCCACGGCACCGAGACACTGTGCAGCTTTAGGGCCGGGATACGATCCCCCAGGAGCAGCACCAACGGGGCCAGGGTGGCCAGGGCAGTGGGAGAGGCTTACAAAAGCCCCTGCACAGTGACCCCCAGGACCTTCTCCACACTGACAAGTGGAGAACTCAGAGGGCAGGGTTGCCCACATGGGCGCCCTGCCCCGAACCAGGGAGAGCAGGGGACCCTGCCCAAAGGCAGGGCACAGCAGAGCCGGGGTGGGGCAGGCAGTGACCCCAGGGTGTGGAGTCAAGTGACACAGCGGAGAGTCCACAGCCTTTGCAAGACAGGAGAAACCACTTCCAGGGGCTTTCAGGGGCAACACCCAGGGACCCTGCAGACAACAGATCCCACTGCTGTTCTGAACAAGCTGGTCCAGGGGAAGGAGCAGGTGGGCAGGGAGATAGTCTGGCCCTGTGCTCCCCCCACACAGTGCCCCCCTCCTTCCTGCCCAGCACCCGCCCTCGGTGTGGTCCCCCAGGCTGGGCCTCTGGCAACCCCCTCCCCCTGCCTGTCCACGTGTCCCCCACATGAGCAGGAAGAGGCCCTGGCACGGGAGCCCTCAGTGCTCAGCCGGGTGGGCTCCTCTCTGGCTTCCCCAGCATCGCCCTCGGCCGCCCGACTGCTCAGCCTGAGTGCACCCAGCCCGGGAAGGCTCTGCGGGGGCTGCACTCAGTCACTGTGCCTCCAGCTCCCCCTCCCTGCTCTCTCCTCCCTGGGCTGCTGCCTGTAGGGCACATGCATTGGGGTCCCCAATACTGGATGTTCTGCTCTGGGCAGAGGTCTGCCCTTCTACCCTCTCCTCCCCACACCCCCCCCCACCCCCACCCCACCCCCCCCGCCTGCCGGCCACCCGGAGCCACTCCTGCCATTACCTCCTGCTCTTTCTGGGCCTTCCCAGCCCCACCTGGGCACCACGGCTGGGGGAGCCTGGGCCGGTTCAGGCCTCAAGGTCTCGCAGCTGTGTCCTGCCTCTGGGAACCCTGTGGTTGTTTCTTGGTGTGTGGACACTGAGTCAGGGAAAAGGGTCGTAGCCCACAGGCGTCTGCATGGAGGCGGGCTACCTGTGGCCCGACTCAGGCGTCCATCCCCAGGGAACAGTGCCCTGGCAGGCCTCGGCCTGGGCAGGGAGAGGCACCCCTGCCCAAAAGCCGAGGGGTGCACTCCTTGACATACAGGAGCTCTCCCTCACGCACCCCCCCGGGCGGAGCCACCCAAGGACCCAGGCAAGGGCCTGGGCAGGTGCCGGCAGTGTGTGCTGGGCGCCGGCGGGGCACAGCGGACGCGTCTTCTGCTCCTGGACAAAGTCAATTCCAAAGCCTCTCAGGGCTCGACGGGCTAAAGGTGCTTCTCCTCATGCAGAAGCTCCATGACCTTGCCCTAGTCCAAAGCCTGAGCAACAACGCAACCCATGCAGGACGCCCAGGGCTGACTGCTGCACGGGCATGGCCCAGAGCGAGCAGAAGCCTCCAGCCCCAACAAGACCCAGAACTGCCGGCTGACAAAGGGGCAGGCCATGGCGTCCACTGGTCCCACGCTCCACGGCTGCAGCGCAGCCCCTCCCTCAGCGGTGTGGCGAGTCTGCGCAGCAGGGACAGCCACTAGAGGCCACTGGAGACGGGGTGGGCTGTGCCCCTTCTACAGAAGATGGGGTATCTGGGCCGAGGAATGTTGCGCAAAGGGGGGGCATCATGTGGGGGGCACTGGGGAGGGCGAGGACGGAGGAGACAGGCCTCGGCAGTAACGAGAAGGGACCCAACACAGACCAGAGCCGGCTCCCCCAGGAAGCCCCTCCTCACGGGCTGGAGGGCTGTCGGCCAGTGGCTGTGGGGCCCTGAGGCCCTAGCCAGCTTCGCCCCCAGGGCTCGGGCCAGCGCAGCACCTGAGCAGCCCCGGTGACAGAGGAGGCACCGCGCAGTCCAGGGCCCGACCTGCTGCTCTGGCATGTCTGAGGCCCCCGCAGCGCGTCTGACGGGGAACGTGCATAGCATGTCCGTTCTTGGTCTGTCCCTGCGGATGCAGACGGGGCCCGAACCACCGTCACTCTGGGGAGGTGCAGCAACTCTGGGCAGTGACAGGGCTTGAGCGGCCCAAGTCCTCGCTAGGGGCTAACAGGCGGAGCCCTCGCACCTGTTCCCAGCGCCATGCACAGGCAGCGGCCGTCTCTGCGCCTAGGGGCAGCCTGTTGGCACCCATGCCCCACTCTCAGTGGGCATCAGGTCTGCAGACGCCCCGCCTGGGCAGCCCCAGCCGTGGGGGACACTCACCTTCCTGGAGGCCTGGAACCAGCTTGTAAACAATGTCCTGCATGGTCCTGTCATGGCTGTGAGAAGGATGGGGGTCAGGAGAGGCTGCTGGGCTGATCTCCTCACCCCGTGAGGGATGTGGCAGGAACTGGTGCCGGGAGCCCCCACTGTGCTCCCCCTCTCAGGGAGGCAGAGCAAGGCCCTGCAGCCAGGCCCTCCCAGGTCTGGGGGCGGCTTCTGAAAGGTCCCAAAGCCCGGGGCCCAGAGACTTCAGGTTCGACTTTTCAAATGATAAATTACGAGTATGTTTAAGATACATTTCCTTCGAGAATAAGAATTTTTTAAGCTTTCTTAACTTTTAAGTCAATTTTATTTCTCAAACGCCATCTGTGAAGATGTCAAGGCCACATGGCCCAAGTCGGTGGCATCTGAACACCGCATGCAGCGCTGACCCTAGAGCCACACCCGTGGGGGGCAGGCGGGGGCAGGAGGCCGGGGCGGGGGCTCACCCGATGTACTGCAGTGGGTGGCTCTGGTGGATGACGATCCTGCAGGTGGGGCAGGTGTTGTTCTCCTCCAGGTACTTGACCAGGCAGCTGCGGCAGACTGTGCGGGAGAGAGGCAGAGGGCCAGCCTGGGCGTGGCGCCCCTCCGGCCACCCAGATCAAGGCTTTCTCTGTGCTACCAAGTTGGATGGAATACAACAAAAAAGACACAGAACTATGCCCACCGAGACCACGGCACGCACAGCCGTTACCTTACACGAAGTCTATCAACTCTAGCCGATACCTTATCTCTAAAATGAAAGACGCGAGTCAAGAACCTCCCGCAGGGCAGACACCCGACCCCTCACCAGGGCCAGGCTGTGCCCCAAAGACGCCGTGGTTGCTGGAGCCAAACCGCAAGCACGGGGCTCACCTGGGGCTGCACCCTGCCCCAGCAACAGGGCCTGGCCATAGGGCTCCTGCTGGGGCTCCCCCTGGCCGTGGGGTTCCCCAAGCCCAGCCCCCTTAAGTGATGCCTCCTCTCTGCTGGAGCCACCCCTGGCACTTCTCATTTGACATAACTTCCAGCTTATCCCACAATCTTTAGCCCAGTTCCTACGTCTGCTTCCTGCCAGAATTAAGAGTTTTTTGGGGGGCGAAGAAAAAAGCCTCAGAATGAGAGCACAGGGCTAGGAACGGTCAAAGGCATGTTTCAGACCATGTAGGGGACACGGGTGCCCCAGATGGACGCCCCGGCCCCCGCCCCACCCACCCGCCCTGGCCCCGGCACGCACACGTGTGCAGACACTCGGTCACCGTGGTGGCGTCAATGAGGTACCCGCTGCACAGGCGGCAGGTGATATGGGCGTTTATGTCCCAGAGTTTAATCTTTCTGGTCAACATCTTTGGCTTCTGTAAGAACAAAACACATGAGGATCAAGACCTGCAACGCCCCAGGTGACCCGCGGCAGCCCCAGGAGGCACCCGCCCTCTCCTGCCTGGGACGGGGTGGGCAGCTGGTGTGGTCAGGGGCGCGAGGCTGGGAGGTTGGGTGCTGCGCCGTACACAGCTCAGCTGCTCTGGGGCAGAAGGACGCTGGACACGTGGCCGCAGGCCCGGGCACCGCAACCTGGTGTCCAGAGACCAGCCTGATGCCAGACAGGCTCAAAGACAGGGTCACGGCCTTCCTGGTGGTGTAGGCGGTTGATCGCAGTGCTGTGAAGCTGCCTGCAGCCTCTGCAGTGCGAGTCAATTCCCGGCCGGCCAGGGAGATGCCCACATGGCGCAACAGACCTCCCCTGTCTCCCCGCTGCTCCCCTCAGCGGTGCTTTTGGTCCATCTGCCTGTTCTGTTCCCCACTGTTTCTGGTGAATCCTCTCACCCTCCCGTGCCTCTGCCCTGTACCCCAGCTCTTAAGTAAATCAATCTTTAAAAATTAAAAAGTTGCGGGCCTCCCCGGTGGCGCAGCGGTTGAGCGCTGGGCTGCGAAGCTGCCCGCAGCCTCTGCAGCACTGGTTCGATCCCCGGCTGCTCCCCGGCCACCGGAGGAGGGTCCCACATGGCGCGCAGACCTCTCCTGCCGCCCGCTGCTCCCCTCAGCAGTGTCCTTCGGTCCTTCTGCCTGCTCTGCTCCCCGCTCTGGCTCTGGTGAATCCTCTCACCCTCCCGCGCTTCTGACTGTACCCAGCGCATGTATAAACGAAAGAAAGGAAAGGGAAAGGAAAGGGAAAGGAAAGGGAAGGGAAAGGGAAAGGGAAAGGGAAAGGGAAAGGGAAAGGGAAAGGGAAAGGAAAGGGAAAGGGAAAGGGAAAGGGAAAGGGAAAGGGAAAGGGAAGGAAAGGAAAGGAAAGGAAAGAAAAGAAAAGAAAAGAAAGAAAAGAAAGAAAGAAAAGAAAGAAAGAAAGAAAGAAAACATGCCTCTATAAAAAAAAAAAAAAAAAAATTTAAAAAGTTGCAAAGAGAACAGATAGGGTCACCAGCACTTAAATGCAGAACCCAGAGGGCGCCCGCCAAGGCCGGGCAGCCGGGCGCAGGGCCCAGGCAGCCGGAGCCCCCCGGGCTGGGGACCAAGGGCGGCAGAGTGGGGACTCGGCGGTGACAAGCTCCTGGCAACAAAGATGCAGCTCGAAAGACAGTGTGGCCAGAGCACCCCGAAACCATGCTGCAGGGGACCCCAACAGGTCACTGTGGCAGCCCGGCCAGGGAAGGCCCTCGGCTGCTGACCACCCAGCGGAGGCGTCGGGGCGACAGTCGCCCAGCCGTGCCTGCACCGTCTCACGAGCACAGGAGAGCAGTGAGGCTCAGCTGCCACACGGGGACCAAGCGGGGCCCTGTGCCTCACCTCCTCCAGACGTCTGCTGACCCCGCGTCGGCGCCGGCATGGACCTCAGGCCCCAGTCCCAGGGCGGCTGCTGCGGGCGGGCGGGCTCAGGCGCGCGGGCTCCGCGGGCGAGCACCTCTCTGGCCCGGGCCCCACGGCCATCCTCCAGCACAGAAATGCGCGCACGGTCACCCCGCAGGCCGGGTGTGGGAGCAGCAGCGGCGGGAGCAGTGGGAGCGGGTGTGGTACAGGAGCGGGTGCAGCGCCGGCCCGCGGAGCCAGGAGCCGGGCGGCCTCCGCGTTTCCTGGATAGGGCAGCGGCCACGTGGCTACATCTTGGACTCTGTGGAGACAAGGAAGGAGCGTCACCTGTGTTCCCTGGGCCAGCCTCAGGACGCGGGCGCGGCAGGCTCTGGGCCCCAAAGGCAGGTCTGTGCCGGCCCCCAAGGAGGGGGGCTCTAAGGTGACATGTGAGAGGATGGGGCGTCATAGAACAGCGAGCAGCAAACTGGAGGTTAAGCTGGACAGAATCACTCGCTTTCTGTGACCCATGCGGATGCCCGTCCCAGAGGGGAGCGCTCGCAGCAGGGTGGGGCGGCGTCCAGCAGGGTGGGCACCACCACGCAGGCACCTGCTGGGGCCAGGAGAGCCCTCCGGGCTCTGCCCAGGAAAACACCTCAGATGAGGGTGCTCAGGTGAGTCAGCTCAGGTGAGGGCAGTGGCAGGCAGGCCCAGCACACAAGAGGCAGCGGTAAGGGGGGAAGGCCCAGAGGCTCTGGGGTTTCCACTGTGGGCGACTGGGAGCTTCAGGAGGGAGACCCTGAGACAGCCAGACATGGCCCGATCCCAGTCTGAGGGCAGCCTGGCCGCCCACCCTTTCCCTGTCCTACGGTTCTAGGACTTGACACTCAACCTGCCTTTTCCAAAAAACAGAGGGAGGGAAGAAAACAGGGTGGGCCCCGGGTGGGGTTCCAGGGGTCTGCGCCCCATACAGGGAGAGGCAGGCAGGTGCCCTGGCCCCTACCATCCAGCCCACCCGCGGGGTCCCCGGTGCAGGCAGTGCACGGGGCTCAGCTGTGGGGCCGTGACCACCGGGCCAAGGACAGGCTCCCACAGCCCCTCCGGGCAACGGGGGCCAGGCTGTGGCTCTGAGAGGACGACTGGTGACCTGAGACCGAGGCGCTGGCCGCAAGGCTGGATACTCACGCAAGACAGACGCGTCTCCAGGAAGAGAAGCCCCAGGACAGGGACGGCAGAAAGAGGAGCGGGAGCTGAGCTCTGCCGAGAGCCACTGCAGCCAGCAGCCCAGGCCCAGAAGGGACCAAGGATGCCCCTGGACAGCCCCGCAGCACCAAGGGAAAGCGAGGCCGCCATTGCTCGGGACTGAACCCAGCACACAGGCAGCAGGGTCACCCTTGGCCCTACGGGACCTCTGCCTGACCCACCTAGCCGGGTGCGCCGGTCGTCCCAGAGGCAGCCACGCTCGCGCACGCATGGCTGGGCCCAGTGTCCACATGGCGAGGCCCTGGGCAGACACCCACGCAGGCCACCTCGGATGCACGACCCGGGCCAAAGAGAAGAGGCCGGCCACAGCCAGTGCTGGTGCAGGCGCCCGCACGGCCCCTCCAGCTCAGGCAGACGCAGGTGCCGGGCTCCACCAGGGCCAGGATGAGGCGACTGGGAACCGCACAGCGAGCGTTTTTTTTAAAAACAAAACTAATGAAATCAAACAGAAATGAGCCAGGACCCGGGACGTCCCGGACCATTCACAATGGCTGCAGCAAAACTGGTGGGGGCGAGGAGTGTCACTCAGTAGGGGTGGGGGCCACTGCCTGCTCCCCGTGCGCCCCCGTCCCCTCTCGCCCCTGGGCCATGGGGCAGAGGCCCCAGCACTGCCCAGACTCCACGCACGGGCACTGGCACCCTAGCCTCTGAGAGCCGGCACTGGCCCAGACCCCACAGCCTGGAGGCAAGGCACGGGCATCTTCCGCGCCGCCACGGGGCAGGTTAAGCCCCTTAAGGAGCGAGGCGCAGGCTGAGAAGCACGTGGGAAACGGTGGCTGTGAGGCAGGGAGGTCCTGGGCGATGCATGACAGCAAGAGCCTCTCAAAGGCCGGACTCAGCCCTGCACCCAGGCCCGGCAGGGGGAGGGGGGTGGGTATAGGGAGGGGGTGGGGGGAAGGCTTTCTCCTAAGCGTCAAGGAGTGACCGCAGCCCAGCAGGGAGCCCCAGTGGCCTCCTCCACAGCCAGCTTGTGCCACCAGCTGATATCTGAGAGTCAACAGGGCTCCAAGGCCACCTGCCTGTCCTCCAGGGAGAAGCACACCCCAGGGCCCCAGTGGAAGCACCCCCAGATCCTGCCACACTCTCCTGGCCCAGGGCAGGACCCCACACACACCCCAGAGTGCTCCTGCCTGCTCCCGCTCCCAGCACTGGGCCGCCCCAGCCTCCTGGCTGCCGCAACACCTCGAGCTCGGGATGAGGCAGCCTGTGCCCACGCCACGGAAGGAGGCGGTGACAGTGGCCGAGGCGCAGGCCGGGCCCGGGGCTGGACACCACGTGATGGGCAGTCAGCCTGGCAGCCAGGGCGCCAGTCCGCAGCACCTGCTCAAGGGGCTGGTGGCGCTGGCCTGATGCCTGAGGACAGAGCCGCAGGGGGTGGGGGCTGCTACCTGCGGGCCCACCCGGGACACGTGGGCCACACATTCCAGCGAGACCCAGCTGAGCAACTGGGCGGATTCAGGGCACCTCGGGGTCCTGCCGCAGGGCCCAACCCCTTGGGGCCTACCTTGGGCCCCAGCACCCCTGGCAGGCCACTTGCTGGGTCCAGGTGACCCCAGTGGCTTCTGGGGAGTGCCAGTCTCCCCTTGAGTCTAGCTTCCCTAGTCCAGCCATAGCAGCCTGACCCCCAGCTCTAGTCCGGGGTCCTGGTTGCCCTGGCCCCATGAGACTTCCTCTAGCAGTTCCGGGGTCCTGAGGTGGGCGCTGTCTGGGGGCCCAGGAGTGCTCCCAAGGCTGCTCCAGAACCCGCTGCTCTGGGGCCACTCTGGGGTTCCAGGTCTCCTTACTGGGCTAATCCTGAGTTGGGTCCTGGGGCACCTCAGGGCCCACTCTGCGTCCAGCTGCCCTGGTCCTACCTGCCCAGAGTCCCCAGGTCCTGTCACAGAGGGTCCCAGTCTCCCCAAGAGTCCTGGCAACCTGGGTCCTGACTCCCCAGTCCTGGCTGAGGGACGCAGCCTCCCCCGCTGCCAGTGGAGGGCCCCAGCCTCCCCGGCCTGACTCCCCAGGCTGCCAAGGGCCCAGGGTCCCAGCCTCCCCAGCCCTGACTCCGGGTCCGAGCTCCCCTTGCCCAGACTCCCTGGTCCCAGCCAGGGTCCCGACCTCCCCAGGGCCGGCTCCCCCATCCCGGCCTCCCCAGGTCCTGGCCCAGGTCCCGACCCTCCCGTCCTGGCCTCCCTTGGTCCAGACTCCCCCTCCCGGACTCCCCAGGTCCTGACTCCCCGACGCGGCCTCCCCATCCTGGCCCAGGTCCTGACTCCCCCATCTCATCCTCCCCAGGTCCCGGCCCAGGTCCCGACCCTCCCCTCCCAGTCTCCCTTGGCCCAGACTCCCGGCCCGGCCTCCCCGGGTCCCGACTCCCCGGCCCGGCCTCCCTTGGCCCAGACTCCCCGGGTCCCGACTCCCCGGCCCGGCCTCCCTTGGCCCAGACTCCCGGCCCGGCCTCCCCGGGTCCCGACTCCCCGGCCCGGCCTCCCTTGGCCCAGACTCCCCGGGTCCCGACTCCCCGGCCCGGCCTCCCTTGGCCCAGACTCCCGGCCCGGCCTCCCCGGGTCCCGACTCCCCGGCCCGGCCTCCCTTGGCCCAGACTCCCCGGGTCCCGACTCCCCGGCCCGGCCTCCCTTGGCCCAGACTCCCGGCCCGGCCTCCCCGGGTCCCGACTCCCGGGCGCCGGCTCTCCCGGGTGGCGGCCCGGGCTCCGCGGCCCCGGCCGGTCGGTCGGGCGGGCGGGCGGGCGGGCGGGCGGCCGGCCCGGCGCGGGGGTGCGGGCGCCGGCGGGCGCGGGGCCGAGGCCCGGCCGGGGAGCGGGCGCGGCGGGCCGCGGCGGGCGCGGACGCACTGACCTGCCGTGTGGGCTGCGGCGAGCGGGGCGCACGCGGGGGCCGCGCCGGGAGGGGGAGGGGGCGCCGCTCCGCCGGGTCCCCCCCACGAGCCGGAGAAAAAAACCCGTCCGGAGTTTAAAACAAAGAGGCGGAAATGCCCGAGCGGAGCCGAGCGGCGAGTCGGGGGCGCCGCGCTAGGAGCATGCGCGCTGCGCGACCCGCTCCCACCTCGCCGCCGGGTCGGGGGCGGGGCGGGCGGCCGGGGGCGGGGCGGGCGGCCGGGGCGGGCGGCGGGGCGGGGCGGGCGGCCGGGGGCGGGGCGGGCGGGCCGGGGGCGGGGCGGGCGGGCCGGGGCGTGGTCAGAGCGCGCGGGGGCGGGGGCGGGAGCGGCGCGGGCGCCGGCGGGGTGAGGGGCGGGCCCGGCAGGGCGCCTGGGCGCTGTGGGCGCCGGGCCGGGCTCTGCCGAGGGGCCGGCGGCGCGCGAGGCCCCCTGAAGGCCGGGAAGGCGGGGCCCGCGGGAGCCTGGACCCCGGGCCGTCCTGAAGCCACCGACCTCCTCCGGCGCGGGCGGAGCGGAGCGGGCGCCGCGGGCGGGAGCCCCCCGCGGCCTGCCTGAGGCCTGGGCGGCCAGGCCCCCATGGGGGTGGCCTCCAGGAACCAGGGAGGTGGGCGGGGGTGGCGAGCCTGGCACCCCCGCGGGGACCGACCAAGGGCGCAGGGACCCCGGGCGAGGCCCAGGTGGCCACGCTGGGGCAGCCGCGGCTGCAGGTGTCCAGCAGGCAGGGCTGGGCGGGAAGGGGGGCCGGCGGGAGCCGGGCGGCCAGGCCGGCGTGGGCGGGTTGTGGGGCCTGCGGGGCTCCTGGGACGTGCTCTCCGCCTGGCACCGGGCGCCCTCCACCTGTCCGCTCCTGTTTATTTCCTAACAAACCTGTTTCGCTGTTGGAAAGCTGGTCACTTTTGTTTGAGATAAATACCATACAAACAGGAAAATCAGGAAGCCGTTCGCCTCCGTGTCCCCGAGGACAGACTCGTCCCACACCGCATACACAGACACTGGACACTGTCCCACACCGCGGGCAGGACCCTGCCCCCGTGCCCGCCAGGGCACCTGCACGCCTGTGGCCGGCGCCTGCGGCTGCTCCACCCACCTGCTGAACCTGCTGACTGAGCCCCAGCACCCGGAGGGGCCAGAGTGCTCCGGGAGGACCAGTCGCACCAGATGCTTGTCGCCTCCACCTGTGCTGTAGACAGACGCAGCTCCCCTCCTGTAGGGAGCATGTCCTAAGCCCTGCCCTGCCGGGCCTGGTGGGGTGCCGCGCCCCTTCTGCTCTGCAGCACTGGCCAGCATGGTGCTGGTGGGCAGGGCGGACACCTGAGGGAAGGAGCACCTCTGCAAGCAGGCAGGTCCTGAGGGCACCTGCCCAGGTGTGCTTGGGGGACGTGGGCCACCCAACAGCCACCAGGACAGGTGAGGGCAACTGTGCCGGTCTCCTCCCTGGGGGACTGGTCAGGCTGGCTCAGGCCTGCACACAGCCAGGGAGCTGCCAACAGCCAGCCAGGTGCTGTGGAGACCCCTCCCGCAGCATTGCCTTGCTGCAGCCCCCACAAAGTGGGTGTCTGATCTGGAGGACGGCTGTTTAGGGGAGACCCCTCGGGAGGCGGTGAGGAAGTGGAGTGCCAGACATAGCCAGAATTGTGTGTGCTGTGTTGCTGACAGCCTTGAAGGCGATTCGCACAAGTGAGATGCCGGGCAGCTCCGCGTGTGGCCAGTAAGGACGTCCTGGGCCTGGGCTTGGTGCCCAAGGCCTCCCCACTGACCTCGGAGCTCAGCGGCTCAGGTGCTTGTCCTGAAGGTGCTTGTCCAAGACTTAAATGAACCTCTCACTGCACATGGGAGCTTTTTCCCAATGAAGGTGCTTTCCATGCTTTGCGTTTTTTTTTTTTGTTTGTTTTTGTTTTTTCTAAGATTTATTTATTTATTTATACAAACACTGGGTATAGTCAGAAGCACGGGAGGTTGAGAGAATTCACCAGAGCCAGAGCGGGGAACAGAACAGGCAGACTAATGAAATACACTGCTGAGGGGAGCAGCGGGCACGGCAGGAGAGGTCTGCCTGCCACGCAGGACCCCTGCCGGTGGCCGAGGATCGAACTGGCGCTACAGAGGCTGCGGGCTGCTTTGCAGCCCAGCGCTCAACCGCTGCACCACCAGGGGAGGCCCATGCTATGTGGTTTTTAAAGCATGAATTTATCTGAATTACAGATTCACATGCACCCGTGGGAGTCAATACAGATGGTCTTGAACAATTGGCCCATTTCTCCAAAGACAGCATCTCACCAAACCACACACTGTCAGGGTGCAGTGCTGGCTGGGCCCAGCCCCACCTCTGGGCCGCCCCACAGGCAGTGTGTACGTGCGCATGCATCTGTGTGTGTGCGTGCATCTGTTTGTGCATGTGCATCTGTGTGTGCGCGTGCATCTGTGCACAGGCACACATGTCACCCAGTGTCAGGTGTGGCCCTGCATATCCATGACCACAGTCAGACACAGGGGCCACCCCTGCAAGACCTGCCTGCCACCCACACGCAGCCACCTCCCTCTGCTCCCCCGCGCCCCAATTACCAAAGGCAGACCTATTCTCCATTCCAAAACCTTCATCTTTTCGAAATGATGTTTGCACAGGACCAGAGAGAATGCGTTCCTGGAACTGAGCTCTCTGCGCTCCTGTCCTGACCCAGAGGCCCCCCTCCACATGGGTGCTGGGTGGCCGCTTGGGCATCATGCCTGGTCTGTGTGCACATGGGGTACAGACTTTAGCTTGAGTGTGTCCCCTTCCTTTGGGATGGATGCAGTGGGGCAGCGGCTGTTATGGGCATCGTGGGCTCTGAGACTATGCCAGGCTGTGGTGTGAAGTGGCCTTGGCCTGTGCACCCTCCCGGCACTGAGGCCCTAATGCCCTGCCCAGCCCTGGGCTGGCCCCCGGCTGGGCTGCTAGCCTACAAAGTCATGGCTGGCTGGAGGTACACGCCTGTGAGGTCACAGCTGGCCTGGGGTGGAAGCCGTCCAACATGACTCGCCATTGTGTGGCTCTGTACGGGATGGCCGCCTTGTGCTCTCTGACCATTTTCTGATGGGCCGTGTCCTTCTGCCACCCGCTCTGGCGTCCAGGCCCCTTGCTGGCGTGGACGCTGGCCCTTTGTTGGGTGGCGTTTTGCAGAACATCCAGCCCGTGTCCACACAAGCCCGGGCAGGGACTCCAGTGACGGCGGCCAGTCTGCAGGTAGCCGTCTTTGCTATGAGGAAGCGTCTGGCCATGGACATGGAGTGTCCACCGGTTTGGTCTCTGCTGGGCCTTTCAGTCCCGTCGAGCAGTTTCTGCCCACACAAGCTGTGCTTGGCTAAGCTGTCGCCAAGCACTTAAATTCCCCTGAACCCCTGGCCATGCTGCTGTGTCTGCTGCGGTCCGCAGGCGTGTGGCCGCAGACGGCCATGGTGGCGGCCGGGCCCCCGGCCCTCCGCAGCCGCCTGCTGGCTCCAAACCCCGGCCGGCCAGGAACTTAGCCACGCGCCCAGCGCGAAGCCGGCCCTGGAAGCCCGCGGGAGGGGCGGGGCGCGCGGCCGGCCCTCCCCTTCCAGGCGGGCGGCGGCGCCGCGGGTCTTCCAGGCTGGCCTCGCCTGGACGTCGGGATTGGGTGCCAGGGCGGCGGGGGCCTTTCCACACCCCTTTCAGGGACGGGACCTCCCCCGGGGCGGCTTCCGGCGGGCGCCGGGCTGACCCGCCAGTCCTGGTCGGTCCGAGGGCCGCCCAGGAGGCTCCCTTCACCCCGCGTCCGCGCCCTCGGAGGGGGCGGCCCCTGCGCCCCGCGGGCAGTGCAGCCCCTGCCGTTCGCGCGGCCGGCGATGGCGCTGCCCGGGGACCCGCGGGCGCCCCCCGTCCCGGGAGCGCCGCCCGGCCACCGCGTCTACGCGCGCCGCTGGGTCCTCCTGCTGGTGGTCAGCCTGCTCAGCTGCTCCAACGCCATGGTGCGGCCCGCGGGGGCGGGGCGGGGCGGGGGCGCGGGGTGGGCGTGGGGGAAAGGGGCGCAGTCAAGCCTGTGCTGCAGCTCCTGACCCGCCCTCCCGTAGGGTCTGTGTCTCAGGAGCTTCCAGTATCCAGGAGGTGCTTGGGCTCTGGCCCCTGTGGACCTTGGGAGGACAGTGGGGCTTCTGGGGGGCGTGGTGACCCAGGCTCTAAGACCGCACAGGTGCAGAGGCCTGGGGAGGGAGACCCCCTTCCAGTGACTGGCAGAGGTTTGGAAAGGACCCCCTGCAACAGCCAGCCTAGGCGGCCTCAGTGACGGTCACTGAGAGGTCTGCTCCCTAGGGGACCCCCCTGGGGCCTGGCCTTGGGGATCTGGCTCCTGCCCTCTTCCCCCAACTTCCCCCTGCAGCCCTGGCTGCCTGTGTTCTGGCTTTCATTTTTTTTAATTTTATTTATTTATTTAAAGATTGATTCATTTGTGCATACAAGAACTGGGGTACAGGCCAGAGGTGTAGGGGTGAGAGGATTCACCAGAGACAGAGCGGGGAACAGAACAGGTAGATGCACTGAAACCCACTGCTGAGGGGAGCAGCGGGGAGACAGGAGAGGTCGGCTGTACCACATGGGTAGCTCCCTGGTGGGGCTAGGACTCAGGCCAAGGTGGCAATAGCTTGATAGTGTTAAGACTTAACCCCTGCACCCCCAGAGCAGCTCCCCCGGCTTTCTGATTCCCTTGCGAGGTTCAACAGGAGGCCTCCCTCACCAGCACCTCTACCCCATCCCCCCATGATGCTCAGTTGGGGTGCACAGTGACCCCTTGGTTGCCTGGCTGTCTGGGCTGCCAGCAGGACTCAGCTGCGCTCACCTCGCAGCCCCGGACAGGTATGCAGCTGGGCCCCAAGACCAGGGAAGCCGCCAGTGAGAATGGGTCTCAGCCCCCCAACTGGAGTGTCCCCCGATCTCATCCCCAATTTCCGTGGCTCTGCCCAGAGGCGTGGGCTCTTTTCCTGGCCCTCAAGCAGGTCTCAGCAGTGAACCTGCCCCCAGCCCTGGGCGCGCCACCCCCATCCTTGCACGGCACGGGGCAGGGCGTGGGGTGACTTCCCACACCTGCCCGGGAGTGCCACTTGCGCAAGGGGCAGGCTCCTGGCCCTGGTCCTGCTTCTTACCGCCCTGGCACTGCCACTGCCCCCGTGCCTGGGCAGCCAGAGAGCCATCCGTGGCATATGCTCAGGTGATACCAGGGACAGGGACAGCAGGAAGCTGGCTTGCAAGCAGGGTTGGGTCAGGCAGGTGTGGACCATTGAGGCAGACAAGGCCCCAGCGGTCAGAAGCCACCCCCGATGCCAGGCCATCCTGGGGGCCATCCCTCCTTCACACCCTGCCCTGGGCTGCACAGGGACTTCCGCGCGGTGCTGTGGTTGGCCCAGGGCCCTGTTTGGCCCCTGGGAAGTGGATTGGGTTTGGCCGCGGCTGCCTGAGGGTGCAGGGAGGGGTCTCACCTGCCCTGATCTGCTTCCTGCAGTTTGAGAATGGGTGGGTTTGGTGGACACCCTCGAGAAGCCACATCCAGCTGACTCTGCTCCATCCACAAGGGCTGACGGAGCAAACGCCAGCCTCTGGGGGCATCTGACCTGCGGGCCGCAGAGTGAGCACTGGCCTCCGCTGCCCCAGCCCAGCCCATGTACTCTCATGTGCCTTTTCGAGGGGCGGCCTGCGCTGTGTTGGAGGGAGGTAGCCCTGGGGCCAAGGAGGCAGCCAGTGGCCTGGCTGGGGCCAGTGTGCGGGCAGCTGCCCTCAGACCCTCAGAGCCCTGCCCACACCGGGAACTGTGGGCCCCTCCCGCCCCTGCTGCCCTGCCCCAGCACTGACCTGTCCAGTGCAGGGCTCGTCCTTCAGGCCTGCCCACACAGCCCCCTGCACTCCTGTGGACAGCCCTTGGGCCCACTCCGCGGAGGCCCGGCCTGCAGGCTCATGGTCCTGCAGGCCCCAGCCAGGCCCTGGCCTCTGTCCACATCAGGGACACCGGCTGGCATGCAGCCTGGACTGCGCTGCACCCTCGGGGGCCCAGCCCCAGGGGCTGCTGGACACTCTCACGGGGCTGGCCCAAGCCAGGTGGCAGGCGCTGTGTCCGCAGCACTGTCCCGGGGCTGACCAGGCCTGTGTCCACAGCTGTGGCTCAGCTTCGCCCCTGTGGCCGACGCCGTCGCCCTGCACTTCCGCCTCTCTGCTGAGCAGGTCAACTGGCTCTCGCTGGTCTACCTCGTGGTGTCCATCCCCGCCGGCGTGGCGGCCATCTGGGTGGTGGACACCGTCGGGCTCCGCTGCGCGGTGAGTCAGACCCTAACCCAGACCCCTCTGGGATGGGCAGGGTCCCCACCGAGGGTGGGAGCTGGCATCCTCCCAGACTAGGGCCCCACTGCTGGCCGGGGGCAGGGACAGGGGACAGGGTGTTGGGGGGGCTGGTGCTCCTGCTCACTCTGCCCCCGCAGACCACCCTGGGCGCCTGGCTGAACCTCGTGGGGAGCCTGCTGCGCGCCCTGCCCTGCTTGCTCTCCCGGACCCAGAATGCATTCGCCTTCCTCGTGGGTGGGCAGGGCCTCTGCGCCCTGGCCCAGACCCTGGTCGTCTTCACTCCAGCCAAGCTGGCTGCCGTGTGGTTCCCGGAGCACCAACGGGCCTCTGCCAACGGGGCCGCCTCCATGGGTGAGTGCAGGGGGCGGGCAGGCTCTGGGGGCAGGTCTGGCTGTGCTTCCTGACGCCGGCCTTTGTCTGTCCACCCAGCAAATCCCCTGGGCATCCTGGTGGCCAACCTGCTGTCTCCTGCCTTGGTCAAGAAGGAGGGGGACGTCCCCCTAATGGTGAGAGGCTGCTGAGGTGTGCACGGGAGATGTGTGTGGCGTACACATGTGTGTGGGGGGCCTGTGGGGGGGGGCTTGTTGTGGTCTGTGTGGTGGGCTGCATGCGCTCGGCCCACCAGCTATGTGGGGCCACCCAGGCTTCTGGGATGTGAGCAGCCCCTCCCAGCATCCCCTCCCAGCATCCAGCTTGGCCTGGGGACGGCCCTGGTGGGGTGGTGGGCACTGCGGGGGTGGGCAGTTCTGGGGGTTGGCAGGTTGCCGGTGGCAGGTCGCTGCTCGGTGGAGGGCTCTGGCTCCTCTGCTGGGTTGCCTGAGGGTGATCCCCCCAGGGGCTGGCGGGAGGGACTCTGGGGCACAGCAGGAGGCAGGCCCGTGTGGCCCGCCCAGCTGTGCTCTCGCCCTCAGCTGGGTGTCTACGTGGGCCCTGCCGGCCTGGCCTGCCTACTGGCCACCCTGTGCCTCCGGGAGAGTGCACCCCCAGCCCGCCCTCAGCCGGTGCTGGCAGCTCCGCCTCCAGAGACGTCCTCGGTGGGCTGAAGCTGGTGGGTGCGTGGGGCCGGGTGGGTGAGGGGGTGGGGGCGGGGGCTGTGGGAGCGGCCTGTCCAGTGCGTCCTCCACCCAGCTCGCCAGGAACAAGGCCTACGTGCTCCTGGCCGTGTGCTTCGGGGGCGGCATCGGCATCTTCTCCACCTTCTCGGCCCTGCTGGAGCAGGTGCTGTGCGCCAGCGGCTACTCCAACGTGAGTGCGGCCCCACCCAGCGCTGCGGACAGGACTGGACGGGTGGGCTCGGCGCGGCGCCAGGCACAGGGGGTGGGAGGGGCTCCTGCCCATGCTCCCCGGGCCCCCTCAGGCCAGTCAACTGGCAGTCTCCTGGGTCAGAGGGGAGCCCCCGTGGCCTCCAGAGCCCTCTGCCCTCCGGCAGGAGCCCAGCTGCGCCCAGTGTTTGGCTCACCTTTGAGGGGTGTGCACACACCGGGGCCAATGCGGGGCAGGGGCGGACCCGCCAGTGCAGAGTCCCGTGGTGTCCTGCCGGCGTCCTCAGGAGGCGCTGCCGGCCGTGACAGGCACCGCTGGCCCTCTTCCAGGAGTTCTCAGGACTCTGTGGGGCGCTCTTCATTGCATTTGGGGTGCTGGGGGCTCTGACTCTCAGCCTGTACGTGGACCGGACCAAGCATTTCACGGGAGCTGTCAAGATCGGCCTCTGTCTGACATCTCTGGTCTGTGTGGCCTTTGCTCTGGTGAGCCCCAGCACTGGGACCTCCCTGCAGGTTGAGACTGTCCTCTGGGGAGGCCCCTGGGGCTCCCGGCCCTGTTCCCGGCCTGCCCCAGGGCAAGGCCCTGCAGGCTGGGGTCTGGCGCACCCCCTGACGCTGGCCGGTACATGGCTCTGCAGGTGTCCCAGCTGCAGGGGCAGACCCTGGCACTGGCGGCCATCTGCTCGCTGCTGGGCTGCTTCGGCTTCTCCGTGTTCCCAGTGGCCATGGAGCTGGCCGTGGAGTGCTCCTTCCCGGTGGGGGAGGGTGCAGCCGCCGGCCTGATCTTCGTTCTGGGGTGAGTGTGTGGCCCCGGCTCTCCCCCCCGCCCTGCCCTGGGCCGGTGGGGCTGAGGGTCCATGGCTGTCCAGGCAGGCCGAGGGCGTGCTCATCATGGTCCTGCTGTCCACTCTGGCTGTGCGTCGCGAGGAGCCGTCCTTCTCCACCTGTCAGGGCGGCCAGGACCCGCTGGACTGGAGCAGTGAGTGCCCTGGATGCCGGCCGGGCCTCCCCCACAGGCCCTGTCCTGCCCCTTCACTGTCCTGGGTGGGCGGCCGGGACACCCGGGTAGAGCCAGAGCAGGGCGCGGGCAGCCGGCCGGCCCCAGCCAGCACACTGGGCTCCCCTCCTGAGGTCAGTGGCGGGGTGAGCCTTCTGTGCCTGGCTAGGGGCTGGCGGCCAGAGCTCGTGGTTCCCGGAGCTGGAGCAGGGCCTGTTTCTGGGGTCACTGCGGTGATGGTGGGTGGAGTCAGCTGGGTTCTTGGGTTCCGTGGCCACTGGGCCTGAGTGGGGAAGCCGGGGCCAGTGCTGCCCTGTCTCCCCAGCATCCATGCTGCTGATGGCCGGCCTCTGTACCCTCTTCACCTGCCTCTTGGTGCTCTTCTTTCACACGCCCTACCGGCGCCTGCAGGCTGAGGCCAGCGCCAGCTCCTCCGTCCAGGAGGAGTGCCCGGCGCCCACAGACCACACGGCCGGCCTGGACACCACCCCCTGAGCCCTGCGTGGACGCTGCCCTCTCCTGCAGCAGCTTCTCTTTCCTACCTCCAACCCCAGCCTCTGGTGTTGGGCGGTGGGGCTGCCGGCCTGGCTGAGGGGCATGGCCGAGGGAGCTGGGTCCTGGACGTGGAGTCCTGAGCCAGGAGTGGGTGGGGCTGCCTGCTTGAAGGGGCCCTTCCTGGAGCTTCTCCGAGCCTCTGCTGACCAGAGGCCACACCCTGGCCTGGGTGCTGGGCGGGTGGGGAGCATGGGCCAGCTGGGCTGCAGGGAAAGCGGAGGGAGAGCCCCACTGAAGACCTTCCGTCCCACCAGACACCACACGCAGGTGTAGGCCACTCTCTGCCCTGACAGCTGGCGGGGGACGCCCCCGCTCCTGGCAGGTGCCTTACCCCGCCCCCCGTGGGTGCCGCGTAGCTCAGGCCCCGCAGCCCAGGTGGCGGCAGCATCGATGTTCGGTCAGCCTGCGAGTCCGTCAGGGGGTCAGGCCCTGGTGTGTGGGAAGGGGCCCCAAGGGCGTTTTAGGAAGTGACGCTTGAAAAACTGCGTTTTTATGCCAGATGTCTGGATTTCACCGTGTCAGGCCTGGTCTTGTTTCTATGTTGGGGGAGGGGCAGCCAGCGAGCCAGGTGAGCTCAGACACCCCAACCACCCCGGGGGTCCTGCAGCCTGCAGGGCAGCACACCCTCACCCTGGGGCCGCCACCCTCTTGTAGGCCTGGCACGAGCGGCTGCTTGATGCTGAGGTGAAGAGGGGCCAGTCAGGAGGTGCCCCTGGGCCCGTCCTACCCACTTACCGCACAGGCGAAGCCTGGATCGGGGCGAGTCCTGGGAAGCTGGCCGGCCTGTCCTTGGTCTTCTCCTGGCCTGAGATGAGACACACCCGGGCAGTGCAGTGGGGCAGCTGTCCCTGCAAGCGCACCAGGGAAGCCAGGACCCCGGCCTGGCACAGGGCAGCTGGGTGGGCACATCACCCACTCCCCAGCACACACGTACTTGTGGACACAAACTCTGCTTGTGTGACAGACACCCTCGGGACATGCACATGCACCACGCGCCGTGCACACACACCACACGCATGTCTACTGCCCGCGCTCAGCATGCCCGGGTGAGCCGATGAGGTGGGCTCTGCCCTTCCCTGTCAGGTCTCCTGTCTGAAGCTCCTGCCTGCCCTTGGGGCAGCTTAGACACTGGCGGCCACTCCCTGTAAGGATGGGCTCCGGCCCCTGGGGACCAGACGACTGCAGACCGCCCTGGCCACTGGTGGGACTCTCAAGGACCCCTTCTCCTGCCAGCAGGGCCCCGCCTCACAGGCACACCTGGCTGCCCCAACTGGATCCCTGCCCCTCCATGCGTCCAGGACGGCTCTCTGTGCCAGGGCTGGGGCTTTGGGGGCCCAAGTGAGGGGCCTCCCCAGATCTGCCAGGACGGAGGCGGGTGGTCCAGGGGACTACCTGAGCTCCTGGACCGCCCTATGTGCTTGGAACCCCACCTTGGGCCCTGGCCACCCTGCCCATCCGCAAGGCTGGGCACATGGGGCGGGGGAGCAACATGTCTGACAGGAGGGTGATCCAGGCAGCCTGTGGGGGCCAGACACAGCCGGGGCTGGGCGTGTCACCCTATGACCCTTGGTGCCCCCAGGGTCTACATCGGGGTGGGTGGCAACACTTGGGGGGCTGTACGTGCAGCCGCAATCTGGAGCTTCCCCTGTTGGCACATTTGTCCCCCCCATCGGCTACAGGTGGGAGCTTAGGTGCCCTGCCCCCAGGCGTGCACCCTGGTTGGGGAGTGACAGGGGTGCTGCCAGAGATCCCGGGCCAGCTCACCATCAGCTGGCAGCCAGCGAGTGTGGCCATCAAACGTCTGGGCAGCCTGGGGGTGCTGCTGGGGGATGCAGGCTTCCCGATGGGCGCCCAGCTGGGTGACTGGGCGTGACACCTGGAGCTCCCACCGGGCGGCAGGAGTGGGGAGCACGGCCCTCAAGACCAGGCAGGTGGGACCTGTGCACGAAGGTGCCGGTGCAGGCAGGGCAGGAGGGCCCCTGGGAGGGGTCGCTGTGTGCCAGGGCTGACAGCACGGCCCACAGGTGCAGCACTCCTGAGCCAGGCAAGAACCCTCCCAGCACCCAGGAAGGGCCCCAGGCCAAGGTGGGTTTCCACCGACTTCAGGGGTCTTCAGGGTGATGGTGGGGTATGCCTCCTTGGTTGTCTGCCCCCACCCTGATGGGAGATGGCAGCCCCTCCTGCCACCACTTGGGCTCCATCTCGGGCCCTGAGGATATTTATTTATCCATTTTTCAAATTTATTTATTTATGCATACAAGAGCTGGGGTGCAGGCCAGAGGTGTGGGGGGTGAGAGGATTCGCCAGAGACAGAGTTGGGAACAGAACAGGCAGAGCCACTGAAACACACTGCTGAGGGGAGCAGTGGGGAGACAGGAAAAGTCTGCTGTACCCTGTGAGTTAGCTCCCTGGCCAGGGATCTAACTCCTCCTGTAGTGGCTGGCTGTAGCTTGATAGTGCTGAGACTTAACCCCTGTGCCCCAGGGGAGGCCCCCTAGAGACATTGATTTTTGCCTCTGCAAATAAGAGTTGCTGAGGAGTCTGGTTTATCCTAAAATCCAGGGGAGGGGCAGCACCGGAGGCTGTCCCCTGGCCTGTGAGGTGCGGTGGGGGGGCTTTTTGAGTGTACTTGCAGCTGCCTGTGGGAGCAAGAGGGGCTCCCCACCCCTGGGTTCCCTGGGCAATTACCCAGCGGGGAGCAGCTGCACTCTGGTCTGCAGATTCGTAGCTCAGCTTTCTTTGGAAGCAGGTGGAGGGTAAGGACAGGTGGGCCCCACAGCCAGTGGGGACCCTAGTGGGACCCAAGCTTTTGAACTCAGGGAGCTTTCCCCGGTGGCTTCCCGCCAGGCCTTCTCCCTCCCCCAGGATGCCACAGCAGCTGTGTCAGCTGTCTGGCCACCAGCCCAGCCACGGGCACACAGGGCTGGCATGGACTGGCCTGGGGGAACTGAAGCTCCGAAGGGGGCTAGGGCAGCAGAGTGTGGAGCAGGGCATGGTCTGGGTGCAGTGGTGCCAGGGGCTGGGAGGTGGGCCTTTTACTGCAGGGTCCTGAGGCAGGAGTCAGGGGTCAATGGGTCAGCTCTCCTGCAGCGTCTTCCCAGAGACCCCCGCCCCTCCTCCAAAGGGGCTCTTGGAATACGGGAGGTTTAGCTCTGCTGGGCGCTGGGGGTACACCCAAGTCAGCGCCCATAGGAAGCGGGTGCTGAGGCCACCATGCTGGCCACAGTCCAGAGGGACTGGCGACGGTCACCTCGCCACTGGAGGGGCCTGGATTCGCGGGGACCTGCCTTCAGCCCATACTTATTACCCAGACCCGAATTCTCTCCCCAAGGCCTGCGCCCCATGCAGGGCGGTCCCGGGCTGACCGGCGGGTGGGCAGCTGGCCCCGGCAGGGCGTGGGTGCTGGTGCCTTCCCCAAACGAGCAAGACCTGGTTGAAGCAACGCGCGGGCGTTTCCTTGAGGTTGCCTAGGACGGGGCCGCGGGAAGCGCCCCCTCGGGTCCAGATAGCCCGGCTCTGCGCCCCGCCCGCCTGCTGGCACCGCAGTGGGTGGACGCACGTGACGCGTAGCCTGGATCTGGGCCCGGCCCGGCCCGGCCCGGCCCGGCCCGAAAACCTCGAGGGTCGCCCGCCCCCGCCGCCCGCCTCCGCCGCCCGCCTCCGCCGCCCGCCCCGCCGCCCGCCTCCGCCGCCCGCCTCCGCCGCCCGCGCCCGCCGCCCGCGCCCGCCGCCCGCCTCCGCCTCCCCCGGCCGCGCGCAGGCGCAGTCTGTTGTGAGGCGCTCCGGTGCGCGCCCGCCTAGTGACGTCACCCGAGCGGGAGCGCGCCCCCGGAAGCCGCCAGGGGGCGCCCCGCCGCGCCCGCTCCTTCGAGTGCGCATGCGCACGCCGCGCACGCCAGGGCGTCTCCAGGGATTTCGGCTCCTGCGCGGCCTCGGCGCCCGGGGTTGTGCTTCCGGTGCGAAGGTCACGGACAAGATGGTGCCGCCGGTGCAGGTCTCTCCGCTTATCAAGGTGAACCTGGCTTCGCGGCCGCTGGCAGGCCCCGCGGAACCCCGATGTCGCGGACCCCTGACCCCGCAGACCCCCGCCCCCGACCATTCCCGACCCCGCGGGCCCCGACCAGCCCGGACCCGGCGGACCCCCGCTCCGCATGCCCCGACCCCGACCATTCCCGACCCCGCGGGGCCCCGACCAGCCCGGACCCGCGGACCCCCGCCCCGCATGCCCCGCCCCGACCATTCCCGACCCCGCGGGCCCCGACCAGCCCGGACCCGGCGGACCCCCGCTCCGCATGCCCCGACCCCGACCATTCCCGACCCCGCGGGCCCCGACCAGCCCGGACCTCGCGGACCCCCGCCTCGCATGCCCCGACCCCCATGCGCCCCGAGCCGGCGGGCCACTCGAGCAGCCCCGCGCCCTCCCGCCCTCTGACCGCCTTTCCCCGCAGCTCGGCCGCTACTCCGCCCTGTTCCTCGGCGTGGCCTACGGAGCCAAGCGCTACAGTAAGTGACGGCGCCGGGCGCGCCTCTGCCCCGCGCGTTAGGGTCCGGGCAGCCTCGCTGCGCCCCGTGTACGGCGCAGGAGCAGGAAGCGGGCGGGGGGCTCCAGGCGGGCGGGGACCACCGAGGTCTGAGCCAGGAAGCCTGTGGCCGTCCTCGGGAGGCTCTGGACGGGGAGGTCAGGCCCTGCCGCTGAGACAAACCTGCCTGCAGACAAGCCCCGTGGCCGCCGCCCCACCTTGCGAGGGGGGTGAGGGCCTTCCCCAGTGCGCACCCTGCTTCCTCCACAGGTTATCTGAAACCCCGGGCAGAGGAGGAGAGGAGGGTGGCGGCTGAGGAGAAAAAGAAGCAGGATGAGCTGAAGCGCATCGAGAGGGAGCTGGCGGAAGGTGGGTGCGGCATCCTGGGGGCGGCCCCCAGGCTTCAGGGAAGGCCAAGGCCCAGCCAGCGGCGGGAGGGGCTCCCGAGGTCCAGTGGGGTCCCCCCAGGGGCAGCTGAGAGGTCCTCCGGTGGGTCGGGCAGGCAGCCACCTGGTGACCGCAGTGCCTGGCGAGGCCGCTGCCTGGGTGCGCAGTGGATGCAGGGGCCACTTGGGGTCTGGAAACCACAGTGGGCTTTCTGAGGGCCTGGCGTGGGTGACGGTGTTTCCTCCTGACCTGCAGCCCGAGATGACAGCATCCTGAAGTGAGCCTGCCTGCGCCAGCCGGGACTGAATAAAGTTCTGTGTGGTGACTCTGCTCTGCTGTTGCTTCTAGATTCTGGTGCTTCAGCTGGGTGGGGCGGGCTTCAGGGCAGTCCCGTCCCAGAACCAGGATGCAGCCCCCAAGCCCAAAAACCCTACCCCTGTCCTTCGGGGTGTTCCATGGGGTGCTGCAGAGGCTGTGGTCTGGCCAGCCCCTGGGAGGGTTGCAGCCCTTTGAGGGCCAGGCAGAGGTGCCGTATGGGGGTGCTGGGGGCTGTGCTACACCTTCCCGATATCACTTGTAAAGTGAGTTTGTCCCCAGTGTCGGGGAAAGGAAAAGCTGCTGGGGAGCTTGTGCTGGAACAACATAGGTTCATCCCTGGGGTCCCTCAGTGGCCTTGCCCCTCAGTTCCGCCCGAGGTTGGTGGGGTCCAGACTGGAGTGGACAGCTGGTGCTAAGTTCCTCTGGTGACCTGGAGAAACCTCGGCCACGTATTCTCCAGGGGACTGACATGGGGACTAGTGGATCCCCCAGTCTGGGGATCCCGGGGCGCACTGGGTCTCTGACCCGGAAGCCCTGTCTGGTAGCCTGTGGCTGCTGCAGGGAGACAGCTGTGGGGGCGTGCATGGCGACTACGGACGGGTCACGCTAGCCTTGCCGATGCTCTTTGCAGGGCTGGGGCCTCTGGCAGCTTCTTAATGGGTCACTGAAGCTGCCCCACTAGAATTCCCACCCCATAAGATAAGCAGCTTGTCTTCATGGTGCGGGCCAGCGCCCACCTGATGTTCTGTACCCGTGTCCAGCCAAGGTGGTTCTCAGGCCCTTTGCAAGGACCCGGAGGAGTCCAGCTAGCACTTTCGTTGTGGTCAGCGGCTTTAGTTTATAGAAGCAACCCTTATAAAAGATTTCAGGGGCAGGCCTCCCTGGTGGCACAGCGGTTGAGCGCTGGGTTGCAAAGCTGCTGGCAGCCTCAGCAGTGCCGCTTCGATCCCCGGCAGGTGAGGGTCCCACATGGTGCGCAGACCTCTCCTGCCACCCACTGCTCCCCTTAGCAGTGTACTTTGTCAGTTTGCCTGTTCTGTTCCCCACGCTGTCTCTGGTGAATCCTCTCACCCTCCCATGCATCCTGCCTGTACCTTGGTTATTGTATAAGTAAATAAATAAATCTTTTTTAAAAAAAAAATTTCAGGATACTTAAGATCCTCTCGCATCGTTTTTTTTTTTTTTTTTTTAGTATTTTATTTTGTATAATTCTTACATCATTTTTTATTTATGGACAACGTATGTATTTTCATTTTGGTTATATTCCCTATACAGTTGCACCCCCCCCTTATTTTGACCCTAATCCTTTTTTTTTTCAAAGATCCATTTATAAAAGAGCTGGGGTACAGACCAGAGATGCGGAGGGGGGGCGGTGAGAGGATTCACCAGAGACAGAGTGGGGAACAGAACAGGCAGATTGACTGAAATACACTGCTGAGGGGAATAGCGGGTGAAACAGGCGAGGTCTGCCACGCCATGTGGACTGCGGACAGCTTCACACTTTGCATCCCAACCTTTGTGCCACTAGGGAGGCCCCCTCCTGTCCATTTCTCAGGAGTCTTAGCTCCTGGGCCAAAAGGTGAGAGGCCTGGGAGTGAGGGCTGGGTAGCCCCAGCCAGTGCCAGCTCACAGGACGTAGCAGGTTGGAGACATGGGTGCGAGGCCGCCTTTGCAGATTTCTGCGTCTGCTGCAAGAGGAGATGAGGCTGAGAGCAGCCCAGCTACCCCGTGCTGGGGTGTCACTGCCAGCCCGCTGGCGCCTTTCCCAGCAGCCTCCTGGACACACCTGGCCCTTCCCTGTGCGGGGCACTGAGTGGCAGCAGTGACACCCCACCACAGAGGTGCTGGCACAGAAAACACTGCCCGGAATTCTGAATTGGGGTGCTCTAGCCTCCTGGAGGATCCACCTCCCCACATTGGTTGGACTGGAGAAGGAACGCCTGGCCTGGACCCTTTGCCCGTCCCCAGTTATCCTGTGTTCCTGGTCTGTCTTAGGAGGTATGGGCATATGGGGGGGCTGATGTAGGGGGCTGCTGCTTGACTGGAGCAGAAGAGCTGGTCGCGACACTTAAGCTAGACTTTGCCAAGAGACCACCGGCACTTGACTGGTCTGTTCTTGGGGAAGGGCAGGGGTTGGGCAGGCAGGACAGCAGGCATTGGGCAGCCCCCGCCAATGAGGGCCAGCTCCAGTCTGGCGACTGCTGGAAACCTGCTCTATCTCCACATTTAACTCTGTCCCTTCACACACGCTGACTTGGGGGTTGGCCAAGTGCCACCCCCACTCCAGAGTTGTGGTGATGCTCACAGGGCCTCTGCCCTGGCTAGAGTGGGGCCCGGACTTTTCTTGGCCGCTGCCCTCTCTTCCTCCAAGGCCTTTGCTCTCTCGTGCTGGTCAGCCAGGGCTTTCCACTCTATCCTGTTCTGCAGCCGGTCGAACAAGGGCTGGAGCTCCTCGTGGAAGCAGGAAAACTGAAAGGGAGCGGGAGGTTGGGCGCCACGCCTCCTGCTGCCTCTGGCTGCTGGGACAGCTTCCCACTCCCACCACCTGCTTCTTGCCAGGCTGTGGTGTGCGCCCCTTCTCCCCACCGCCCCGGGTGGAGTTTGGGAGGGCCCTGCTGGCTCAGGGAGGGGCCAAGGAAATGGCACAGGGAGGGGCGCGATTGAGTGGGAACTTGAGGCCAGTGGGAGGACAATCGGGGAGGAGGTCACGAGGACGCGTGGTCATCGAGTGGATGGAGACTGCCCTGGATGGACCGCGGGTTCCGGGTTTAAGTACAAATGTGAGGACAAGGCCAGGGCAGGGTTGGGCGCTCACTGACCCCACAGCGGCCCCATCACCACTCGCCTTGTACACAAATGTGCACAAGAAGTCGATGAAGCCGACCTGCAGCCTGGGGAGCTCAGCCGCCTTGTTCCAGTCCATCATTGGCTGTGGGGAGCAGAGAACCAGGGCTCGCGCCATCCCATGGCACCCCGATGGCCGCAGGCCCTGACGCAGCACCATAGGCTGGGGCCAGGTGGCGGCCGGCACTGCTGGCTCCTGACCCCTGCTGGCTAGGCCCACACCCATGGAGACTTAGGGCCAGGGTCTACCCCCTCGCACCAAGCCAGGATGGAGGCCTCGGAGGTCTGCAGGTGTGCGTCTGGGCTGCACTCACAATGGGGCTGCTGGTCCAGCACGGTCCTCTCCAGGTCACCCTGTTCCCAGAACTCGGCTGCCACCAGCAGAGCAATCTGCAGGCAGCGAGAGGCTGTCGGTGCCCATCCAGGGCTGTCCTGCTGTGGGGAGGCCCTGCCCCTGACCTTTTCCACCCCAAACTGTCTGGGTCCTCCCTCCTGGGACCACGGGCACCACCCACGGGTGCCCTGGCTGGGCCAGTGCAGGGCAGTGGCTGAGGTGCCGCCTGCCGCCAGTGGGTCTGGCCCCATCTCGGCTCTCCGCACAGCAGGTCTGGGTGCGCCTCACCTTGCTCTGGACCTCCCAGGACTTGATGATGGCGGAGAGGTCACAGGCAGCCATCATCATGGCCCTGCGGGCAGTTGGAGCTCAGCCATCCCCTTGGCCTCCTGCCCTGCCCCCCAGCCACAGACTAAGGGCAAACAGGGTTTGGGGGGCTAGCAGTGCCCTGATTTATACGTGTTTCCTGCCGGATCGGCAGTGCCTGGGGGATGGGTGGGCCTGAACATCACGGTGGAGAAAGCGAGTGAAACGCTGGCCAGGCAGCAGGCTGAGGATCCCGACCCACGCCATCTGCCCGAAAACAGGCACCCAGGAAGCCATAGGCCATGCGCCCGGCTGTTCCTGAGCATCCGGGGCCTCCATCCCTTGTGGGGCCTCTGGGCGCCCCCTGCACGAGGTTGGCACCCGCGCTCATGTGAACTGTCTCCTTGCACGTGGTGTCCAGGGACAGGTGCTCCACCCAGCTCTTCCTGTCCTGGTAGCTCTTGGACTCGTCCACGATCTTCTGGAACAGAATCCTTTTCCTGAGCCCCAAGACAAGGGGAGCGGTGGACCCCCGCTGCACGCAGGGCCGTGCCCCTGAGTCCTCCTCGTCCCCAAGCCCACCCGCCCCTCCCGAGACCCTGACCTGCGGGGCGCTGAGGGACGTGCTCTGCCCCCCAGCCCTGGACCCTGCCCCAGCCGGACCCCACGGGGCCTCGGTCCCTCGGCTGGTGCCCACTTGAAGTTCAGCGCCAGGTGGGTGGCGAGGATGGCGATGCCCATGAGGTGAGTCATGTGCTCGTGCTGCTGCCGGCTCAGGTACTGGTAGATGTTCAGGCTCTGCCGGAGGGTCTCAGGTCACTGGCGCCCCCCAAGCCCTCGCCCCTCCCCACCCTAGGGTCCACCCTGGTCCCTCTCCAGCTCTGCCCTGGACCGCCCTGCCCCTCGGCCCCAGCCCTCTCACCTACCAGGCGAGGCGGGGTGGGGAGCCTCAGGCACTGGCTTGAAGGGGATAGGCAGCAGCCCTACCCCACTCCCCTCCCTTGCCTCCCGTCCTGTGGGAACCTGCAGGTCAGAACGCCCGGTCGGCCAGTGTCTGCCTCCAGCATGGGCATGCAGGCAGGCTAGGGCCAGTGGGCGGGGAGGCCCGCCAAGGAGCCGGCACACACCTCCTGGAGAGCAGGAGCTTCCCGAGCTCCAGGTGGTGTTGCTCCAGAATGGAGGCACCGCAGCGCTTGGCTAAGGGGCTCTGCAATCTGGGAGGTTTCCTTGAGCCCGGCACCTCGTTCTTCGGGTCCGGGCTGCTGGCGCCGCGGCAGTCCAGGTTGTGGCCAGGCCGGCCGTCATCATGGCCGTGGCCTCCAGGTCAGTGTAGCAGCTATTCAGCCCGCCGGTCTGCGCACACAGGCCCATCTCTCCACCCCATGGGCCTCACCCCCCACCCGTGGCGCCGTGGACAGCCGTCCATCTTGTTCCTGGCCATGACCACAGCTGTGACGTCTTTGCCATTCATGATGGATGAGGCCAGGATGCTCCTCGTCATAAACCGGGTCAGCGCGTCTACGAAGTGACTGAAGTGAGGGCACTGCAGGGCCAGTGGGGTGGGGTGGGGGTCCCTGCCGGCCAGTGCTGAGCCCAGGGCCTGGCCTGGGCGTGGGAGCTGGCAGCTCACCAGGACGCGCTGTCGGCCGGTGCCTGGGGCTTGTGGGGCCCCACCTGTGACCACGGTGAGGCACACCTGGCCCTCCCCACCAGCCACCCCAGCATAGCCCGGCACAAGGTGGAGAAGCTGGGAAAGGTCAAGGGCAGCCTCTGCCTGGAGCTGAACCGGCCAGAGTCGGCGGGGCAGGAGGGGTGGGCGGGCGGGCTCTGTCTGCCCAGCAGTCTCTTCCTCACCACCTCCCAGAGCCAAGTCCAGCCTCTCTGCAGTGGGAAGGGTGGACCTGCCAGGCCTGACCCCAGGCTGCGCCCTGTGGGACTGGGTTTTCCCTCTGGCCCAGTCGCCTGCGGCCCTCAGAGCTACCCAGCCTCCAGACCCTGTGACCGCCCAGACCTGGCTGCCTCCCACCCCTCTGGCCCTGGAGCCTCCTCCTGCCTGCCCTGTGTCCTCTGGCTCATACCCAGCTGCCTCCACCACGTCTAGAACCCCCAGGGTCACAGGAGCCTTGTGGCCGGCACTTGGGGCCTACGGCCTTTGGGCGGATGGGGTGGTTCTACCCCCACCCCTGACCCTCCCCAGCTCCTCGCCCTAGGATTGGGGGCTCTTAGGGCAGCAGTGGTTGGGGAGCACCTGCAGTCTGGGCCCTCTGCCGCATGGGAGGGCCTGACCACAAATCCACACATGGTGCGCCCCGGGCTCCGTGCTCAGCCCTCACATGGCCCATGAGCGGAGCCCGCTGCCGGCTGCATGGTGGAGCGGACGACCCACTTAAAACGGAGGGAGTGTGGCATTAATCCTGCAGGTGACCGCATTCAGGTCGCCCACAGCCGCGTTGGGAGCAGATTAGTTTAAGAGGATTGCTGGTCCCAGGCAGGGCCACGGGGCTGAGCTGCTCGCCCTCTGGGCTCCTTCATGGGAGTGGAAGAGTCAGATCCATCCAGACTAGCCCTGCAGGCCACTCCCAGGCCAGCCCCTCTTCTGGACCCTGGTGTGTGTGGGGGGGGGGGTGGGAGGGCTGCGGGGGAGCAGGGGGAGGGAGGCAGCAGCCACCTCCCAACGGGGCCTCCTCTCCCTGCTCCTTCTCGAGGCCCCCACGCCCACCTGGCCCATCTCTCACACCGGGCAGCAGGCACCTCAAAATCCCCCACCCACCTATCCTGAGCCCCTCCCCACAGCAGCAGTGTCGTGGGTACCCCCTGTTCTTCCAGGACTCCCGAATCGTCCCACTCCATGTGCTGCTCCTCGCCAATGTCCTGCCGGACCAGCTCCAGGCCCCCTGTTGCATCCCCTGAACCCCCAAATCCATCCATGGAGTGGCCAGCAGGGTCTCGTGGAGTTTCAGGCTTGGGGCTCTGGGGCCCCTGGGCCCTGCTCTGTGCCGTCCTCCAGGTGTGGGGGCCAGGGCACAGTAGAGTCTGTCCCAGGCACCCTCCAGCCCCCTCTCCAGCAGGGCTGTGCCCTGGGCCCCCCACACCTGCTGCGGCCAACCCGCGCAGGGGAGCCCCAGAACCCACCTCAGCCATGTCCTGGATGTTTGCCATTTTTTTGGTCTGAGCCACGTGGCCCACGACCCCGATGTCCAGCAGGAAGACGATCTCAGCGTCAAGGGGCACCAGGCAGTCCTCTAGGGCGCTGCCAGGCTGCACACTGAGGAGCGGGGGTGGAGGGCTGGGGTGGCCAGCTTGGCCACCCCTTGCGCTGGCACAGCAGGAAGAGGCTTCAGCAGTCAGCCCGCAGGAGGGAGCCCAGGCGCCGCAGGAGCCCCCAGGCCACTCTCTCCATGCAGCTCCCGCACCAGCACCAGCAGCTCCGCGCCCTCCTTCATCTGGCACATCTCCTGGAAGCTGGCGCAGTCCCGCAGGGCCTCCTCCTCACAGGCGCCCGCCAGACTCCCGGGGTCCCACCGCTTCCCAAAGTACTGGTTGGCAAAGCAGGGGTTCTGGTCCAGGAACGCCTGTACCTCCTCCTCATCGAAGCTCATGGCACCTCCGGGAGCCGTGCTTGGGCCTCACTTGCACTGTCCTCAGCAAAGCCCCTCTTAGCAGGATTACGAGGCCCAGAGGTCCCAGCTGCCCTGCCTGGCCTGCCCCTTGCCTTGCAGCTGGCTCCTGTCTCCCTGGGAGAATCAGCCCAGGAAGGACTGGGTCGTGGGGGCTGCCCAGGGCAGGGCCGGGGGTCTGGTGCCGCGTGGCTCTCGCTGGGGCGCCTGCACACCTGAGCCCAGAGGGGACATAGATGCCATGGCCCGTCCCGTGTGGGCCGCCTGAGGACACAGAGTGAACGACAGGGCACCCAGACCCGGGTTCGGGTGCATTGGGAGGACTGGGGAGAAGCCCAGCCCCAAGGAGGGGCCCCATGGTGCGCCCTGTGGCCCCTTCCCCAGGTGGTGTAGGAGGAAGGTGGTGCCACTGTCGCTCGCAGGGAAGCCGACCACCTTGGTGGGCTCCCTCAGGGTAGGCGCTGCCAATACTCCTCTGACCATAGATGGTGCCTTTCAATATGCTTTATTCACACAAGTCGTACACAATCAAACACCATGCCCAGCACTACCCTATCGCTGTGTCCCTCGAGCGATCGCTTACCGCAACGTCACTCTTAGTCGCCGGGGAAGCGTCGGCCGTGGTTCGGCAGGCCGTGGCTCGGCAGTCGTCCGTGGTTGAACTCGATGGGTGGAATCTGGTCTCGGCTCCGCAGGGACGCCCGGCGGCCGCAGCCCCTGAACAACGTTCTGGGTTTTCTCCAGGGGATCTTGAAGGGGCAAGGCACCTCTCAGTCGCGCAGTAATGCGCTGACCTTGAGCTCACCCTGAGCCGAAGTGTTTTGCAATCGCTCGGTTTAGATACTTCCCCTGAGCTAGGTTACATCATTTATTTTTCTCAACATTATTTCAATAACATATTTGCATCCAATAATATATACACAAATATTTGTATTTTACTTTCACCAAAATATTTTCTTTACTCCAACTTATCAAAACAAAAAATATTCACTTTCACTCATCCTCGGACAGCTGGTGCCCAATGTCCTCGGACAGCTGGTGTCCAATAAGAATATGTTTCCATTACATCATAATCTACCAGCGTCGGCTACGCGCTGTCTGCGTCTGCGAAAAGCTGGTATCCAATAGGTGATGTTTACAATTTACATGCTCCCTACACCCACCCAGGTGTGGAGAGGCTGATGGCAGCTTCTGCTCGGACTCTGCTGCTCGCTGGGAGAAGCGCTGGGGGTCCCACCTGTCGGGGACGGGCTTGGCCCTGAGAATCAGTCCCTGAGCTTGGTGCCCGAGCCTGAGCCCACTCCTGCCCACAGGCGCCCCTGTCCTGCTGCTGGACCCTCTCTTCGGTGCTCAGATGAGGGGCAGGGCAGGGGTCTATGGGCTCACTCTTGAGGTCCCATCCACATAGCACGTGTCTGGATGGCGACAGGGGCCATGCGCTGAGGGCCTGTGCCCAGGCCACACGGGGCAGCTTGTTGGGGCGTCTGCTGTGTTAGGAAGCCTGGATTACAGCTGTGTGCGTGTGGGGGGCGTGCGTGCATGCAGGCGTGTGTGTAGCAGCTCTGTATGCGTGCACATGCGTGTACAGCCCACTGGCATGTGTCCACGAACTCGCATGTGAGTGCAGGGGTGCACGCTCAGGCACAGACAGATCTCAGCATAGGCTCAGTCCGGCCTGAGCCGGGGGGAAAGGAAGCAACAAAACTGCTCTGTTTGCCTGCAATGGGCCGTCTGCGCATAACCTCACACGGAATCCACGGAATCGGCTGCTATGACCGTTGGGTGGAGCAGGCAAGGTCGCTGGATAGAGGACTTCAAGAATCACTGGTGTCGTGTGTGCTCATAACAAACCACTGGACAATGAAGTATTAAAGTAATACCACGGCATTAAACGTACCAAATACTGATAGGTGAATTTAATAGTTTCTGTACGACCTATCTACTAAAAATTGTAAAATAGCGGTAAGAATGAAAGAAGAGGGCCTCCCCGGTGGCGCAGCGGTTGAGCGCTGGGCTGCAAAGCTGCCCGCAGCCTCTGCAGCGCCGGTTCGATCCCCGGCTGCTCCCCGGCCACCAGAGGAGGGTCCCACATGGCGCGCAGACCTCTCCTGCCGCCCGCTGCTCCCCTCAGCAGTGTGCTTCGGTCCTTCTGCCTGCTCTGTCCCCACTCTGGCTCTGGTGAATCCTCTCGCCCTCCCGCGCTTCTGACTGGACCCAGTGCTTGTATAAATAAATAAATAAATCTTAAAAAAGAATGAACGAAGACCTCAATGTGTGTAGAGTCAGATGTTCCTGGGTCAGAAGACCCAGCATGGTGAAATGCCCACTACGCCCACATCACTGCGTAGGCTCAGCACGGTCCCAATCGAAATCTTGATGAGCCATCTGGGTAGAAAGTGATAGTTCTCTAAGCCATAGATGTTTCTATAGAAAGCTGATTTTCAATGAAAGTGCCAAAGATGTTCATGGGACACACTGGTATTGTCAGCAAATGGTGCTGGAACAATTGGGCATCACACTCAGAAATAAAAGCCACAGGAGTGATTCCAGGTGCATCACACATGCTTGTATAAGGACTAAAACTATAAAACTATAAAAATACAGAAGAAAGTATTATTGACCTTGGTGTAGGGCATTGTTTCTGAGATAGGACACAAAAGCCATAAAAGAAAAGAATAATAAACTGGATTCCATCAGAGTTAAAAAGTTCTTTTTAAAAGATACTGGTAAGAAAATGAAAACTACACTTAAAGACTGGGAAATGTATTTTCAAAACTTCTATCTGATAGAGAACCTCTATCTAGAATGTATAAAAGGCCTCCCTCGTGGAGCAGCGGGTTGAGCGCAGCACTGTGAAGCTGTCCGCAGCCTCTGCAGTGTGGGTTCAATTCCCAGCCGGCCAGGAAGATTCCGCATGATGCAGCAGACCCCTCCTGACTCGCCCGCTGCTCCCCTCAGCAGTGTTTTCAGTCCTTCTGTCTGTTCTGTCCCCCACTCTGTCTCTGGTGAATTCTCTCACCCTCCCGCATCTCTGGCCTGTACCCAAGTTCTTGTATAAATAAATAAATCTTAAAAAAAAATAGAATGTATAGGGCCTCCCCTGGTGGCGCAGCGGTTGAGCGCTGGGCTGCAAAGCTGCCCGCAGCCTCTGCAGCACTGGTTCAATCCCTGGCCGCTGGCAAGAGTCCCACATGGCGCGCAGACCTCTCCTGCCGCCCGCTGCTCCCCTCAGCAGTGTACTTCGGTCCTTCTGCCTGTTCTGTTCCCCGCTCTGGCTCTGGTGAATCCTCTCATCCTCCTGCGCTTCTGACTGTACCCAGTGCTTGTATAAATAAATAAATAAACAAATCTTTAAAAAAAAAAAATAGAATGTATAAAAATGCTTACAACTCAGTTACACAAAGAGAACTCAAATTTTCTAAGCTGGAGTGAAGAGTGACTGGCAGGGCCTTCCCAGAGGGACCTGAGCTGGAGCCTGGAGGCCCACACGGGAAGTCGGGAAGTCAAAGTCGCAGAGGGGCGGGTTTTAGGGGGAGTAACCTGTCTTGGGGATGCAGAAGGTTGCAGCCACTCTAGATAGCAATTTGCTTGTTGGGGGGAGCTCCCTCTGGCCAGGCCAAGGAACCAGGAGAGATGGTGGGGAAGTGCTGCCCCAGCTGCCCGGGCTGCCCCTGGAGCCTGGGGGGTAGGCAGGTGGGGGAGGGTTCCGCTAGATCGCCTCAGTCGCCTTGGAAGTGTGTGGGCTGCCCGAGTCCCACCCCGGCATGCAGGGAGGGGCGGCCAGCACCCCCAGCCTGCAGAGCCTTAAGGAAGCAGGGCCACTCCCGCAGGCTGTGGCCTCACTCAGGGACCAGCTGACTCTGCAGGGCCCCAGGCAGTGCTGGGGGTGGGGTGGGGTGGGGTGGGGTTAGGGGCTGGGCCCCTCATTTCTGCGGAGGCTACAACGCAGTTGCACGAGGCAGTGCTCCCCCTAAAACCCGCCCTTCTGCGACTTGGGAAGGCCCTGCCAGTCACTCTTCATCCCAGCTTAGATCCTGCTGGGCCCTCCATGTTCCCTCCTCTGCTAAGGTCCCCCCTCCCCCTGCTCCTCCTGGGAGCCCTCCCCACCTGCCAGGAGGTGCCTTTCCGCCAGCCTGGCCTGTGCCAACTGGTCCAGTTCTGGTCCTGACCTTCCAGGGGGCTGAAACGGGCTGACTTAGATGCTGGCATGGGGCAGCGGGCCCAGGGCGGCTTCTGCCGGCTCACGCACACCCCTGGGGTCCCTGCAGCTGTCTGGGGGGAGGGTAGGTTGGACAAGGCCCTGGACTCCCCATGGGGGGCTTTTGGACCACAGGGAGATCTTGCCTATTATGGGTCCCTCTGCCAGGATTGGGGGCAGGGAGTTAGTGGGGAGCAGGAAGGCAGTGGGGTGCACAGAGTAGAGCAGAACTCACGTCCTCTGTCCCCCACCCTCCTTACCCCACTCACACGGACCCCTTTTCTGCTGCAGGCCTCCCTGTGCAGTGCCCTCACCCAGCAGCCTCTGGCTTCTGACCGCCAAGCCCTCAGCAACCCCTTCCGCTGGCAGTGCCCCTTTTCAGCCCCTGCATACCCGAGGACAGGAGCCCCTGCCCTCACAGGAGCTTTCAGGGACAGTCAGGATCCTGGCTGCACGAGATCCACACTCAGGCTTGTGCCCACACCACCCTGCACCTCCATCTTTGCACGCCAGTTTTCTGCACCCCTCCCTGCACCTCTCTGCTTCCCTGTTCCCCCTTCCTGAACCCCCATATACCCAGACCCAGATTCCTGAACTCCCTGCCTCCCTGTACCGCACCTCCTACCCCACTAACACCCCGCACCCCACCTCCCACAGCCCATCTCCCTGGTGCAGCTCACACCAGGTGAGGGAGCAGTGCGGGGCGCACAGGCGCGCGGGCCTGCAACAGCGAGAGGCGGGTGCAAGGCGCAGGGAGGTGGGCGTGGGCGTCTGGTGGGGGGCGAGGAGCCAGGAGAGGGGGGCCGGCGCCCCGCATCTGCCCAGCGCGCCCGCCCAGCCGCCGCCTCGGCCCCCGAGGGCGTGGACCCCTCCGGCCGCAAGGGGAGCGGGCCCAGGGCAGTCCCCTCCTCCCCAAAGCCGAGTCAATGGGGAGCGCAGACGCGCCCCATCCTTCTCCAGGAGGCGCTGCGAACCTCGTCGCCCTGGCAACGGGAGATCGCCGGAGCCGCGCCGCTCGCGCGTGGGCGCTCACACGCCTGGTCCGCGCCGCTCGGGCACCTGCGCCGGGCGCGAGAGGCCCCGGCCCCGCTTTCCGGGCACGTCGCCGCGCCGGAGCGGTCGGCGGGAGGCGCAGCTGCTGTTCTAAAATCTGCGCCCCTGCTAAAAATACAGCCACGCGCTCGTCGTGCGCCCGCGCCCCCGGCGCTCCCGCGCGGGCGGCACCGCGGGCGGCGGCGCGCAGGGGAGGCGGGACCCGCGCCCGGCGTGCGGTGCGGCGCTCGCGGGGTCCGCGCTGGGCGCTCCGCGCCCTTCAGGGGTCGAGCCTGGGCTCCGGGCGCGGCTCGCGCTCTCGCCCTCCCCCGCGCGCCCCGGACCCCGCGCGGCGAAGTTACTTAACGCGGCGACCGGCCGCCGAGACCCGCGCGCTCCGCCCGCCGCTGCCGCCGGGGCCGCGCGCGGGAGACGTGCTGCGGGGCGGCGGCCCTCGGGGGCGCCGGGGAGGCGGGGGGGGGCTGCCGCCGCCCCCGCGCCTCCCTCTCACCCCTCCGGGGCCCGCCGCCGGGGAGCAGCCTGCGCCCCCGCCCCGCCCCGCCCCGCCCCCGCCGCGAGCCGCCTCGTGACGCGTTAACTCCCTGGGCGCCGGGAACGCCCGCGCCCCCAGAAGGGCCCTCGGGCGGAGGCCGCAGGAGACCCCTGCGAGGTCCCCTCCGCCCGGGCTGCGCCTCCAGCTCGGCCGCCCGCCCGCCCCAGCGCGCCCGCACCCCGCGCCCCGCTCTCCGCGCGCGCCGCCTCCCCCAGACCCCTCTCCCTTCCGCGCTCTCGCGCTGCCCCCGCCCGGCCCGGCCCGGCCCGGCCCGGCCCCCGCCCGCCCCGCACCCCGAGTTAACTTCCTGGCCGCCGCGGGCGGGGCGGGGCGGGGCGGGGCGGGGCGGGGCGGGGCGGGAGGGCCCGGCGCCGCGGCGCGGGGGCGCAGATCGGGGCGCCGGAGGCGGGCGGCGCGGGTGGGGCCGGGGGGCGGGCCCGAGCGTCCGGCGGCGGCCAGGCCGCCCTCCGGGGACCCGGCGACGCGCGGCCGAGGGGCGTCCGGCGGCCGCGGGGGCGGGAGGGGGCGGCGCCAGGCCGGGCGCGCGGGTGGGGGCGCGCGGCGCCGGGGAGGGGCGCCGGCGCTGGGGAGGGGGCGCGCGCCCTGCGGTCCTCGGCGCCGCAGCGGTCCCGGCGCGGGCCGCGGCGCGGGCGGCGGAGGATGCGGGCCCCGGCGGCCGCGGCGCGGGTCCGGGAGGACGCGGGAGGATGAGGAGGAGGCCGGCGGGCCGGCCGCGCGGCGCCGGGAGGAGGCGCGGGCGAGGGGGCGGCGGCGGGCGGCGGCGGGCGCGCGGGGCGCGGGCCGGCTCGGGCGCGGAGGATGAAGTGGAGCGTCCGCGGGGCCTGCGCCGCGCTCTCCTCCTGCCTCCTGCTCGCCTGCGCGCTCAGCGCCGCCGCCGTCGGCCTCAAGTGCTTCTCGCTGGGCTCGGAGCTGCGCGGGGAGCCGTTCCGGCTGGGGGCGGCCGCGGGCGCCTTCTACTCGGGGCTGCTGCTGGCCGCCGGCCTCTCGCTGCTCGGCGCCGCCCTGCTCTGCTGCGGGCCCCGGGACGCGCCCCTCGCGGGGCCGGGCCCGGGGCTCGGGGGGCCCGCGGCGCCGGCGGGAGCTCCGGAGGCCGCGCCGGGCGAGCCGGGGGCCGCGGCCGGGCCCCCGGGGCCGGCCGGCAGCCAGAACCTGCTCCTGCTCGGCGTGCTGGTCTTCATGCTCGGCGTCCTCAGCGCCTTCGCGGGCGCCGTGATCGACGGCGACACCGTGTCCCTCGTGGAGCGCAAGTACTCCCACTACTGCCTGCCCCCGCGCGCGCCCGCCGCGGGCCCCGGCCCCGCGGGCCCCGGCGCGGCCCCCGGCGCGCCGCGCGCGCGCAGCGCCCTGGACAGCGCCACGGCCGCCAAGTGCCGGCAGCTGAAGGACTACCAGCGCGGCCTGGTGCTCTCCACCGTCTTCAACTCGCTCGAGTGCCTGCTGGGCCTGCTCAGCCTGCTGCTGGTCAAGAACTACAGGGCGTCGCAGGGCCGGCGCGGGCGGCGCGGCCGGCGGCGCGGGGACCGGAGCCTGGCGCGGCCCCGGGGCGGCGCGGGGCTCCGCGCGCAGCCGCCGGGCTCCAGGGCGCGGCGGGGCCGGCGCGGCCGGCGGGGCCGGCGCCTGCAGCCGCGGCCGAGCGAGGCCTCCATCCTGTCGCCGGAGGAGTCGGACTTCGCCGCCCCCGGGGACTGCGCGGGCTTCGCGGCGCGCCACGCCGTCGCCTACATCAGCGTGGGCGTCTCCCGCGCGCGCGACGAGGCGGGCGTGGAGGTGTGCTGCGGCGGGCACCCGTCGGTGGAGCTGCCGGGGTACGCGCCCTCGGACCCCGACCTCGACGCCTCCTACCCCTACTGCTGCCGGCCGCCCTGCGACGCGGCGCGCCCCTGGGAGCTGGGCCGGGCCCGCTGAGCCGGCCGCCGCCGCCCCGCGCCCCGCGCCCGCCCGCGCCCCCGCGCCCGCGCCCGCGCCCGGCGCCGCTGCAAGGCGGGCCGCGGGCCCCGCGGGCCGCGCGGGGGCCCCGCCCCGCAGGACACCCCGCCGCAGACCGGCCCCCCCGCGGCGGCCGCGCCCGTGTGTCCGGGCGGTCGCGCGCGTTGCCCGCGTCTGTCCGCATCCGGATTCCGTTTTCAAGTTTACAATAACCGTTGGGGGCTGGCTGGCCCGCACCGCAGGCCTCCCTGGCGAGTCCGTTCCGGGGTGCCGGCAGGGCCCCGGGGGAGCCGGCCCGGGCCGCAGAGCGGACAGAGGACGCAGCCGCCGCCCCGTCGGGGAAGAGCGCCCCTTTGTACACGGACGTGCCTGCTCTGTCAGTGCTTTCTTACTGTGAAGCTCTCGATAAGCAGTGAACGTGTTTGGTAAATTTATTGCGATTTAACATCAGCGCGCTCCTTTATTAAATCAGTTGCTGTGTTGTTGGAGACGTTCGTCCCGCGGCCGGCGGCGCAGGGCGGGCGGCGTGTCCAGGGCCGGCTGGGCCCGGCGAGCTCCCCTCCCTTGTTGCTGCCTGTGAACAGTCCAGTCCTGTTTTGAAAAATCGAAACCGTGGCAGAGATCTCTCCCGCTGATCAACTCATTAATCTGGTAATTTTCCGCACTAGCATTTCGCTTAAAATATGCCCCTCACAGCCTGCATCGCCGGCAGCCCGTGCTGGGGGCCAGGACGCGCGTGTGGAGGCGCATGCACAGCCGGGGCTCCGTTCAATCTGCGGGGCTGGGGGGCCTGGCAGGCGGTGTCTGGTGGGGGGGGCTGTCTCGTGAGTGCGTGAGCCCTGGCCTGCTGGCGCCCGCTGCCCTGCCCTGCCCAGGAGGCGGCCTGCCCAGGGCTCCCCCAGGACTGCCCGCTTTGCAGGCAGGGGGGTGGGCGGAGGAGCAGGCCCCAGGTGCCCCTGACCAGAGGCGGCATCCCCCGAGATGCCAGCCCGGCGACTGGGCCCCGCCCGGCTGCAGAGGCCAGAGGGAGGCAGCCCTGGTCCACCCCTGGCCACCCGAGGAGGTGGCCAGCCTCCCACGATGCTTGGACAACACTGATGAAACCAGGGTGGGATCAAAGTGGCGGCACCCTCTTCCGCGGCAGCCGCGAGTCCTCCTGAGGGCGCCACTGGCTCTGCACGAGCCTCCTCAGGATGGCCCAGTTTGCGCCTCTGAGTCAGCCAAATCGAGGCCTCAGCCGGCCTGACCTGCCGCCTCTGCCTCCACTCCAGGTCATGGGCGCCCTGAGCAGAAAATACAAGTGGCGGCAGAAACGACCTTTAAGGATCTTCCCCGTCTCCCTAAGTCAAACCACCAGGGCGCCACCAGGCTCCTGGGGCTCCCCGTGTCCCCCCTCGGAGGGGAGGCCCCGCCGGGCAGTAGGGGAGGCCCGAGGGCTCTGGAAGGCTTTTGTGGGGCTTGTGCGGCCATGATGCTGGACACCTTGAGCCTCACAGTGCGAGCGAAGCCAGAGTCCTCTCAGCCTCAGGCTGGCGCAGGGGGCGCGGGGCGGGGCGGGGCGTGGGGATAGCGGCAGAGTGGGGACCCGGCGCCCCTGCCGGGAGGGTGTGGAGGGTGATGTGGCCCGAGGTGCCAAGGCTTCATTTTGTGAAATTTACTGCAGGAAGCACAGTCCCAGCACCCCCACACGGGACCCCCAGGGTCAGGCTGGTGCAGCAGCGGTCACCGGTGCCCCCTGGGGCTGGCCCCGCTTGTCTTTATCCTACTCTCCGGAAACACAAAGTTAGTGGTTTCGAACTGATTGTTTGTGCTCCTTGGAAACTAATGCCGGCTCTTGGAAATTTCCTTCCGGTTCTTGGAAAATTCTGATTCTCAGAAGCAAAACCCACTCTTGGTGTGACCGGCTGGGCCAAGGGTGGAGGCCAAGGTCACACCAACCCGCATCTGCATTCCCATGACTTGGACATCAATGTTCTTTATTTTGGACATAAATGTTCCCTTTTCAGGAGTGAGCAGAGGAAGAGCCCCTTCCTCTGGGTCAGGTCGCAGGTGCTTCCGGGGTCTCATCTGGGTTCACCTGCCTCTTCATGCTGGGAACTCTTCCCCTGCAACCCAAACCTGAGCCTCACCGCTGACTTTCTGATTGAAACGCAGTCAAATGGCCACGTAACTAAAGGCCTGGCCGTGCTGTGCGAAGCTGGCTCCTGTGGGGACAGCTCTGGCCGCAGCCCGGCCCCTATGCACTGCGTGCACCTGCCCCCCGCCACCCCCACCCCCCGCCCCCCACAAGGGTATGTGTGCACACCGCACACAGGACCGACCCGCCGCTTGCAGGTCACCTGTGCCTCTGGGGCTTCCGGCTGCACCCCCAGGGTTGCACCCCACGGCTCAGCCGGCGCCACTCTCCGGCCCCTCTGTCCTGCCCAGCCTGAGCAAGGCCAGTGTGGGCACCGCAGCCCCCCCCGCCCCGAGGCCACGCTGCTGAGAACTGCCGTGCCACCAAGTCATGAAAGAAAAGCAGCAAGCGGCAGAGCCTTAGAGCGCGGGTGTGAAGGCGCGAGGTGCTCATGCGGGGCGGCAGCTCGGCCTGGGGTTCTGGGCCCGTCAGCTCCGCGACTGTGGCTGAGCGAAACTCCTCTGGACACAAGTGTCCACAGAGCAAGACCCCACAGAAGGGAAAAGAAAACCACTGGGGACGGGGTGGGGGAGGTGCCCTATGCCACGGCCTGCAGGAGCTCCCAGCGCCCACCCCTTGTTAACACGGGTCCAGAGGGGCTGCTCCGTGTGGGCCCCACCCAGCCTGGCTTTTGCTGCCTCGCCCAGCACCCACGGGAGCCTGCTGCGCGGCTGTGACTGCTGCTAAAGCACGAGACCCTGGAGGTGGCCCTTCCTGGAGCCCCGTGGCCTCCTCCCTCCCCAGGCGGGTGGGTGTGGAAGACGTCCCCAGCAGGGCACCCCCAGGAGGCCGGTGGACAGGCTGGCTCTGGCCCAGCTGGGCACACCTGGAGGCCCAGCCCCTCCTTTGTCCTTGACCCACACATCTCAGGGGCCTGGACCCTCTCCGGCACCTGGACTACCTCCCATGCCTGGACCACCTCAGGGGCCCAGAAGCTTTAGGAACTTATGTTAGTTCCCTGTAGTGGCCATAACGAAGCACTGAAACTGGCCTGCTCTGGACCCACATGCTGGTCGGGCTAGTTCCTGTGGAAGCTGCAGCAGGCCACTGCTGCCCCTCTGGCCCTGTTGTGGCCCCCGGCCAACCTACTTGGCCAGGCCTTCTGCTGTGTGCCCCTGTGCCTGCCTCTGCATGGCCTCCCTATCCCTGGCAAGGGCCCTCTCACTGGGTTTAGATCCCACCTAACTCAGGGTGGCTCCTGAGCACACTCAGGGACACGGGGGCCCAGCGCAGAGCAGCATGGGGGGCCCGGGCCAACCAGGCAGAGCGGAGCCGGGCGAGCCCTCTGGGCCTCGGTGCTCCGGGCCTGAACAGAGCCGGCAGGTGGAGGCCCAGAGAAAGCGGAAGCTTTAATGCAGGATCCTGGAATCCAGAGCCGCAGCAGCAGCTACTTGTGAGCACTTGGCCAGCCTCACGCCGAGCTGCATGGCGAGCCTGACTGGCACCGAGTCCCTCCTCTCCGTGGGGACGAGGGCGCCCTCAGGGTCATGGGCTCTACCCGCAAGGGCCAAGCCCTCAGGGCCGTGAGCTTGGCCTCAGGCTGCTCTGGGAGGGCTGGGCCTGGCTGGCGCCTGTGTGTGCACCTCGAGCATGAGCTTCTGGCCTGCCCACTGGCACCTTTTAAAGCTGTGAGTGGCATCATGTACATTTAACCTTGTGCAACACGCTGCTCTCACACTCAGCCTGGGCCCTCCTCGTGGGGCCTCCACAAATCTGACTCATCTGCTGACCGATTCCGTGGCTTCGCCCTGGCCACCTGGCCCCGGCCCCCGCCCCCTTGCTGAGTACCCCCGTTCATCTCCCCTCCCCCTCGGAATCAGTGCTGCAGGTAGCACCTGTCCCCCCTAGGCCCTCACGCAGGCCAGGGGTCATCGGCACATTTCAGCTCTGCCAGAGCTACTTGCCGAGCCCTGCCCCCCACGGTCCCCAACACCCGCCCTCCTCCCGGGCTGATGGGTACCTCCTGCTCGTCCTGTCCACATGACGAGGCCTTTACACCGGTGTCTGTGTCTCCTGTGCTGGAATCTCCAGCCTAGAGCATCCGCTGTCCCTGCTGCCCACCGAGCACGCCTACGCCCGCAGCACCCGGGATTGCATGGCCACCTGGGTCTGCTAGAAGGTGGATCACAACTATTAGGCTGTTCTTCTGGGCTTATTTTCTGTTTCTTGTAAACAAATCCTCCCTATCCATATGTTTTGAGATGTTTCCCAGTTTCTCTTGCACTGGGGCTTTAGGCCCTGTACCCCTGCTGTCAGCTCCCACCAGCCCCTCCTCACTCTGCCCCGTGTTTATGGGCAGCTCATTTGTCTTGTCAGCATGTCAGCTAATTACGTCAGTGCCTTTATCAAGTCTATTTTAAAAAAATTTTTTTTAAGATTTATTTATTTTTATACAAGAGCTGGGGTACAGGCCAGAGGCGCGGGAGGGCGAGAGAAATCACCAGAGACAGCGCGGGGAGCAGAACAGGCAGACCGACTGAAATGCACTGTTTGAGGGGAACAGCGGGGAGACAGGAGAGGTGTGCCGCGCCATGTGGGAATCTCCCTGGTCGGCTGAGAATCGAACCCGTGCTGCAGAGGCTGCGGACAGCTTCACAGCGCTGCGCTCAACCTGCTGCGCCACTGGGGAGGCCCTCAAGTCTTTTAACTGTTTGACATCACCTCCCGCATCTGCTGGTATTGCAGAGTTACACCATTTCCTTCTGCTGATCCACACCTTGCCATTGTTCTTCTCCGAGATGCCACATGAGCAGTGTCCATGCACACTGTGGACGAGGCCAGGCTGGGCAGTGCTTGGGGCCCCGCGGGCTGCAGGGATCCAGGGCCCTGCACAGGCCCATCTCTCGCTTATTTAGGTCTTTCCTGCTTTTTCAATAAAGGCTAATACTTTTCTCTGTCAAAGCTGTGCGCGATTTTGCTGGATTTTCCAATTTGCTTTTAGTTTTTGTGCCTGTTAACTGCATTTCCTGTTTGCTTTCTACTGGGTTGAAGACTCTTACCGACCTGGTATGTGGATTGTATAACCCAGAAACATTGCAAACACTTCTCTTCGGTCAATAACTTGTGTATTTCTAGTATCATCTATGACTAATGAGCTTGCTTTCTTTTTTCCTCAAGACCTCTCTGCGTGGTCTTGGCCTCGGGCGTCTCACTGCTGGGTCACGGGTCATGTACACGCTTGGGGAAAGTGGGAGGCAGGCCTCACCTGACCCCTGGCTTAAGCCACTGCGTGTGGCTGGCTGTGAGGGTCTCTTTAGGGACCATTTAATTACATCAAGGAAGGTTCCATTACTCTGATTTGGCTGAGGGCTTATTTTTAGGCACGACCTAAGTGGTAAACTACATCAATGTCCTCCTGCTTATCCACTATCATGACCGATTGTTAATCATGCTAGTAATGTACCTGGCTCCAAAACCGGGCCTGCTGTTGCGCTAGCTTTACCCTCCTGTTCTGCATTGCCAGCCACGAGACACAGTCTTCTCTGGCTTTTCTCCATGTGTGGGGACATCAAGGCCTTTCTTTTTGGATTTGGTTTCTGATTTCTTACCTTTGAGGTTGGGACTGGTTTTCCTGCACCCTCAATCCTACATCCACCTCTTCTCATCACCTCCCTAGTAAAGTCTGCAGCTGATCTGCCTGTCCTATATTCTAGTCTATTATGATCACAAGCATCAGACTCTTCCAGAACTTCATTTTCTCTCTCATTTTCCTTAAGACTAACAACTGGCTCCTTTTCACGCATTGGTGGCCCAGTCACCCCAGTTTTTGACAGATGTGCCAAGTGACCCAGGATTCTTTGCATCCTGAGCCCTTATGCTCCCGATAGGGCTCTGTGGGCCTCTGCACAGCCAGCACCCAGGACTCCCTTTGCTCCTCTCAAGCTCTGTTTTCTGCACCGTGTCCAGGGCCTGCTGGGCGAGCAGAGGCTGAAATGACGCTAGGCAACACTGGCCAATGGTGTTTGTAGCAATTTCATGTGTACATATTGGAGGAAACCAAGATGTCCATCAGCAGGTGAGTAGCGACCCAGCACTGAAAAGAAAGGGGCTCGCAGGCCGTGAAGTATGTGGAGGACCCTTAAATGCATGTGACTAAGTGCGAGAAGCTAGCCTGAAAGGGCTTTTGTGGCTGTTTTGTGACTGATTCCAGCTTTTCTGGAAAAGGCAAAATTATGAAGACTATAAAGGTCAGTGGTTGGGGTTCAGTAAGGAAGGGATGAATGTTCAGAGCAAAGGGAAAATTTCGGACAGTAAAATTATACCACTATGGTAGGTACATGACATTATACATTTCTACAACCAAGAGAATATTCAGTTATTCAAAGTGTGAACCCTAATATAGACTATGGACTTGAGCTAGCAATAGTGTAACAATACACAGCCATCAATTAAAACAAGCGTACCACACCAACCCAAAGTTGACAGAGGAGCCTGTGAGTGTGAGTGTACGTGAGAACTCTGTAACCTTGCACTGAATTTCTGTTCATCCAAAACTACTAAAAGATGCTGGTTAATTAAAAAACGCCAGTGAAGATAAAATGGAATACTGAAACTATTATATTAATCCAAAAAAGACAAGGAAAATCAGAACAATGATTAAAAATAAAAATGATGCAAACAGAAGAATGGCCCCTCTGAAACGAACACTATCAATAATTACAATAAATGCAAACTGGCTAAATGTTCCAATTAAAAGACAGGGATCGTCAAGGATAAAATTCAAATTGTGAATTTATAAGAGTCATACTTTAAATACAGACATGGTAAGTTGAAGCTGAAAGGCTGGAAAAAGATATATGGAAACAATAATCCTAAGGCTGTTGGGGAGGCAGTATTAGTATCAGGCTAAATAGACTTTAAGACAAGTATTACCAGAGACAAAGGGTGGCCTTCCATACTCACGTGCAGGACAGTGGGGTGTGGCTAAGGAGGAATGCCTGAAGCTTCTCAGCAGATCTGAGGTGTCCCTGAGTTTTCCCACCTGCCACAGTATCACTTGCGCACAGCCCCTTCTCCCCCATTGGGCTCAGCTTATATTCTGCTGGGGCTGGGGACATAACTCTGCTTCCACCTGATGCCTGCACCATTTCTGTAGCACATGAGTCCATCCCACACCCGTTGCCATGGCAGATGGTGTTATAGCAGAGCCTGGTCCTGCCTGAGCAGATGGCCCAGGATGCTGACCAGCTGTGTGATCTCAGGTGGGGTTTCCAGATGTTCTATGCCTGAGTGTGCCTGCACACCTGCCAAGGGAGAGGCATCCTTGGAAAGGCAAGGACGATGATCGATTCCATGAAACTTCCACCTGCAATACCCAGTGTGCTGTGGGTGCACATGGCCCTAAGGCTGTGTCCAGGACACACCGCAGGGCCTAAGCAGCCCCGTGTCATGGAGCCATTTTCAGCTGAAGGAATTACAGACAGGCCTCTCAGATTTGGGCGTGTGGCAGGTATTTCCTTGCAAATGAACAAAATGAGACTGTTTAAAGAAAGAATACTCAGAATTTTTCTGTCAATCACAAAATTTCAGTTTTCAACATGTAAAGTTGAAGAATTTGGGAAAACTTGCACCTGCCACTGTGAATGTCCAGTATTTGAAGAGTATTCTAATAAGACATTTGGCAATACAACAACTGACTCTTGGTATCAAATAAGCTGTGCCCGCATGTGGAAGCTCCACATAACTCAACAAACAGTCATCTCCAAACAACAATGTAGATGTCACAAATCACACCCGGGTAAAAGGTCCACACAGGTGGGCCTCCTTGATGACACAAGGGGTTAAAATGCAGCACTATGAAGTGATCACCAGCCACTGTGGCACGAGTTCGATCCCCGGCCAGGGGAATCTTTGTCTCTGGGGAATCCTCCCCCCCACACCTCTGGCCTGCACCCCAGTTCTTGTATGCATAAATAGATATTTAAAAAAAAGTTGATCAATTCACTTCCACATTCCATACTGCAACTAAGCTTCTATTGTTTAAAATAAATTTTATTTTAAAAAGTTTAAATCTCACAAGAAGCTATAAAAGTAGTACAAAGAGTCATGTACTGTTCACCCAGCTTCCCCAAGGCTATCCCCCTCACCAACCCGCACACTGTGAAGCCAGGAAGGCCCCGGGCCCCACGCTCCCACTCAGGTACACCACTTTTGACACCGACGCACTTCTCCAACTGACCTTTAAGAAACCGTCATTTATCGAATGTTAGTACAGCGTCTAGAAAGAACATCCACAATGATCAGAAAAAGAACATTAAAATACCCCTCCCTTTCCAACTACTTGCCTCTACTTCAACCACACACAAGCTGGATGCAGAACCCAACTATCCTCAGTTAAGTTGGAATTAAGGAAACTTATAAAAGCAATGCCACTCTCCTGTATTTGGAAAATACAGCAATTTTTCTAAAATAAGATTTATAAACATGCAATGTGTTTGCATATCTCGAACACATTGTTTGGGATGTCTCAGTTTCAGTTTCTAACACTGAAAAGTGCCGACAGGTGTAGCTCGCACAGATGGCAGCTCCGCAGGGCCCGGTGGTTTCTGGGCTCTCCTGGATTCCAAATGCATTGAGCCTTCCCTGCGCAGGTAAGGCCCCCACAGGGATCCCACAACAGGACAGGGCCTGGAGCCCTTATTCACCCATTTAAACACCGGACTTGTCCAGAAACTAGAAGCTCAGAAGTTCCTGGACTGATTGTCAACAGGGCACTATAATTCAAATTGAAACGAAGTATCTTAAACTGTTCTTTCATTAAACCACTTGCTATTTAGATTCAAGGACAGCAGTCACAGAAATTGAGGTTCTTCACCAACTTTGTAAGATTCGCATTTTACAGATGATCTTGCACTTAAAGAGCATCTGGTAGCCAAGTCTACAGAATGACAGTGGGCCCTGGAGATCTACTTTCCCTGACTGGAGCAGCTCTGTCTGGGACCTGGGTGGTGCCGGTGCACAACTGTGAAGAGCACGCAGACCGCGGCGGTGACGAGAAGGCGTGTCCCCTCGTAGAGAAGTTTCGGAGAAAACACACTCCATATAAACAGGTGATAGCGCAGTGACGTCACCAGGACGATGTACGCGGAAACCGGGAGGGAGCAGACCAGTGCATAGCAGAAGCAGGCATGACTCAGGGCCGAGCTGCTGTCAAGAGAAAGGGGACGTGTTAAGTCTCGTGCGACCCCCATCTGCTCGAGGTGGCCCCGCAGCTGCTGCGGGAGCAAGGGTCCCCCTCTTCCGCACACTCATTTTCAGTTATTGGCCTGAGGGCCCTTCTCCAGATGGAGCCAGGGGCAGAGGCAGAAAAAGAAACAGACCAGGGGGCCTCCCCGGTGGCGCAGCGAGTTAACTGCAGCACTGCAAGGCTGTCCGCAGCCTCCGAGTCGCCAGCTCGATTTCCGGCCAGTCAGGGAGATCCCCACATGGTATGGCAGACCTCCCCTGTCGCCTGCTGCTCCCCTCAGCAGTGTCTTTCAGTCCGTCTGCCTGTTCTGCTCCCTGCTCTGTCTCTGGTGGATTCTCTCACCCTCCCGTGCCTCTGGCCTGTACGCCAGCTCTTGTATAAATACATAAATCTTTATTTTTATTTATTTTTTAAAGATTTATTTATTTATGCATACAAGAGCTGGGGCACAGGCCAGAGAGGTGGGGAGTGAGAGAAGATTCACCAGAGACAGAGTGGGGAACAGAACAGGCACATTGACCAAAGTACACTGCTAAGGGGAGCAGCTCGCCAGACAGAAGAGGTCTGCTGTGCCATGTGGGTTTCTCCCCGGCTGGCCGGGAATCGAACTCGTGCTGCAGAGGCTGCGGTTTGCTTCACAGTGCGGTGCTTAACCCTTTGCACCACCAGGAAGGCCCAATAAATAAATCTTAAAAAAAAAAAAAAGAAACAACAGGAAGTGAGTGAACAGCCTCTGGGTGTTCCCCAGCGACATCCCTGGTGACCGCAGTCTCTCGCCAGGGAGTCTGGATCTGGTCAATTGTGGGGGGCAGGGGTCTCCATGTCTAACAGGCATGGAGGGCTGGAGACACAGCTTCAGGGCATGTGCCCCTCACTCTGCTGCTCTGCAATGCCCCCCCAATCTAAAATGGCCTTGAAAAATACACCCCAAAATTTTTGATAGTTTTTATTTGAAAATCACATGCTGGGAGCTGGCGTGCAAATAGTGGAGAAGCACCCAATAGGAGGGGTGGGCCCCACACAAGAGCAGGTGGGCTGGGGGGGCTGTCCGAGCACCCCACCCTCCGGCCGGGACCCTAGAGCCGAGAGCCGGCCTCCCGAGATGGCCCAGAGAAAGAAGCCCCACCCGGTTCGAGGGGAGGGCCAAGGGGGTTTGCCTTCCGGTGCTCCGGGCACCCCGAGGCCGCTGCCCGAGCAGGGAGGCCCGCAGAGACCGCTGCCCCGCGCGGGGCTGGCCGGGGCTCCCGGGCCCACGGGCCGACACCGGGTCTGGGGAGGCGCCACTCCGCGGCGCGAGCCTTCGCGCGGGCGGACGGCGGGGCCTCACCTGCTGGCTTCCGACGCCAGGAAGCTCGCCAGGTGGCTGGCCCACAGCACCGGGCCCGCGTAGGTGGCGAAGGCCGTCAGGAGCGCGGCCGGGACCCGCGCGTAGCCGTCCAGGCCCACGCAGCCCGCAGAGACGTCCACGGAGGCGACGCTGTTGGAGTTGCCCTGGAACAGAGCGCGCTGACCCAGGGCCGGCGGCCGCGGCCCCGCCCGCCCGCCCGCCCGCCCGCCGCCGCCGCGCGCACCCACCTGGAAGAAGAAGAAGGCCTGGCCGAACCAGTGGTGCATGGCCGCGACCGCGGCGGCGCCGGGCCGCAGGGGCCTCCACACGCAGGCGGCCATGAGCCTCTGCACCAGGAGGCAGCCCAGCAGCACCGGGAGGTTGTGCGGCCGCAGGAGCAGCGCGGCCAGGAGCACCAGCCCGCCGTGCAGCTCGCGCAGCCCGGCCGCCGGCCCGCGGGCCCCGAGCACGTCCCTGGCGCCGGCCGCCAGGAGGCCGAGGACCGCCACGAACACGGCGCGCGCCTCCGCGACGCCCCTAGGAGCAAGGCAGGGCTGAGGCGGCGCAGCCCTGGAGCCTCCCACGCGGGAGGGCGGCGCCTCGCCCCACTCTCCGGGAAGCGCCGACGGCTCCGCCCGCGCCCCGCTGACGCACCACTCCGCGGCCCCGGAGAGCTGAGCGCAGAGCGATGCCAAGGACAACGTGTGTGGGACGCCCCCCCGCGGGCCTGCTCCCCCGAGGCCCTGCACCCCCCAGGCTCTGCTCCCCCCAGGTCCTGCTCCCCGGAGGCCCTGCCCCCCGGAGGCCCTGCCCCCCCAGAAGTCTTGCCCCCCCCAGAAGTCCTGCCCCCCCAGAAACCCTGCCCCCAGAGGCCCTGCTTCCAGAAGCCAGCCCTGAGACCCTGCCCGCCCTAGGCCCTGCCCTCCCCCCAGGCCCTGCTCCCTGAGGCTCCCCAGAGGCCAGCCTGAGGCCCTGCTCCCTTGAGGACCCCCAGGCCTGCTTGAGGCCCTGCTCCCCCAAGGCTGGCCAAAGGCCCTGCTCCCCTAGGCCCTGTTCCCCCAAGGCCAGCCAGAGGCCAGCCAGAGGCCAGCCAGAGGCCCTGCTCCCCCGAGGCCCCCCAGGCCTGCTCCAGACTCTGCTTCCCTGAAACCCTGGTCACCCCCACCCCCAGGTCTGCACCCGCAGGGTAAGTCGGGAAGGATGTCACTGGCTGTGCTCCCGCATTAGAGGGGCACAGGGACTACAACCCGTGTGAGCGGCTGAGAACACCCCCCTACCCTGTGTCCACACGTTTCTGTCTTTCATTCGGCGTGAACGAGCACAGAACCCGAACTCTGCAGCCTGGCCTGGCCCAGCCCCTCTCCCAGGCCATGCTGGAGATGGGCTTCTTGGCCTGTGGCCTCTACCCCAGAAGCACCATCCCCACCTGTCCTCGCCCGTGACCTCTTGGCAAAACCAGCACTCACTGTTCTTAAAACTGAGCTCAACAACCTCGCCCCCAAGCTACTTGTCTTCCACCAGAGAAGGCAGCGGCGCTGGTGCTGGTGCATGGGCACCCCAACTCCCAGAACTGCCCGCGCTGCCACCGCCCACAAACCACACTCCTGTCGCACCCCAAGGTGTGAAGGCGGCCGTCAAGGCCTGTTCTCGTGGCTGCATCCACTTACTTGGAAATGGCTCTGTTGCCTGTTTGCCATGGGAACAGGACGCTCCCGACGGCTGCCCTGTAGCAGTAGACACCCAGCAGGCCGAGGGCCAAGGCCACCCTCGAGACCCGGGAGCACCTCTGGTGAGCCAGGGCGAAGATCCCGGCCAGGGAGAGGGCGCACAGGGCAGAGAGTGCGGCTTTGTGCTCGGAGCTGCAACGAGAAAGGTGTTAGGACGGGTGGCCGCTGAGGACTGCGCTAAGAGCAGCCATGTTCCTGCCAGTGAAAACAGAAGAAAAATTTGTTTTTCTGCATTCCAGCAAAGAAAAACGAGGCATGATGCACGGCTGTCGGCCCATTGCTCGTCCTTCCACAGGCAGCTGGCACTGGCCTGCGCCAGGGCGGCAGCACACGAGTTGCCATCCTCACCGCTGCGCAGGCTCCCTCTCCCAGCCCCAGGTGAGGAGCCGGGCATGGGGCACACCCAGCACCCCTCACGGAGCTGCCTTCGCCCTGACTTGGGATGATCTCGCGGGAGGCCCAGGGAGGCTGAGTGCTGCCCAAGTGGCACGTCATGGGCCCCTCTCTGCCGGCCAGGCCTCCTGCCAGTGTCACTTCAGGCTCGTGGGTGTTGGACCCGAACAATCACGTGACCTGGCAACAGCACAGAGTCGCTCGGCCAGCCCACCTCTCAACGCGCTCTCATGTTGTCTGGCGTGAGGCTGCTGCCCTGCTTGCACGCGGTCTTACCTGGCGAGCCAGTGCCCCAGGCCGGGCCGGTGGGCCCACTGCACACCTGTCCGGTTGAGGGCCCGCAGCAGCCGGCAGCAGGCCAGGACAGCCCAGGGGCCCGCCAGCACCCGCCACTGTGCACGGCTCTTGAGCAATGCTGAGGTGGGGGAGGGGCTTCTTGGTGCCTGGTCCAGCAGCCCCGGGCCCCTGCCTGCTGGCTCCTCCTGCGGCTCCTGGGGGTTGCCCAGGAAGCAGTTCCTGCAGACTTCGTGACACAGTGCCAGGCAAAGAGTGCTGACCAGGAAGTACCAGGTCTGGTGCTCCTCCTCAACAAAGCTGCTGGCGCCCAGGCTCAGGGCGTGGCCCGCAGTGCCCAGCAGGATCAGCAGGTCCACCTCCGACCAGCTGGAGGCCCAGCGAGCTGGGTTGTTCTGTGAGAGGGAAGCACGTTAGCGAGGGCATGGCCCAGATGCCGCAGGTAGTTTCCTGCATGGACATCAAGTTCTGCTCATAGAACATTGGGGACTGTGACCGAACCCTGCCCCTCACCAGCACCCATGCCTCTGTGGGGGCCCTGGGGCTTGAAGATAGTGAGCGGCCCATCCCACATCCCGAGCTGAGTGACAGAGCCAGGATGGGGACCCGCCTGTGCTCTGGCAGCTGCCCTCAGGGAGCAGGGCCATTGGCTGGCACAACCCCTCCTGTGGCTGAAAGCAAAGCACTTCAGGTACCTGACTTTGAACTTTCCAGAAGTCCAGGAAGTTTCCACCAAAACGGACACTTCCATAGAAACGACCAAGGTGGTACCATAGTACCGTCCCTAAAACACTGACCTGGATAAACCCTCAATGGGGACTCAACGGCTGTTACCTGGCGACGGTGTGGGCCTTGCCGCGGGCAGCCAGCACAGCTAGAGGTGGTAAGCCGGCGAGGCCCCAGAGCCCGAGGGAAGTGTCACCAGGCAGGCCAGCTGCTCGGCCCGGGAGTTGGGAGGATGCACTGCGGCCCTGGGGGTGTGACCTTGCCACCCACCAGCTGATGAAAGACAGTGGAGGCCACTGGTGCTGCGCACCCCCTGAGAATCCGAGGACGGTCCTGGGGTCCGTAAGGAGTGGCTCTTCCCCGGGCAGCAGCTCAAGTACCTCTCCCAAGGGGGGCTGCTCCCACGTGCCTGCCCCTCTAGAGCCGGCCTGCCCTCGGCCAGCAGCTGTCCTGCCCCATGTCATGGGCACTCAGGAGCGCGGGGGCTAGGGCAGACAGCCCTGCCTGGCTGTAGCCAGGACCCAGTGCACGCTGGCACGGGGACGCCCAGTCGGGCCGCCGTTGGATGCATGGCAGCTCAGTGGAAGAGACGATGATGGACTCACCTGAGCCGGACGCTGCACAGATGCCAAGGCCTTGGCGAGGGCGGACGCTGCTGCACAGAACAGGGCTGAGGCCAGCAGCATTACGCCTCCCGCTGCCAGCCACGGGAGGCTGCAGAGGTAGCAGGTGCCCTCAGCAGAGGTGCACACGACAACGTGGATGGCCAGGAGGACCAGGAACACCAGGTAGAAGAGCAGCGAGAAGGCCGGGGATGACAGGGGCACTTCCAGCTCAGCCTCACGGCCCAGCGCCCAGGGCGTGCTGAGCAGTAGCAGCGCCAGCACCTGCAGGGCCAGCAGTGCGTCGGACCGTGGGCTGCCCACCCCTGCTAGCCGGAGGGTGGAGACCGGGGCAGCAGGGCACGTGGCCAGCACTGCCGCCGAGGCCATGTGGCCTCAGCCCCCAGAGGGTGGGGCGGGAGCTCTGACGCGCACCCGTACCTCTAGGACCACGACTGTGCCCACTGCCATGGAATAGACATCGTACTGGGCCACCTGTCTGCTCAGGGACATGCTCAGGGTCTTCAGGGCACCCAGGTACTGCCGGCGGACCTTGGCTCCCAGGCCGAGGAGGACTTCTGTGCTGCCGCCCTCCAGGTACAGCTGGACCCAGCTCCCGTGCAGCCTTTCCGACATCTTAAACTGTTCAAACCCAGGCTCTGCGGGGGAGCAGAGGGGACATGCTTGTGGCCCAGAGCCCTGGAGTTCGGGCATGCAGTGGGCTGTCCTCAGAGGAGACCCTTGGTCACGGTCACAGCTGCACCCCTACGCTGCGGGTCCAGAGCCCCCTCACCAGCGCTGCCCCATGAGCACCTCCCTGCAGGCCTGCTGCTCCGGCCACCTTCCCCAGGGGCTCTTCATTCTTTCTGAGGCGTGAACCCGGGACACCCTAGCTCATCCCTCCAACACCGATAGCAGCAAATCCTGCGGGCACCCCCTTCAAAGGCACCCAGAACCATCCATGGGCTGAACCGCTGGGTCTGGCCAGCCCTGAGTGAGGCAGCTGCACCTCAGTGCAGGGCAGCCCCACCCATGGGTGGCCGAGCCTTGATGGTGCAGGTCAAAAAGCCCTGGCTCAGAACCGGCGTTTGTCAGCCCTGTGGAGCTTGGCCGGGAGGAGGGCCCCACCCAGAGGCCCTCAGCCTCCACCCACCGCCCACCACGCCCCTGCGCTGCTGCCCACCCTGTCCTGCTGCCGTGCCCCTGGCCCCACCTGCACCCAGCCCCGTGGGCCCAAGGCCACCTGACCCCCTGGGGCTTTCCGAGGGCGGGCGCTATGCCTTAACATTCCTGCCACAGCATTTATCTAGCGACTGCGTGACTGTGACCGTACCGATCCACAGCACCCGTGCGAGGGCAGCAGCCGGCCCACAGTGCCATGCTCCGTGGGTGAGGCTTGCCGGGTGCAGTTGGGCCTGCTCTCACCCAGCTTCACCTGGAGCGCAGACCAGGCTGAGGCACCTACCTTTCTGGTGGGAGGGCACGTTCTCCCGCAGCAGCCTGCTGAGCTGCGCTGCGTTCAGGTGCAGGAGCCTCAGCTGCTCCCGCAGGGGCCTCCCCTCTACCACGGGGAGCAGCAGGCGGCCCACGCTGCTCTCCGGGATCGGCACTCCTAGCCCCACAGCCAGTGTTGCGGCCAGGTCCGTCTGCTGAGCGTGCTCTGGTCGCCTGACATCTCCTAGGAGGGGAAACAGTCAGCCCCGGCCCGGAGAAAGGTCCGAGCTGCCCCCGGCCTGCCCTTCCATACCACGTGCGCCCCAGGCCACTCCACGCCACCAGCGTGGGCCTGTCTGTGGAGCATATGCCTCCCTCGATGGTGCGGATTTGAGGGGCCTTCAACCAGCTTCTAAACACCCTGCGGAGGCCCCAAACATGACGAGGCCAGACCGAGAGACACCTCCCCTCAAGCCTGTGGGAAGGGCGGCTGCTGTGGCGCTTCGCAGCTGGCTCATGAAGCGGCCCCAGTCAGTGGGTGGCCTGGGAAGGGACAGGCCACAGGGTGGCTGTGCCCCAGCGTGTGACGGCAGGGACTTCCCGTCGTGGGGCCAGATCCCAGAGCCCAGCAGCCGAGTCATGCCACAAACAAGTGCGCGGCAGACAGGTCTGGAGGGGGCTGTGTGTGGAGTTGCCACGATGTGTCCTCTGAGGTGTCCAGTTTCCACCACAAACTATGAGCAACGTGCACAGAAAGTGTGACTGAAGCGTAATAAATGTCAGCTTCTTGCGAAAGGCCTGATGTCGATGCCTGATGACGATCTCAGAAAACAAGACACTCGTCGGGGGTGGGACAAGAAGAAGGGTGGAAAGAAGCCAGTGGGACCGCTCGGCTGCAGAAGGCCCTGGGCACAGGGTCAGGCCTGAGCAGTAGGGCCAGCGGACCCGCGGGGTCTCTGAGGTCTGAGCACAGCAGGTATCCCGTGCTGGCCGAGCGGATGCACAGGGTGCAGGCAGCCCAGCCCGAGACACAGCTGTGCTCGTACCAGGAGCCACGGGGGCCGAAGGCGGGAGAGTCACGGGCTTGGAGGGCCCGTGGAGGAAGCAGCTGCCTGACAGTGCGTGGCCAGGTGACCTCCCCTGTGAGGCAGAGCGCATATGGCCTAGGTTTGAGCACAGATGAAGCTCTGTGGGTACCTGCCTGCCAGGGCCACGGGGGGCAGCAGGGTGCCCAGGCCGACTTCGGGGTTGTTCGGATCCTTCAGCAAAAGCAGAGCGTCCTCAGGAGTATTTACGTTCTTTCAAAAGGCAGCACCGAAATGTCCCTTCTCTTAACTGGTCAGGAAAGCAGCGACACAGAGCCAGGCATGGGTCAGCATGGGCTGTGCCCAGTGCACTCGCCACACATGTCCAGATGTGTGACCCCGCCAGCTGGTGGGCACAGGCCCCAGGGGCAAGCACAGATGCTCGTGCCACCAAGGCACCGTGGTGATGGCCAGAGGTCAGCTCATGTGCCACGCCTCGAGGGGCCCCAGGCGCCAAGGCAGGCGAGCGGGTCAACTGCTGATGAGCGCGGGGCTGCGTGAGTTGATGAGAGGTGGCGTGAGGCAGGACCCAGGGCCTGACACGGACGCAGAGCAGAGCGGCTTGCAGCGGCAGGCTTGGGGCAGGAGCGAGTGCTGGGGGTAGGCATCTGAGCTGCCCTGACCCTTCTGGTCTTGAGGCGTAGTCAGAGCCTGAGGGAGGAGGTGGCTAGTCTCTCCTCAGTGTGACGGCGGCCCTGGTGCCCTAATACAGCCCTGGCTTAGCGGTCGCTCCGAGGCGAGAGCTGTCCGTGTGCCAAGGGGTGTCTGGATGGTCACGAGTGCCCACACACCTTTCCATTAGCTGGAGGAATGAAAGATGGGGGTGGATGGATGGGTGGGCACAAGTGAGCACGGATGGGCCAGGTGAACGGAAGGGTGGGAGAAGAGGACGCATGGGGGAATGGAGGGACTGGCGGGGCTAGCACATGGCTTCCTCGGGCAAAGCCACGGCAAACACTGGTTTGCACAGGGTGGCGGGAGGGTAGGCACCCAGGACGGAGCCCAGAAGGTCACAGTCGCTTACACAATGTCAGCCTTAGGAAGTGGGACGCGCCAGAGGACGGGCTGTAAGGGCCAGCAGGGAAGAGGTGGAGATTCTTCCCCGACCAGCCCTCAGCTCTGCAGAAGACTCACCCGTCCCGCAGCGCCTCGGCCCACGACAGGCCTGAGGCTGACAGGGACCACAGGACGTGCCAACAGGCCTGGGCCCGTGGATGCTGCCCTTTAGTTTCTAAAACGTGAGCGTTCACTTCTGGCGGGTCACGCGGCCTGAGCGCCAGGCATCCAGGCAGTGACACTCGCACAGAATGTTCTGAGACTCAGGGTGAGAAATGTAAGTTTCCAATCCCACTTGCCTCTTGCCCCACTGAGTCTCATTCTCATGTTGCTCAGAATATTTCAATTTACAGGCCTTCCAAAAAAGGGCTTTTAAAAAGTATCATTGGACTACAAGAAAGACACGGGTTTGAAAGGTTACAGGGGCCCACATGCTCACCGGGTTTCCTCGCAAACGAGGAGCTGACCAGGACCAGCGGGGTGTTCACTTCTTCCCGGGAGGAGGCCCCGTGGCTGCCCGTCTCTGACATGCCGTGATCACCACACAAGACCAGCAAGGTGGGTGAAAGGGTCTCCTTCTCCTGTCAGACCGAGAACACACGGTCCTGCTAAGGAAACGACTAGACTCCAGCCTTGCTTTATAAACAGCAGCTCTTTCTAAATGAATCCTGTTTCTAGCACAGCGCCCGCTGCCCCTGCCCCGGCCCGGCCCCACGGCATGCGGCCCGACTCCTGGCCCCCTGTGCCCTTCGGTGCCAGGTGTGCATTCGGGCTCTGGAGCCCCACCAGAGGGTAAGTGCCACGTGCCGGTGGGAACAGTGACACAGACGTACGCGCACATCCTTGCCACCCGGAGCCCACCAGAAGTGCTGAGCACTGGGCCTGGGGAAGCGGCACTTGGGAGCCAGCAGGGTGGACGGGGAGGCCACGCTGGGGGCTGCTGGAAGACCGCGTTGCACCAGTGCTCACGGCGACTGCCCTGGCAAACGGTCGGCCTCCTGCAGCAAGGGTGGCGGGTGGTGGGGCGACGTGTAGGCACCTAGGCCTCCCGAGCTCACCCCAGGAGTCCACGCCGGCACCTGGCCCTCCAGTGCCTTGGCCTCACCTCCGACAGCAATGCGGTGTGGACCTTCATCAGGACGCCGTCCATCTCTCGGAGCTTGCGCCCGACCAGGGGGCTGCTGGGCCCAAACACATGGCCAATGTGGTCCAGCCCGAGGTAGTGCAGGATCAGCACGTCCCAGTCCCGCCTCCCCAGCACGCCGTCAAGGTGCCGTGTCACGTTGTCATCCACCTTTCAGGGGGGAGGTGCGTGTGAAGAGCTTCCCCTACTTCCCTTCATTTTCAGCCCCCAAGAAAAAGCGATGGTGTTGTTTAAAAACTGGGGGGTTTATTTCAAGTAACGCAACTTCCAAGTTTGAAAAGAAGTTAAATGTCAGCATTCGATGGCACCCGCTAACACAGCATCTTGTGTGGGTCACGGCAGAGCACGTGGCCCAGAGGGCCCAGTGAGCTGGGGGCCCGACGTGGTCTGTGGACCACTGCTGGGCCTGTTGAGCTCGGGGTGGCTGGGTGAAACACGCCCAGTGGTCCCGGCCATGAGGGCTGGGCAGTCTTGAGTGCCAGTCACCAGCAGGGTAGTGAGGCTCCAGATGCCACGCCTCCCACAGGCCTCAGTCACTAGTGTCAAGCAGCCCCTGAAATCCAGTGGCCTCGTCAGCCCTGACCCGGTAGGGGCCCACCTCCCTCCCAGTAATCTCTACGCAGAGAACTGCCTTGAGTGCCCAGAGGGGGAGGTCAGTCACTGCTGAGTGGCGACCAGACGACTCCTGCAAGGGTCCCGATATGGCATGACAGAAGGTGAGTGGGGCGAGTGTCCCTCCTGACGCCAAGCTCAGGTCCCGCGTGCCTCTACCCCAGGGTCGACATCCTAACTGGGGGGGTGACGTGCGCCATTCCTGGTTGGAAACTGCACCCCAGCACGCGACAAGGGGCCCGGGGCCGGGTTGCCCAGCTCACAGGCTGTCCCCCAGCTGCTCTACCCAGGCCAGGTCTGGGGCCTTGCCCCCCACCCCCGGCCACCCTACCAGGGCCAGGCCTGGGGCTCTGCCTCCTGCAGTTGCTGCTGGCCTGCCCTTCCTGCCAACTCGGGGCATGCCATTTGCCACCCTAACTCAGCTTCAACGCCCCCCAGGGAACCTTTCTAGACCTGCTCCCAGGCGCCCTGCCGACCTAGGCTTCACCCCTGCGTCAGGGCTGCATCTCTGGCTGTAATGGCCATGAGGCGAGTGGTTTCACCTCCTCGCTACGCTACTCCCAAGACATCAGTACAAGCCACACACAAGACGACACGTCCCACTTTGGGGGAGGGGGCTGGGGGAGGCCAGGCTGTTATCTGGCACCGCAGATTTCAAAAGCTGACCTCTGTGTAATCCGACACAAAAAATGAAGTTGTTCCGTCGTATTCCACAAAATGCTTTGGAAATAGCTTCACCCACGTTTCATCTCCGTAGAAGATGATTCTTTTCCCAGCTGCTGCCGCCTGTCCGATGACACTGTCTTCCAGTAGCGCAGGGGAATTGAGATTCCTGACAATGTCGATGAAGCCAGGAAGGCTCCCGGTCATCAGGGCCTGCAGGAGGAGCTCAGGTCAGACGCCAGCCCAGGACAGGGCCGCTTACAGCGGGTGCCACAGCCTGCTCCTCCAGCACGCCTGGAGGCCCTGCTCAAATGGAGGCCGGGGGTGGGGGTGGGGAGGGCAGAAGGCAGACTTCCCTGCAGGCAAAGGGTTTGGCCAGGCCACACAGGGCCCCTGCTGGGGCAGGCACCTCACAATATTCGTGTGACCAACACGCTGCCCCTGAGCTGGGCTGACCAGGGCCCTAGGAAGACCAGCCTGAAAGTAACACCACGCAGTGGAGCCCTCAGGCGCCACACAGCCGGGTATGGACAACATAGCTCAGCATACACTACAGATGGCAGAGCTGGCGCTGTGCTTAGGGGTGTCCCTGGGGAGTCAGCTTGCTCGTGTGGCGCCTCTGGCCCCAAGTTCCGCTCCCTAAAGGAGGGCTTCTGTGAACACCTGCAAGTTGCTCTCTGCATGCCGACCAGCATGAACAGGCAAAGATGCGCGTCTTTACCAAGTGACAACACTCATAATGCAGCAGTGTTCTTGTTTTCAATGAATAACATCAAACTTTTTCTCTAGAAACCACAGCGCTACTTCACGTTTTGCACCTTCAGCAGCTACGAAGCACTCCAGTGTCTGATGTAGTGTTTCTAAGCAAGACCATTTGTTTTAAAAGGCTTTCTATGACAATCCACTTGAGCTGAGGCCTGAAAATTAATGCACCATCCAGGTGGGTGAGCGAGCTGTAGGGAAGCCGGCGAGCCAGAGGAGTGGGGAAGCTGTGCTGTGGCCTGTGTGGGTGACACAGGGTGAGGGGAGGTGAGTGGGTGAGGGGCAGGGATATTGGGGCAGCCTCAGCCTCGAGGCAGAGTGTGGGTCCAAAGGGAGCCACGTGGAGGAGCGGCATGGCCTCCTTTGTTTGGACGGGGGTCTGGGCTAGAAGTCAGTGAGGACAGGCTGGAGGCCAGCAGAGGTTGCAGACACTGCACTGGGCTGTGTGGAGGCCAGCCCAGCCCCGTCATCACACCTTGTTTCTCGTGGCGGGCAGGTAATCACTAACCTCTAAGCGTGCACAGTGTTATGGACAAAACTGACTCTCAGATTCTGTGTTTCTCTTGCTCTGGCTATGAGTAAAGAATCTTCTCATGTTTACTGGCCATCTCAGCTTCTCTTTGCAGGGCTCTCGCCTAGTTGCCGTGGAGTGTCTGCTCTGGAGTGGGTCTCTTCACTGCCACAGCTGCATACCTCGTACGCACATATGGCCTCTTGAGCTTGCCATCTGTAATCCAGCTGTTGGTAAGAGCTTTGTTTCTGTGCAGTCATATCTTTTCATCCTCCCCTCCCCATCTAGGGTTCCCACTAACAGTTTCAACAGCAGGGACTCGGTGACCTCTCCACCCTAGGGAGAGGCAGCTGCTGGGAGTCCTGGAGTCCTAAGTGAGGTCTCAAGTCCATCTCCTCCTTGGAGGCATTCCTGTAGCTGCTGAGGCCTTGGGAGGAACAGAGTTTTGCCTTCTAGGCACAAAGGAGGGCTGTGCAGAGATGATGGAAAGCAGATGTGACCTGCTCACCCCATTCTGCAGGATCGTGCACAACACTAGCCCACAGGGTCACACTCAGCTTCTGATGCTGTATGGCTGCCACCGCTTCTCCATCTGGGATGTGCAGAAGAGAGGGGGGCCCAGCTCGCAGGCCTGTGTGAAAGTGCGTACGCTAACACCTACGCCCTCATCAAGTCATCAAGACCGTGACTTTCCCATGGGAAGGAGAGGAACTCAAGAATCAGTGACGTAATTTTAGAAAGAAGCTATTTGAGGATCTTAACAATACAAAAAATATTTCTAGGAACATTAGTCTTGATATATTAAGATCAGCACTTTGTGATAATCCTCTCAATACCTGAAGCCTAACTAAGGCCCTCCTCTGACAGGAAACAGGGCCTGAGGCACATGCAGCCAACTCTACCCAATCCAGCCACTCAGAGCTGTGTAGGCCCAACTCCAGCCACGGCTTTCCTGTTCCAGTTCCTCCCTGTTGGGGAATGAGGAGCAAGAACCTATCAAAGATTGAAAAGAAAATGAAAAACACTGGTTTTATGAAGTGAAACAAATGGGCTAGAGATGGGTGGCCCTTGGACAGGCTTCTGCGATTCCTGGTCTGAACTGTCTGCCCAGCTAGCACTGAGTGTTGTCTCTGATTCTTTCTCGAGAGCACTGTCACTGCATGCTCATGTGTATGTTCACGGGGGCAACACACATTCTCCAACTGTATAACATCAGTGTCAGCATAGAGTAGTTGCTCAATAAACTGTTGTTGACCCAATCAATAAAGCTTTAATTTTTTTCTTTACTACAGTTCTTGGATAAAGTACGGTGCACTTCAGTCACTCTTATGACGCTGGACATGCGAGAGCCTTTAGAAGAAGTAGAGGCAACTGTCAAGGATAGATTGTAGTGGTTTAGTGATATGTATACCATAATGCTGGACAAAAGGTTAAGCTTATCTGAGTTTTTCTCATCTATAAAGTCAAAAGATTGAACCAGATCATCCTTCCAGGATTGTGAATGACCCATAATGATTAAAGAAGACAGCACATTAGCAAAGAGGATGGTATCTCCTGGGTGATTCAGCTCTAAATCCTTTACGTTTCCCACAGAGAATGAGCTGTGGCTATCTGATGGGGGGCATAAACCATGCGTCTCAGCTCTGCACTATCTGTGGGGCCTCTTTTGCACTCTATTTGCCCAGCCAGGTTGACGGCACCAAACCAATTTCCACTTTGTTAAAACTGATACCCCGAGTAAATGACTAGAGAGCCCCTCTAAATCTTCAAATGGGCCAGAACATTTATAAAATATCAAGTCAAACTGTTTACCTTGATTCGAGGCATAGTAACTGTAGGTGGTTTTGCTTCAGCCACAAAACTGTAGGACTCCCCTTTCTCCATGACATAAGTTGTGTAGGGCATATATTTCATGCCCTTGGAACCAAACACAAAGTCATCCCTCAAGGCATCTATCAGCATAATAACAACTTTACTGAAGAGAGGTGGTGGGAGCTTGGTCCAGTTGGAAGTTGCTCCTAAGCGTTTGAAAAGAAAAAGTAAATAGAACATTCAACTTATTTTGAAACTTTATTCTTTATCTAGCACCTTACTATCTAGTTTCTGTTACTTTCTTCAGTACCTTCCATATGTTCATATCTGAATGCAATGAAAAAGGCTTGGTCTAGATAAGCAATGCTGGATGTGGGAAGGGGGAGCTGTGGGTGAACTCTGGGAGCCCAGGGCTAAGTAGTGACTTGCCCTTAGCATGGTGGGGAGTATTGGACAGGGCAGTCCCTACTGAGGGTCCTGGCAGGACCCCCCTTTAGGTCAGGAACCTGACCTAAAGCCCAGTGTTGCAAGGAGGAGACAGACCAGCACGGATGACTTGCTTACACGCTGGTACTGCCCGGTTGAGACCCAGAACGGGTTCTATGCAGGGAACCAAGGGTTCTATGCAGGGAAGCCTTAGTACCAGGGAAAGGAAAAGCCAGGAGGGGTCAGAAATCTCATCTGAAGTGCGATACTGAGCAAAACAGGTGCCCGAACAGAGGGAAGCGAGGTCTGGTCAGGAAAGGCAGGGTGCGGCGGGGTGAGGCGCTGCGGCAGCAGAAGCAGGCCGGGCCGGGAGGAAGCGGGGCAGGTGGCGGCAGTTACCACAGGGTTGCAGGAGACACGGAAAAAGGCCGCGAGGGAAGAAGAGGGCAACACCAAGGCGGAAGAAGAGGCCCCGGGGGAGGGTCCGTACCGGCCGCGGGCTCGGGCACCGGTGGCGCCGCTCGCTGCTCGGTCCCGGGCGCGGAACGAACGGGGGCCGGGAAGAAGCCCCGAAGGAACAGAGCGACCCCGAGCACCTCGATCACCACGAGGCCGGCGGCGAAGGTCCCGGAGCCCAGCCGCATCGCGCTCGCCCGCCAGGCCGGGTCCGAACCCCGGCCCCGACCCGAGCCTTTCCGGCTGCGGAGCTGCGCGAAGTGCCGCCTCCGGCGCGGAAAGGTGCGGGCGCGCCGGGCCTCGCGTCGCCACTTCCGCCGCGCGCCGGAAGCGCGCGCGCGAGGGCGGGCACTGCGGGGCGGGCCTGGCGCTGGAGTGACGCAACTTCCTGCGCGCCCCTCTGAGGGCCCGCCCCCCACGCGCGAGGCCACGCCTCAACCAGCGCGCCCCGAGCGGCCCGCCTCCGCGCGGCCCGTCAATTAGCACCGTGGCCCGCCCCCGCGAGCTCCGTCAATCAGCCCCGTGGCCCGCCCCCCGAGCCCCGTCAATCAGAGCCCCGCGGCCCACCCACCAGCCCCGTCAATCAGAGCCCCGCGGCCCGCCCACCAGCCCCGTCAATCAGAGCCCGCGGCCCGCCCACCGGCTCCGTCAATCAGAGCCCGCGGCCCGCCCACCGGCTCCGTCAATCAGAGCCCCGCGGCCCGCCCACCGGCCCCGTCAATCAGAGCCCGCGGCCCGCCCACCGGCCCCGTCAATCAGAGCCCGCGGCCCGCCCACCAGCCCCGTCAATCAGAGCCCGCGGCCCGCCCACCGTCCCCGTCAATCAGAGCCTGCGGCCCGCCCACCAGCCCCGTCAATCAGAGCCCGCGGCCCGCCCACCAGCCCCGTCAATCAGAGCCTGCGGCCCGCCCACCAGCCCCGTCAATCAGAGCCCGCGGCCCGCCCACCAGCGGGGGCCCTGGAGCCCCGCGCGTCTCTGGGACCGGCTGAAGCCGACGACCCCCCAGGCGCCCCTGGAGAGGGCGCTGCTGAGGATGGAGCGCCCCGGGGAAAGCACGCGCAAGTGTCGGTGGGGGAGACTCTGACGAGAAACATAAGGGGGTTCAGGGTTTGGGATTTCGGCCGGGTCAGCGGTGGGGTTCGCCCTGCGGGACCTGGCGCCCCCGCGGCGCTCCTGGCCCGTCCGAGTGCGTTCCCGCCGCGCGCGCCCGGGCCCCGGGCGCTTCTCGGCTCCGCCCGGCGCTGTCCCCGGGCCGGCGCGCGGCGGGGTCCGCGGGGGTCCCCGACCCGCCTGGGGCTCGCGCTGCGCGGGGTGAGGCGCGGGGCGTGGAGGCGCCGCCGCGCCGGACTCGGCTCCCCCGCCGGGCGTCCTCTGGGGGCACGGGGTCCCGGCGCGTGGGCTCCGCGGTCCGGCCGCGCCCTCCCCGAGCCCCCGCAGGGAGACGCGGGCGCACGGGGGTGGGTGGGGGGCCTCGAGTCCGCACACGCCTTCCTGCTCTCGGGCGAGGGCGGGCGAGTGTGGCCAGGGCCAGGGGTGAGGCGGGTTCGGGAGTCCTGGGGATGCAGCAGCTGGAGATGCGGGGTCCGGGCCGGGTGCGCGCGCCCCGCTCCGCTTGGAGCCCCCTGGCGTCTCAGGGTCGCGCGCCTGCCCTGGCGGGGCGACGCGGGGGGAGGGGGGGAGCTGGGGGTCAGGAGCCCCCGCACCGTCCCGGGGGCAGGAGGACGCTGCCCTGAGCTCCGTCTCTCCATCGTGACCGCAATGGCTGCGCCGTCTCTCCTGCAGCTCAGGTCGTGCTCAGCTTCACCATGAGAACTGGGGACCATTTCAGGTCATGTTCATGGGCTTCCTGGAGGGCAGGGGGGTACACATGGCGATCCCCAGCTCTGGCCAGCCCCTGCAAGGCGAGTCCACCCCCGCGGGCCAGGAGCAGCCCTCAGGGCGCAGCAGACCTCCCCGTCGCCCCGCTGCCCTCTCAGCCCTGGATTTCAGTCCATCCACCAGTTCTGCTCCCCGCTCTGTCTGTGGTGATTGCTCTCACCCCGCACCTCTGGCCTGCACCCCGGTTCTTGGATGCATAAATAAATAAGTCTTTAAAAATACACAAGGTCATCTCTGCACACGCACTGAACGGTCAGGTCTCCTTTGGTTCCTTACTGTGAGGCACCCGGGAGCCAGCGTGTCTCTCCTGAAAGGAAACGCCAGGACGTCTTTGTGGAAGTTTCGTCGCCCAGGAGATGCTCACCCCCAGCCCTTCCAGTGTCTTCCAGCATGACTGTCAGGCTGGCTGTGAGCCGCAGGAGGCCGGGGCGCGGGGCATGTGGCAGGACCTCTGCTGGGCTTCGTGCCCAGCGGGAGGCCGTGCTCCGGCTGCACGGATGCTGCCTGGCTGACGGCCTAGCCTGGGCGCCACCCCCGAGGGGCCGGGGACCTCGGGGCTGGGCTGGGGAACACTGGTCTCCCCCTTTCCCTGTTGCACACTCATCGCCTACCCGGGCCTTTCCAGGGGCTCCCCAGGGCGTGGGCTCCATCTCCCGGGTCCCTCGGCTGGCGCCACCCACGTCCCCACCCCGTCAGTCTCTGGTGAGTCCTTGCACCCCCTCCGGCCTGGGTCCGGAGTCCATGTGCGGAGCCCCACAATGCGGACCCTGAGGGGCAGGAGGGAGGCACAGCACACCACACACCAGGGCTTCACCCCAGGCTGCAGAGGCAGGAGCTGGAGAGGCCCCAGAGAGAGGGAGCAGGGTGTCCGCAGAGGCAAGGGCTCTTTCAAGAGAAAAGGCCCCACTTCCCTCTGGACAGGGACTTCCCTCCCCGGGAGCCTCAGTCCTGGATTGCTCTCCCTGGGCCCAGCAGCCGATTCTCCAGTTACCTGCTTAGTCTGATTCCAGATGGACACCTTGCCAGGGGTTGCGCTTGTGTGGAGCCTGGGTGAGAGTGAGTTCTGCGTGGCCCGCCCGATCCCCTCTGCCTTCAAGGACCACTGAGGTACGTGACCTGGGTCAGGTTTGTATGGAGACAAAATTTACTCGAGCAAAGGCAACAAGACAAAACAGACACAACCATGGAGGGCACTGACCGCCAGGCCACTCAGGTACCTGTTTGTCCTCATCTCTTGTCTTGAGAGTGGAGGGTGGTTCAGATGGTTTCTGACCCCAATAGGCTCTTGAGAGTGTTCCGGTCAGTAGATTTCCTCTGAAGCCCCCCATCCCCAACCCCAGGGGAAGTGCAGAATGAGTGGCGGCTACTTTTGTCCTCTGTGGCTGCTGAGATGTGATTCACAGGAAATGACCGACTCACCCTGGTAGACGCAGGGCCTCTCCCCTGTGTGTCTGGTGTGTGATTAGGTGTGACTTACGGCCGAAACCTCGCCCACACTCCCTGCAGACACAGGGCTTCTCCCCTGTGTGTGTCCCCTGGTGTGTGCTGAGGTGTGACTGCTCATGGATGCCCACTCCCTCCATACTCGCCTGTTGTAGTTACTGACAATCCTACCCCAGTGAATAATTTGCCTGTGTCCTTTGGATTCTCTCTCTGGCCTGGGCTTGGCTCTCCCTCCATCACTCTCTCATGCTCCCTAGAGCTCCACTTTTGGCTGGAAAAGGCCTTTGAAATGTTCTTCTGCCTTAGCCTTGCAAGCAAAGGTTTGGGCCTTTCTCTGACCTTTTGACTTTCGAGTTTGTCATTCCCGCTGTGGGGGACCAGAATGTGCCCGGGCACATCCAAAGTCCACTCCACACAGCTAGTTCATTCTTAACCTTCCTACAGGACTCAGAGGATGAAACCCCAATTCTTTTCTCTTACCCCGTTTTTGTCTAGAGTGCTGTCCAGAAGTACTTGCTTCTTTAGGAAGTTTCTCTGGTCTCTGGGCCTGCTCGGAGCCACTGGTGTTCAGCAAAGCGGCTGTTGCTGACATTTCCTTCAAACTAGATTCACTACTTACTGCAGCTCTGGACATTCCCTGCAATGCGAGAGTCACATGAAAAGACAAGGTGCATTTCGTTAGTCAACCAGGGCTCGTGATGTGTTCTCACGTGGATGACTTTAGTCAACACCTCAACAACCCTTGTAAATAATGAAGGCGCCTGAATTCTAAAGGTAAAAGAAAGGGCTTATGTGGGTAATGAATCCAGGGCCGAACCCCATGTCTTAAGGCTCTTTGCCTTCCACTTTCTCTCAGATTTCTCCATGAAAGTGGAGGAAAGGAGAGTACACGGGCAGACTACCTGGACAATCAACAAGGTCTGTGAAGGAGGGTAAAGCCTTCAAGAGCACATGGGGCCTCCCCTGGTGGCACAGGCAGTTGAGGGCCGTGCTGTGAAGCTGTTCACAGCCTCTGCAGCTCCGGTTCAATCCCAGCCGGTAAGCGAGGGTCCCACGTGGCATGGCAGACCTCTCCTGTCATGCCCGCTGCTCCCCTCAGCCCTAGCGTATTTCGTCAGTCTGCCTGTTCTGTTCTCCGCTCTGTCTCTGGTGAATCCTCTCACCCTCCTTTGCATCTGGCCTGTTCCCCAGTTCTTGTATCAATCAATCAACCAATCAATCAATCAATCAATCTTTAAAAAAAAAAAGAGAGCACACAGAACACTCCCCAGGTGTGAGGAGAGAGGAGTGTCCTTTATGGTAAAATGGAAGGAGCTTGAGAGAATTAGGTGAAATAGAGCGAGTCAGAACTATAAAGACAAATATTGGGCAATGTTACTTATATGTGTAAAACAGGGAATCAAAGTGGATATACTGACGAAGTGAAATAATTAAAAAGCTATGAACATTGATAACCCAAAGCAGGTTTTTGAGGTTAAGAGGGAGCAGGGAGGGATGAAGGGCCAAAGGGATAGGTTATGGTAAAAAAAAAAAAAAGGCTTAGAGAAAAAGAGGGGGGTTGTCTATAACCTAGTGAAAGAGAAAGACAAAGTATAGATAAGAGGGAACAGACAGATCCGGAAAATGAGGAAACAGAGCAGTGACAGAAATAAAACCCCTTTCTCTTAGGAAGAGAGCAAAGAGATGATGGGCAGGAAATGTATCCAGGCAATAAAGGACATGATGCTAGAGCTGCAGGTTGCCATATCTGGGGAAGAATATTCGTGCCTAGATGAGCTGGTTCCTGTCGGTCCTGTATGAGTGAGTCCGTACTACTGTTTACTTCCCTGTCGCTTCCTGATCCACAAACTGGCATATGGGGTAATTCTTTTATTTTTTAAAAGATTTATTTATTTACTTATGCATACAAGAACTGGGGTACAGGCCA